GTTCCAGACCCCAAAGCAGAGGAGGCTCCCAGAACCAGAATGTCGGCGACGGATCGCGAGTTTCAGGGGGTTCCAGACCACAAAGCCAAGGAGGATCCCAGAGCCAGAATATTGGCGAAAGTTCTCAAATTTCAAAAGGATCAAAACTATCCGGAAGTGTCGGTAGGGAATCCGAGAATCAAAACGAAAGCAAACCAAGTCGTTCGAGTCACGAAGAACAAGGCGAATACAATAAGACAGGTCCAGTTAACGCACAAAACGCAGAATCAAGGCCGCAATCATCTACTGTAATTTCCAGTAATTCAAGACCACCTAGTAATCTATCAAAAAATGGCCAAAATCAAGAAGGATCACAAGTTAACCAATCCCGAGGCAGTGAGTTAGAAGCTGGAACCTTCGGTGCTACTACAGATCAACGACCGACCCCAATTCCGGCTTCAACTGACACTAAGAATCAATCGCGGAAACAGACATCCAGAACCTCGTCAGAAAGACTAACAATCCGTGAAAAATATGATGTTGAAACAAAATCATCGGTTCGTTCACATAAAAATACAGATGGAACGGTTGAACAAAGTGTCGAAAGACTTTCAAAACACCCGAAAGTCAGTGAGGTCATCAGTCAAAATGCATATGACGATGATGACATTGAAGTGATAGCAAAAGAATCGTTTAAGGGGAACTCTGAGAACCAATCCGATTCGGGCGCTAAATACAAAACTATTAAGAAAAGCACGGACCGGATTAGCGTTTCATCATCAGTTTCGCGTAAGAAAGTTCCGAGCAAACAGTCTTACGGAGGCAAAATGCAATCGATGGATGGCTCGGAACAACAATTAGAACCAATGTCGGGTAGGTCAAGCGCCGCTTCATCTCGCCTTGCGAACAAAAAAGGAACAGCTCAAAGTGCGGATGTTCGGGGTACTAAATCCAAACATTCAAGTGCCTTGTCATTGCCTGATATTGACAGCGCTGAAGGAAAACGTACGGGAGGTTCCAAGTCACGTGGGTCGTCGGCAATGAAAAAGAGTTCCGAGAAACTACCTTCAGTTTCGCAAGAGAAGCAGACTCTTTCGGCAACGGGAGTATCAGGAACTCGGAGTGGCACTAAAAACAGTACTTCCATATCCAGAGAAAACTCTCAGCTATCAGCTACGCCAGATGGACAAAGAGCAAGCAGCAGAGCTGGAAGCAAGGATGGTTCTCTATACGGAGGAACGACAACTAAAGCCAGTATTCAACTTCAAAATCAAACAGGATCGGTGAGCCAGGGTAAATCACAGCAGAAGACACCTTCACTTGGTAAATCGCAAGGTTCATTTTCAAGACCAGGGAGTCAAGGTGGATCCCGAGCTCAGAGTCGTGGGGGTTCGCAGACACCCAGCGAGGCCATTTCGAAAAGTGTTGCTGGCTCAAGGGCTAAGAGTCAGGCCGGATCCAGGGCAAGAAGTCAAGCTGGTTCTCGGCCTCAAAGTCAAGGAGTTTCCCAGGGTGGAACAACGGCTTTGTCTGGGAGTCGGGCTATATCCAGGCCTTCGAGCCAAGGAGGATCAGAATGCCAGAGCGAACAGTTGTCTGGATCCCAACATCCAAGCCAACATTTATCTGGATCCCAACATTCAAACCAGCAGTTGTCTGGATCTCATCACTCAAGCGAGCAGTTGTTCGAATCGCAACACCCAAGCCAGCAAATGTCTGGATCTCATCATTCAAGTCAGCTGTCTGGATCCCAACATCCAAGCCAGCAGTTGCAGTTGTCTGGATCTCATCATTCAAGCCAGTTATCAGGAAGCCATGAGCCTTCTCATGCTCAAAGTCCTGCTGCATCACATATGGAAAGTAATGAGCCATGCTCCGAAGCAGAATATCCAAATAATGTCGGATCACAACCTGGAGAGGGTTCCAGGTTTCAAAGCCAAACACCGGCATCACAAGCCTTGTCGCAAAATCAACAGCTCAGCGGCCCTGCTTCGAAAAGCAACGTCAACTCAGAATTTACTGGTGGTCGAAATTCATCGCATCCATCTAATAAGACAGATAGCAGATCGCGAGTTCCGACTATCCAAACCAGCCACGTCAGTCCTAGCGAATCAGCGACAAAGTCTACATCTATGGACCAGAGACCTCAAAGCAGTCACCCTGGTCAAACAACTGCTTCCATTTCTAAGAGCAAAGTAGACTCTCAAGTGTCTGGCGTTTCTCACCACAGCCAAATTGAAGAAGTCGACGAAGATCAAAGCAAACCGTCAACTGGTGGCCCGACACAGCAGATGTCCTTGAGTCAAGGTCAGGAAGGCTCAGCTACTCCTAACGCAACATCAGCTTCTCAAAGCCAAGGCAGCATGCAAAAGCTGTCAGGAGCTGGATCAAAAGGACAGGAAGGAGCTACTCCTTCAGATGTTAGTTCACCGATCGGGCCAGGTCGCGGAACCAAACCTCAAAGTGTCAGCGCATCGCAATCCGGTCAACAATCGACGCTGGGATCGCTTGAGGGTCCAGACAACGAAAACGCCGCCGACAAATCCGCAAACGACGGTGAAACGACCATGTTGTCCACCCGCGGAGCACATGCCGGCGCTAGTTTCCAGGAAAGTGGGGAACCGCCGGAAGAGGAAGAAAGTGTGGGTGACAATGAGGCGCCAGCTGGGGTAGCCGGAAGTGAAATGGAAGTTCGAGACGAAGCTGAACCCGGTGATGTGACAACTGAAGTCGGGGATTCGGACGCCCCCTCAGACTACTCGGATGGGGCCGAGAAAGAAACTCTAGACGAAGATGAAGAGTCCACAGTGACTTTTAGCGACGAGGAAAATGGCGTGAAAAAGAAGAAAGGAAACACGTGAGCCAAACAGAGAATGAGGCTGTACTAACTCATTTTAGTTATGTTTACTAATTAGTGTAGTATATCTGGATATCTAATTTTCTTGATAGTTTTACGATTAAGTGTACAAACAGAATACTGCTTATAATCGCAATCTAACATTTTGTTTTTGAGTAAGTCTTCAGTAATTCAAGCTTCAAGTATCCTGTAGCCAGAACTGGTATGGCAATGAGTTTATCTGAGTTTTTTTGGAAGTTTTGCGAATGACGTTGACACATTTTTAGGAAAAACCTGAGCGTTTTGAACGTAACAATTAATTCTTTACTCTCTTTCATTCACACCGAAGGACGCGCCAAGGATTGTCTTGAGAAGGCAGGTTATTTTTAGAAAAAAAATCTACCAACTCTCCAAACATTGAAAACAGCTTAATTGTTAAATCAAAAATTCAAAATATTCTAAATTAATCCAGAAAAAGCAAGATACTTCAATCAACTGTGACAAAAAATAACTTCAAAATCCATGAAAATAATCTAAAATCGAAAACAAAGTTTTAAATTTCTTTTTTGCAATTTTCAATCATTTGCTTATTACACTAGCAAGCTTGCCAGCGTAATGTGTAAATACGAACCTTTTTTTTCTAACCTAACACGCAAAAAAAGAGTTTATTAAACATTATTACTTAATTTGTGGCACTTTTGCTATAAGCACGATCTGTAGCATTGGAATTTTCATGGCATCTGTTCTTTGCTTTTTCTTTGCTACTGTTAAGATTATAATAGGAGCCTGTGATTAAGTATTTTGTGCGTGAGACGCAGAATATCATCTAGGTCGCAGATCAAAACTAACGCAACTTTTGCTAATTTGAGGATTAATTCTACTTTTTTATTTCACTTTTAAAAATTGCTTATTTGTCGTGTTCACGCTGGTTTTTGCGAAGTGCAGCTTCGTTTTTGTATCCAATTTTCCTGGTAACTGATTAAAAAAGGGATTTCAAATGAAAATCATTCTTCTAAAATGATGTTGAAATTGTAACTCGAACTAAACCTAGAGAGAAATCTCTAAATAGTCTAAATCGATCAATTCAAATCGTCAAAACTAGATAAAATCAGAAAAATTGATAGGTCTCTTTTTCTTGCTGCTGAATTAATTTAGAAATATTTTTGGAACCATAATCACAATCAAAGCGGTTGTATCAAAATACTTTTCATGGCCTTCTATGAGAGTTATTTGAGGTACCCGCATCCAAAACAAATAAAAAAAATATTATAGCAAATTTTTGAGGTCTAAAACATAATCAGTAAAATCGATTAGCATGTTTCACTGAGACAGCAAAATAGAATAAATAAATCTTTATAATCTATTGCTTTTATCAATTATGTTGAATTTTTCCCACTTTATTTTTGTTTCGCGTCGTGTAAAATTTTGCTAGATTTTCTGTGTTTATCAAATGAGTAATGCGGAAAATTTGCAAAGCGAGTGCGCCCCTGTGCTCGATTTCTTAACCTACACTTTCTCAAATTGCAAAACAATTTCGTTAAACTCACCCCCCTCCACTAACGTTTGTCCCTTTGGCTCCTTAAAACCTCCCCAACCCAACATTTGCCCATCCCCTCCCCCGGAAGAACGTGACGGAATATTTGTGCTTGGGCTATTTTTTTCTCCAGACAACTTTTGACTTTTTTACTACCTATTACTGAAAAAATTTTTAAATGTGTTTCGGAAGGTATCGTTGACTTGAGCTCAAATTTTTTTTTCTTATTTGTCATTTTATTAGTATTAAGCGGGTTTAAAAATTGCCAATTTGGAAAAACTAACGCGCGATATATTTCGTGCTATTAACGCAGAAGCTGAGGTTAAACATGTCTTATAAATGGTTCCAAATTGAATCGAGGCATTTTTTTGGTCTAGCTCGTACTTTGCTGTTTGCAAATTATATCATTTTGTTCAGTTAATATCGTGTGGGTGATGTTTTATTTCAAAAAACTTAAAAAATAATTTGAATTTTTTTTAATGACACCCATTTTCTAAAGTGAACATTTACTTCTTTCGCCTTGATACGAGCAGTCTTGTTTGACCTTGTTATTCGTTTTTTCAATCAAGTGTGGTTCTCCCCAAGCGGCAAGATCTTCAAAGCACAAACACATGGAAACAAATTATGAATCATTCTCATTGTCAAAAAGGAGAGGAACAAAAATCATGTTTAAACTCAATTAATATTTACAATTTTACATTTTATTGTGCATTTGTACAATAAACTGATATCCAACGTTTTTAAACTCAAATATCTTTATCACTTATTCATACATGAATTGTTTACAATGCATCTTCTAAGCATTTTGAAGGTTAATATATGAAGCACTCTTAAGCGGAAATTTAATTTAGCTAAAATATTCAATGAAAATTTTTGCTAGTGCTAAGAAACACAATGTCAATAAAAAGTTTCGAGGATTTTTTTCTAAGTATTTTGTCATCACAGCTCTTTGAGTTGTTTTCTGGGCATATTTATCCTCTTTGACATAAACTTACAACAGTGAACCGCTTTGATGTCTATTGAATGTTGATATAGTTAACTAGTTGTTTTCCGACACATTATAGTTTTTTCAATTATCTGCGCGACGTTGACATGGTTTATGACAATAGTTTTCCTGACATGTTATTTATTGTCGTTGTTGTTTATTCCTGGGCTGGAGCAGCAATATTGTATGACTAATTGTCCAGTTGGCACATGAGGGCCACGCCCCTTTCGATCCAGTGTTCTGGACTCTTGTCAGTGGGCAGTCTCAGTTCCATGACGAAGTTAGTCGAGTGACCAGTGGTGGACAACACTCCCCTCCTCTCACTCGTTTTGTACACTGGTGACTCATAGATCGATTTCTCTTCCAGTTCATCTTTCTTCAGGGGCACCAGTTGGATCTGTTAAAATGACACAACAAATATTTATATATTTTTCATCCAGTAGAAACTTAAATCAAAGTGATAAATTGCAAAAAACTCCAAAAAACACATTTTCGACCAGCGTAACATTTGCAAAAATTTAGTACAAAAGCGCAGAAAAAAAATTATTTTTTTTTGAAAAATTTTTTCAAAAAAATAGTGTTTTTTTTTTCAACTTTTTTTCTATAATGCCAAAATCATGTTTAAAAAACTTGAAAACGTAATTTTAATTTCGCCTTCTTGTTTATCTCATCACGTGTTAAAATGGCTGAAACGAAATGGAAGCTCGACTAACCACAGGCACTGGGTCGAACAGTATTTTGGAGTGGGATTCTGCTAGGCGTCGTATCTTTCGATCCCATCTGGCTCCGTCCAAGAAGAGTCCCTTAATGTAGGCTCCATCTTCGGGAGGCTGCTTGTACTCTTTGTCGTCCAACACCTAAAACACAAGTTGCATAGAAACATAACACTTAATTGCTTAACAGGGGATAAATGCATTACAGATACTGCACAAAAAAGAATTAACCAGAACCATCTGGTTTTTGCATCCACTTTACATTTTTGGTAGGTAGCTGCTGTCTTCTTTCTAATCTGATTATTTGTATGTTTTCTGAAATAGGTGAGTTTATGGTTTTTCCCAGGAGGCAAAACAGTAAACTTTGGGCCAATTTACCCGGTTCAGATTCCCAAATTTGAAAGGACTTTCTAAAGGACAATCTGCCCCACCGAATTTCAACTAACCAGGGTCTCAAAAAACGGGTTTGAAGAAAAAAATCCATTTTAACATGTTTTCGAACCATCAAAATAATTTTAAATGTTGAAAATTAAGCACAAGCAGGCAACGTTTTGAACAAAGCAACCCCATTCTGCCAAAGTCATTAAAAATTCGAACATAGAAAACCAACTATTTTTTGAAATTTGCGGATCACTTGGGTCAAAATTGTTGATTCAATCAAAAATGGGGGATATATCTACATGAATGGTCACGAGATAAGTGAAAGTTTTGATGTGGTGGATTTTAAATTTGTCAGAATAGCCTAGATGACATTTGTAGTCTACCTCGAAATCGAACACGAGATGGTCGATGGGGATGGTGTACTTCCTGGCGTAGTTCTGCTGCACCCCTGTCAAGAAGGCCTGAGTGAAGTAGAACCCACTCACCCAGAACACTGGAGGGGGGCCCTGCTCGTACCAGTCCTAAGAGACGACACACACGGTCAAAAACTATTAGCTAAGTGAGCAGGCAAATGAACATAACAACAAAATTAACAGGAACAACAGGTGTTTAATTATGAAAAATTAATAGTTATAGTTATAATTAGTTATAAAACTGTTGTATTAAAAAGAAAATTTTAAGAAATTTTTTTTATTTAAACTCATTTTTTTAAAACATTTTTCTGGAAATTTTTCCATTTTCCCCGAATTTTGAAAAAATGGGGTTTATGCTTTTGAGTTCAAGTTTCTAAAATCTTCAATATGGTTTGAAAAGCTGCTTCTAAAAGTGACATTGAAGTATGAGCAAACAGAAGAGTCGAGAAAAAAGCGTTTAGTTGGTACCTCTAGAAACTGGAGTCGTTGGAGGAAGTCATTCACGTATCCACCCAGGGGTTTGAGGGAGGGGTAACTCTTGCCCATCCACATGGCAGGTATCTTGCCCTTCATCATCGAACTGAACACTTCTTCAAGGTCACTGGACATCACTACCAGACCCTGATCAAACAACACAAAAGTGATCAGATGAAAATATTAATAATTTGGTCAGAAGCATGATTTCAATCATTTAGGGAAGCAAAAAAAAACAGGAAACGCAAAACTGTAGAAAAACTAACTTCAGCAATTTAATTTTCAGAGCACTTTTCTTTGAAAATCGATAGTTTTTTTGGAACAAATCAGCTGCAAGTTTAGTTAAAGCATTTTAGCCAAAGGATTCAATGAGTGATACACTCTGACAAATGAGGAAAATTAACTTAAATGAAAAACTCCTTTTCAAACATTCTCCGTAAATGCAGACGTGTGCAGACCTTGATCGCTTTTTGTATGTTGATGAGGCTAGCCCGAATGACAATTAGCAGATTGTTGAACCTGGTCATCTCCTGCACCAGGACAGTGTTCATGCTCTGTTTATACTCTGTGGGATATCGTCTAAGTGCACTCTCAGTGTCGAAGTTCTTGGGCAGTTTCTGCAGGATGTCACTGGCAACGTTGTTTATGATCTCGTCCGGAGAAGTCTGGCCCCCACCAGAAGAGCGTGCCTGGATAAGGAAACAATAAACAATTTAAATCGAAACTTCAAGTGCACGTTGGTTGCGTCCCTCAATAAACACGTTATCGGCATAAAAACTCTCGAAAAACATACATGTTTTCGAAAGCCTAGTATGCATATTTGCTTACTTTAGAATCGCAAGTTTTTTTCCACGGATAGTTCAGACGTTTCCATGATTAATCCATAAAAGATTTATGAGAGTAAACCAAAATATAAGCAAAATGAAAAAGAGCAGAGTATAAACCAGACAAAAGTTCATGGTGAAAAATGATTAATTTTTGTGAACTTTGTAAAAACTATCGCAAAATCTGAACAAGACTGCTCGTATCATGGCGAAGCCCTGAATGATCCGACTGCCTTTTAAGGTTTATGGGGCAGTGCTAACATTAAAAAAATAGATGTAATAAAATATAATAAAAATTTTTTTTTCTAAAATTTGAAATTTTTTAATGAAAATCATCTCCCCACAAGCCATATAAAGTACAAAAGGATCGGTTTCGCTCATTGTAACAAATCAATTATGGCAAATAAGCTTCTTTCAACCAATTTGGAACAATTTCTAAGAGGGATTAAATCTCCGCTTACGCATTAATAGCGCGAACTATATCGCGCGTTAATTGTCCCAAATTGGCCAAAATGGCAATCTTTAAACCCTCATAACTTTACGAAAAATGATCACAGGTAAAATATGTTTTCAAATTTAAGCTCAAGACAACAAAACCTGTCAAACGATAGAAAAAATTCAAATAGGCATTCCGTCAAAAATGGCTAGTTTAAAAGTCGAAAATTGTCTGAAAAAAAAACCCACGCCGAGCACAAATATTCCGTTACTTTCGTTACGAAAGTCGGAACAATTACTTTCGTTAAGGAAGTCGGAACTATAAAGTTGTTCCTGTTTTTATGTAATTTATAAGTAGTTTTGCTGCTTTATACTTGGTCTAATTAATATATTCACTTTAAGCGACATATGCCGTAATTAACTTAAAGTGCTCACCTGTGTCTTGAGTATGTTGTCAAAGAGAGACTGAGTCTCCTTCTGCTCCTTGGTGATGTCTGCATTCGGATGCATCCCAAATGTCTCCGGAGTCTGGACTATCGGGAGACCCTTGATGTACTCCAGATACGTCTCATACTACAACACTCAATAAATCAGAGAGATTCGCCTTGTATGACCTTTACCTCGCGGAAAAGTCTTCTGAACGCTATGTATTCACAATAGAAAGGACACGGACACTCGAATAAATAAACGAGTTTAGCAGCTCTTCACGCAAATCTGCTATTGCAGCGCCGGTTAAGAATTGAATGCAATATATTTGCATGCGGATTATTTTTCGGCTGCGTAATATTGCCTCAACCTAAGCTACGATCACGGATGAGCCTTGTGAGCCTCGAACCTCTAACCTTTCGATTGATAAGTGAATACCTTAACCAGTTCAGCACCTCTCTTAACACAACGAGACGGAAAAAAACTGACCTCTCCATCGGCTGGGGCGTAGTAGACTCCACTGGGGTCGAACTTGTAGTCTTTGTCCTCCACAATGGCAGGACAGTAGAATCTGGCCAGGATGGTGCTCAGAGTCCTCCTGTCGTGATCGTCCGTCACCCTCCCCCCGTAGTTACACTCTCCCGCCAGATACGCCACCGCGTCATAGGGCACGTGCTGCAAATAACATAATGCTCAAACAGAAGACCATTTTGTGGTACACTACACGGGCCAAAACAAGACAATAGAACAGATGCTTGCATTGTTTCTTTTTTTTTGTTTTTAAATTAATTTCAACCAATCAGGTCAAAGCATGATTATCATCAAAGCTACTTTCGGGTCATATAACAAACAAATTCTCGAAGTACAAAAATGAGCAACATTTTTTCTAATTTTTAAAAAGTATTCAGGCCTCGTTTAAACATGTGAACTTCACCATTTTAGAACAAAAGCACAAATATAGTAAGTTTTGAAATAATTAGAACGAGTCACTTTTATTAGAATAAAGTTGAGCAAATATTCACTGACGTCGTATTGGTTGAGGAACATGTTGAGCTGTTGGGTGCTGATCCTCAAGTCCGTCTCGTTGAACTCGTAGGGGATGTTCCATCCCAGGGGTCCGAACTTCCTCCTCTCCTGCACGAGAGCGTGAAAGAAGCAGAGACCGAACAGTAGTTTGCGGAACTGGGGTCCCTGCTTGTTGCCAGTGAAGAACTCGTTGTCGCTGATCGGGTCGGTCAGGTACGAACGGTAGATGTTCAGCTTCAGTCTGGTACAAAAATTGTTCAAAATAACATTTTTCTGAAAGAAAAATAAAAAGAGGGATATTATGCCATAAAACAAGACTGCTCGTATATCAGCCAAAGGCCCCGGATGCTTCGACTGCTCTTTTATCTTCTCTCGGGTGTTTTGGAAAAACATTGACAAGGCTACAGTTTTGCAGTCCTGATTTTTTCGCTGCCATGCGATATGTCATACTAAACCAATTAGTCGTGATTCGATCGATAATTAAAAAACTTGGGAAATCCGTTTCAATTTTTTTCTCTTCGAACTGCGAATGCTATTTCAGGCTTGATGTTATTCTAAGAAAAATAGACTACAAGTTTATTAGACGCTATTTAAAGTATGTTTCAATCATCTCGCAAAAAGATTTTTGCCAAATACTTTTTTTACTTTAGTTTGCAAACATAATAGTGGTCGGAAAAATTTGGGCAGCTTATACAGCATCACGCTTTTTTGTGAAAATTTTGGTTTACGAAAGTAGAAAGCAGCATCATGTGAACTGTATAAACAACTTTCTAGAAAAAAAATCAGAGCATGTTAAAATGGTTTCAATTTTCGACTTTTAGACTAAATTTGGTACATTGCCGGGCGACAGTATCGCAGCAACTACAGACACCAATGAAATTGGTTTGACAGCAAAAGGACAAAACAAAAGTGGTATAAAGGTCACGGGAAAAGAATTTTTATAGCACTAAAAATGAGCACGACAGATTACGTTATAGGCCCGCACAATTTTTTTCATGTATGTTCAAACTGTTGACTCGAGTTAAACAAGAATAGTCGGTTGCTGCGCAAGTACCACATACTTTTCGACCTCAATCGCTTAAAAAAAATGTTTTTTAAGTATACAAACTCGTAGAACGACAACAGTTGTCTGCAAAACATTTTTTTCTTCAAAAAAGTGTCGACTGGTGCGTGGTGTGATTAGAAAACTGTACAAACGCGTAGTACTTTAGTTAATTAAGCATAATCAACAACAGGAAAAAATGAATAGCTAACAAATAAAATGATAAATATATTTCCGAAGAATTTTTCTTAAAAGATTTTTACATCAAAATTTATTGATTTACAAAACTTTTTATTGCCAAAAAAGCGCTGAATATTGTTTACAAAGTAGTTTAACTGGATGAAAACAAAATTTTCACAACTTAACGGAAACAACCTTATTTTCTGAGACATACTCGCTTTACTCGTTCGAAACTACACTAAAACTCAAAAACTGCAAAACGTTATCGACACTGGAAAAGTTTTTCGAATCACGTTTGAAACGGCTGTAGAATAATATATCCCCCGACCCAATCCAATAAATATTTATGGTACCTGATTTCGTGTGGAAAATAAGAGTATCGTATTGAATTGAAGCCCTTCCTTTCTCGACACAAAGTATCAGTGTCGAGAAAAATTTGTCAACATTTTTTTTGGTTTTACACTCAAATTACACTCAACTTGATTGATACAAAACTGAACCAGAAATTTCATTCGACTACAGTTTAGACGTTACTGTATTTAGCTATTAGTGTCTCTCATTATTGCAGTTTTCACAATTTCAATCGCCCTTCACAAAAAACAAAAACACGAAATTTCAAAACATTTTTTTTCAGTTTGAAAAAAAATTTCCTTAGTTTTGAATTTTTCTTAGAAGTGATTAAAATATAATAATAATTTTATCTTCAAGTGGTTCACTGAATTCAATCGAGAAAACATCACAAGTACATTTCTGCACGTGGAATGGAGTGATGTCTCTCAATCACTGTGGTCGAAACATACTGTTTTAGTTACACAGCAACCGAATATCTTTTTTGTTTTGACCATTGAATATGGGGAAAAACTTTGTATTTGGTTTTTTCTTTTTTTTTTCAACTATTTTTTGTTTTCCACGCGAAATAAAATCAGGAACCACAAATAATCATAGTACAGGGTTGAATGATATATCACAATGAAGTACCTCTAGTCGTGATTCGAACGACACAAAAAATTTCCAAAAAGTTTTCCTAGTGAAGAAAAAAACTGGTTTGAAAATTTTGATTTTTCGTCTATTTTCGAGCAAGTAAAAATATCAAGTAAAGTTTGTTATATATAAAAATAGAAAATTAGGCAAAACAAAATAATTTTAATATAGAAAAATTCGTTTCGAAAGCTTCATTTGGCTTTTCTCTGGCAAAAAAATATAATTCAAACATATTTAAAATAATTAGTGCAAACATTGAAAAAAAATTATAAAAATTTATCGGAAAATTTTTTCATTCTTTTAATTTATTTGTTTTTGAAGACCATTGGGTTCGTTTATGCCTAATTCACAACATTTCTATGCGTTCGTATAGTTGTAGCATCACACGACGCACAAAAAAGAATTAAACTTGAAGAAAACAACGTTTTTTTTTTCTGAAAATGTGGTCGGAAAATTCTGTGCTACTTGCACAGCAACCGGTTGTCCTTTTTGCTACTTATTTTTTTGATGCGAAAAAACTTACCCTCTAGGTGGCTCATTAGTCATCTTCACTCCATTCTGCAACACAGACACTGGAAAGTGGTCGGAGGGGTAGCTGGTCAGCCACAGTCTGAAGTCAGGATGCACTTCTTCAGGTTTGAACTCCTCGCATATCTTCTCCAGGGTTCCCATCCAGGACACAGCCAAGTGGCAGTTCTGCAGCACCACCCAGTGGCCTTCTTTGATCCCTGTCTCTATCATCTTCACCGCACGAGGACCTGAAACGAACGTGAACAAAAAATGCTTCAGGCAATTAGTTCACAAAATCAAAGGATTTTTTTATCTCAAAGACTCAATTTGTTCAACAACAAAATCAATATCAATGCCTTTAGTGTGTAAATTATGAAATGTATGTTATAATAACTATAACAAAAATTTCAATGAGCTTGAAAAGCTGCTGAACCAAAAAGAAAGATGGGCCAACAAATGTAACCACGAAACAATTCCGTTGTTTTATTAAAAACAAAATGTGTTTTCCCCTAATGTGTTTTCTCGCTGAAGACATCTCATCATAAATTGACTATGAATCAAAGAGTTTTTAAGTGACCAGAGCCTCTGCCTATGGAAATTGGATTTTCCCATAGTTTAATAATTTAAATGGAATGCATGCCCGGTTTGACCATCCATCCTACAAAAAATTCCTTATCTTAAAACTACTTATAAGATTTGTAGGAAATTTCCGCTATCTTTCAACTTTCTTATAAGAAAAGTTCTAAGATAATGACTTCTAAAAAACTTAAGAACAGATAGCGACTTCTTTTAAGAAAAGTTCTAAGTCAACCCAGGTGTGTCGATGTTGATATCAGGAGCACTCACCTTGGCCTTGTCCGAGTGAGAGGGAGTTCAACTTGTTGCCCCCGAACCCCATGTCGTCTCCGAACTTCAGCAGGGCACTCATCGGGTCAGCCCCGGGCGACAACACGAAAATGAGAGGCGCCGTACACACACTGTCGTTGTACGAACCTGAGTTGAGAAAAAATAATAATAACTTGAAATGAAAGTCAAAATACCACTAATTGGCAAATTCTCAAATAATATGCTTTAATTCCTCGCTAATGAACGCTGACTTAAGACTTTACCACTGGATAGTAAACTGTAGACGCATTACTTGATATCGTAATATCCCAAGTTTATCCAAACCATTGTTCAAAATCTTACGAATACATCTAAAAATGGATAATTTTAGAGAATAAACCAACATTCTAATGGCATTGGTATCAAACTTAATTGAATTTTTTTGAGTATATCATCTGTTTACCGGTAGATTCGAAACCTTATTTTAAGAAAACAAATAAAAATTAGCAAGACCTATATAAGAGTACTCGCTACGTTCATTACTCCTAAAAACGAGTTAAAAACGTAAGCGAACCGGAGAGATCGAAGGGAGGAGGTTCTATGTACTGTTTGCCAATCTTCTCGGTCACGAATGACTGGATGGCCGGCACCATCTTGTCCGGACGCAGACAACGCAGCATGAGGAGTCGCTGGAACGACTGCAGTCTGTCCTGCCACTCTCCAGGGTACTGGGCTGTAGTCGGGTCCTACAGAAACACAAACCACTATTAAACACACACACACACACACACACACACACACACACACAGAGAGAGAGAGAGAGAGAGAGAGAGAGAGAGAGAGAGGGGGGGCTATTCTCATTGCAAAAAGAACAACGAATGGCAGACAACCAAAACAAAAGTAAAACTGTTCCAAAAACTTAATACTGAAGATTGATTGTCGTGTTTTCTTTAAGATTGCAAATATCGAATTCTTATTGGATAGATAATTGTCTGACAGTCGATCCTTCTGCCAGAAAGGTCTCCCAAGCTTAGTTCTGCTCTTTTTTCCGAGTTATCAGGGTTTGATATTTCATGTGGACGCTATTTCAAAGTGGGAAGTTGAACAAAGAGAACAATTTGATGAAAACCCTGATCTAGCCATGTAAATTATATAAAAATAAACCAGTTCATACCTACAAGTTAACAAGTAATAGAAGCATTTTTAATGCATAAACTTAAAAAAGCCCCTTTGATAAAATTTATGAGTTGATTGTATTGTTTTTCTTTCAATTAAATCTTACCGAGCTGTCATAGACAACTTTCCATCCGTCTTTCTGGGCCAAAAACTTCTTCCTTAAGTTCTCGAATTTGGGCAGGGCATCCAGTCGACAAATCTCGTCCCAGGACTTGGAGGGTAGCCAGGCCGAGGGATTCGGGTGGGGATTGTCCAGTCCAATTCCACCTAAATTTTAATTCTCTGTGAATTCAAGAGTTTTTCACAGAGCATTTTAAATTAATGTTTCAGGTGGTCTTAAAAGTGAGTTTGGTTCGAAACGTATCCTTAGCGGATGGAAATAATGGGGGCAAAAATGTTTTTTTTTGTCCCATACGTACCTATCTTTCGATAACCTTAAAAAATAGGAATTCCTCTCTTCTCCGTCTTATGCGTTTTTTCCAAAATTTTTGCAAACGACGGGGAAGAAATAAAGAAAGAAAGAAAGAAAGAGAAGTTGTTTTTGTTAAACTAATCAATAGATAGGCCCGTATCAAATAAAAATCACCCATGCCCCCATTATAAATGTATCTTTGCCTCCATTCCATCCAATGATGCCAAAAAAATCAAAAATGCGGCAGTTAAAAATTAGAGAACATAAATAACAGATAGTTGAAAACGATTCAATGAAAGCAAGAAAACAGAAAAAAAACTGACTTAATTTAAAAAAAAACTTCAACATTCGAATTTGGAAGAAAAAATATGGCCCAAAGCTTTTTGAATTTAAAGAACAATTTTTGAATTGCACTTTTTTGATAAAATCAAACCAATTTGAGAAAACTGGGTCAATAGGTAAAACTATTATTCCGTTAGGAAATCTGAAAGCTAAAATCTGAACTTTAAAAAAAATCAAAAATCAAACCGCAAAAAAATGCCTTTGGGCCTGACAAAATTTCAAGATTTTTGCCGAAAAAAAATCACCACGACCTTTATAAGAAAGAGTCTTCACTACGCTTCACGAATCTTAACAAAAAAAAAACAATTTCAATTTAAAATTTTTTTTTGATTTTTCTTTGCACCAGAACAGCATCCACCTACTTTTGATAATGAAGGCAATATTTTAAAAATAGTAGGTTTCGTTCGTCAATTGTTACTGCTGATTCTTATCATACTAATGCGTCTGTCAAACTTTCATGCCTACAAGAAACTAAAAATGTGGCCCACCTGTGAGTAGGAATCGCCATTCATCTTCATCCACTTCATTGAAGGCCTTCAGGACATTCACGCATAGCAGGAAAGCGAACAGCAGCTGAAAACATTAAATTGGCGCTCAGGTTAACAATCATACCATTAATTTTTCATGATATAATTTCCAGGAAAGCTTTAAAAAGCATCTATAATTTATCAAATATTGAAAACTTATATCTTTTCTAGCAGAATTTTTTCTCCATGACTGACTTTGGTTTTTTAATTATTTATCTGAAAACAAAATTAAGTATTTTGAAATGCAGTGATAACTATCGTGTTGTCAAATTCAGCTGGATGTCGAGCATATTATTATTCTGTGAAACCTAATTGAAACTTTGAAGTTAAAATCATTAGGAAAAATTTGAAAATTTAAATAATAAGTTGTTAAAATTTTACAGGATAACTTTAAATATTCCGCTTATCGTATACTACTCAGTAAAAACTATCCACACATAAACTAACCGTTAACTATATAATCAAGCTACCTAAAAATTGTATTGAAAGTGATCCTTTTTTACTTTATTTTTCTCGAACAACCATGTATAAAACTGATTTGATAGTAAAGCATTTGCAAAAACTTGTACCAAATAACCCTCAAGAGAGAGTTATGAAAATGATACCTTGTCTTTCTCGAAGAGTGATCTGCAGACATTGCAGTAAAGAGAATACTGGAAGTGTCCCTTCAAGTTTTCCAGTCTCTTTTCCAAAACGTCACTCTTCTCACTGTTGTCGATACTCATCACGAACAGCTTTATGAACCAGGTGAGAGAGTATTGGTACATGGGTTCGATATTTGCCAAGTCCGCAATTACGAAGAACAGAATGGAGGAGTAGTGGGCAATCGGCTTGTAGCCCATTCGGGTCTCGTCTATTTTCTTCTCTGTTTCTTCCGCAATCATCTATACAGATAATTTTATATAATTTTAAACATAGCCAACAGACAATTGGAAAAGAGTCAATGAACGCAAAGAAACGGAAAACTGAGCTTTTGAATTTCGAAGAAAAACTATAGGCCTTCAAAGCTCTTTAAATTTTCAGAACTATTTATGACTGGCATTTTTTTCTAATGAAAATGACTCAATTTAGAAAATTGAATCAATAGGTAAATTTTTATTCCGCTGAGAAATCTGAAAAATTTTTAAAACTAGAAGTCGATCACGTTTTTTGTGACCTTGAAATATTTGCTGCTTGGCAGTTTGCCTTCTTTTTAACAAAGGAAATGAAGAAAACATCAAAAGAAATCAAAAGTCAAACCACGAAAAATTGAATTTGATCGTGAAAAACTATTAGACTTTTCATGAAAAAAAAAATCATCACGACCTATAAAAGAGTCTTTTTGTCGTTCATCAAATTCTTTAAAAAAAGAGTGTTTATGGAGATTGCATTAATTATAAAACACAGAGGCGAGGCAGAACTTCGCGCCACTTGCGATACAACACAAACGTTAAAAAAAACATAAAAAGCCGAAAGAAAATGAAAGTTTTTGAAATAAACTAGGTCATATAAACTTTCATATGTCACAATAGAAGTTAACTCCAGGCAAACATGATATAAATTTGAATATTAATTTAGCAACAATGGAACAAAGATTACAAAAAGAAACAAAGCCGACAATCTTTGAGCAGACACAAGTTGAGCCGAAAAAAAAATACGATTTTATGAAAGAAAGTTTAAAGTCCCATTTTAAATAACAATGGACATAATTTGCACCTGCAACTACAATGAAAGTCGTTTACAGCACCAGAAAATTCAACGACGTGGCAACTAAGCCAACAGACTTTGAGCTGAAACCATTTGAGCCGGAAAAAAATGATTTTTTGATTTAAAAAAACTTTCAAGTCTCCGTTGAAACTAGAATGAACAGCACTGCACTTGCAACTACCATGAAAGTTGCTTACAGCAAACAAAAATTCAGTGATGTGGCAACTAAGTCGACAATCTTTGAGCGGATACCAACTGAACCAAAAAAAAAAGATTTTATGAACTTTTTTAAAATCTTTAAAGTCCCCTACCCTGAAATTAGAATGACCAACACTTCCACTTGAAAATACAATGCAATTTTTCTACAGCACAAGCAAAACCTCTCGTGGCAATTCAGCCGACAAAAGTTTTTCTCAGATTTTTTTGCAATTTCCTTGATAATGAAAAAAAAACAAGGTCCGGCCACGACTCGAACCCCCGACGTTAGGGTACACGAGATCTTCTGCAATCGTTTGGACGGAATACTATACTCAAGAGATATTTTTGAATTGATTAGATAATTTTTAGGGTCTCGAGATCTTCTGCAATCGATTGAACGGGATACTATACTTAAGAGATATTTTTGAATTGATTAGATAATTTTTACTGAGAATGTCGGGTTGTCTGTTTTTGTCCGTTTTCTGGTGAATTAAAGCTTTTTGTTCGATTTTGCAGAAAGAGCGGAATTTTTATGGTTGGGGTGGTTTTTTTATTCGGTCAATTTTATTTACTTGTATAATAAGCGTTTTTGACAACAATTCGAGAACAATTAAATGGCAGTCGGAACATTCAGGTGTTTGCCCTGATACGAGTAGTCTTGTTTGTTTTTAAAAAATGCTTTGTTCGAAAGTGGTAACAATTAGATTCGCAGGAGTGGACACTAAGGGATACCTGTTTCTCGGATATCTCATTGGACAGCTCCTTGGAGGAGGAGAGCACTTGGATCCCAGTCTCGTCCTCCAGGATGTTCCCCTCCGAGGAAGACAACACCTCCAGGATCTTGTCCTCGATCTCTTTCAGCTGTCTGCAAAATCGCTCCATTAAGTATTCAAGTAGAGTATTCAAGAAAAAAGTAAAAATAAAATTAACTTTCACAGTTCAAAGAGCAGTGAAAAGAATCCCGTATTCCTTGCTAGCATTTGAAAATTGTTGGCCGCGACAACACTTTTGTCGCAAAATAACATATTTGGTCTTATGTTTAAGTGCCATAAACATGATTTCTTTATTCAAACACGGAGTTTCTAGCCCAATGATTTCGCCAGCAAATCGACGAAACCTAGAGTTTCAATGGAGAATTTACGTTTTAAGAGTTCAAAACCTATTTTTTATGCTGCATTGAAATTGCGAATTTGTAATTAAACATCAATATTTTTTTTGTTCTAATGCAATTTGATTGTTAGTCTGAGAAAAACGTAGGAGCTGATTGTTTAGTGTTGCAATTAGCCTAAAGTGTTACCGTTTGTTGCTTGCCGACTGAAGAATCAGTTGGTTTTTCTCCTCCTCTAGTTCTGGTCTCTCTCTTGCCACCACTATGCCCAGCAGCTGGTCTTGAAGACCCTCCGGCGTGATCATGAAGTTCAACAAGGTCACCTGAAACACCCACCATAAATAATACCATCTATTACCCACATCAACTAACGCACAGATAGACTAAAAAAATTTAAAAAAAAACATAAAAAGAAACAAGTATTTCCAAGAGCAGGCTAGTATTTTTAGCCCATCAAAAAACGGATCGTTAAAAATCGGACTGTAAAAACGATGATTGGAAACTGTCCCAAATATCTGCCCTCAAAATACATATTCCAGCAACTTGCACCTTCAAGTGGCCCTAAAGGCTTCAAGATTAGCAGAATAATCCAACTTACACAATTTGTCTTTATCTTTTTTATTTGTTTGAGATGGCTCAGAAGCTTTTGAGATAGTTCGGAATTAAAATTAATGAGGAAAATACATCTAAATGGGAAGCCAAGCCACTCACCTTGACAGCAGTCTCCGGGAGGTAGTGGGGGTTCCTCAGTTTCGTGGTGATGTAGAATCGGAAGTCGTTCGAGTACTCAATCGTGGAATCTCCCAGTCTGATGCAGAGGGATCCCCCCTGTTTGAATGTCTGCTTCAACAGCAGCGGCTCCAACAGGGCATCTATCTCTTCTCCTATGTTCTCCAGCAGAACCTGAAAGGCACAAAAGAGAAAACATCTTCATTTGCTTCCATCTATAATTAGAAATCTACTTTTTCTAGAGGGCAGGTTGTCCCAAACTGCCCACGTAATCAGCCACCAAAATTATCAAATAATTCATCGTTTATTAACCAATTAGCGTCAACAAAAAACCCTAAAATTCCCCAAAATCTGAAGTTTGAATAACTTCATGCAATTGGCAACTAAAAAAAGAAAAATTTATTTAGAGGTATTTAAAAATGTAATTTACGAACGTTTTCGCACATTTGAGCATCATCAGGTTTAAAAGTATTAAAATTTTGTAAAATGATCATCGATCATAAAAGTATTCTAGGATATTGGCTATACAAAATAATGAAAATTCAACTAATCAGATGTTTGCAAATTATTTTAAATATCATGATTATAATAAAAATAAAAGTAAATAATAAAAATTTGCTTCTCAGTTGCAAATAATAATTGGACCTCATTGGCTAATCAATTTGCATGGTTCTGATTGGCTACTCACTGGGGTTCCAAACTGGAGACAGTTCTCTAGTGTCCTGACGTAGTCGGCGTCCGACAGTTTGATCACGTGCAGATTGTTCACTTTCTCCATATTCTTCACCCACTTGTTCGCTTGACCTTGAGGATCGATCATCAATGGCCACCTACGCAATTAAAAATCTGAGAATCAAACCACATTTCCAGAAGAAATCAATCAAGACAAGCATTCCAGAATAAAAGATTTTGCTGCTGTTTTAGCCACACTGCTGTAGCTGGCTCCAAAAAAGCTAAACCTTAGATTCCATCAAATGTTTTCGGGTTGATATATGTTGGTCTAGCTGGAACAGGGTGGTGCATCGAACTAACAACCTGTCGATTGAAACGCGGAAGCACTCACCATTTCACTGGACCTCAGTTTAACCTCAGTTTGGTCTCAGTTTGTTCAGTTTAACAAACCATTTTGAGAGCCAACTGATTCAACCATTTTTAACTAACCATTCATGCTGACTTGGAACTCAAAAGCGAGGCTTAGTAATGGGAAAAAAACTTGGCCTACCTTTGTGCGTTGCTGATGATGATTCCATTGTCCACGGAGAAAGAATCCGTGGGGAGACCACAGATGTTCCAGTTGCGGATGGCCACTGGATCTCCCAGAGTGGCTCCCAGAGATATCAAGGGCGAGCATGGGATCTCTCTCTTCCTGCACCCATCCGCCCAGTTCTGGATCTGGTCCTGTCAACAAAAACACCGCACGTTGACTCAATCGGGAGAAATTCGCATCAGACAAAACGTATCAGCCACATTATTGAAAAAGGTTGCGCCACTGAGACCAAAATCTAGCCCTAAGCATAGATAGTGATTATTTTCAAGTTCAAGCTCCAAGAGTGAACATATTCAAACACGCCATATAACTTTTGACGGTTCCTCCACTGTGTTTGCTGGATGGTTTCAGCGTTATTGAAGCGTAATGGTTTCGCCCAAAAAAAGGGGGAACTTGCATCGTTCAAATAAATTAGGCAAACAGAAAGAGAAGAGAACGCAATAATTGCAAAACAAGGTCTCTGAACGAAATTCTTGTTTCGTGCACTTAAACAATTGAAACATTCACAAAGGACCTTTTCTGGATAAGCTATGCTTTTGCTAGACTTTTCCTTAAAAAAACAAAAAAAAATACCAGCACTAACACAACAGTCTGATCTGGACTAAAAAAAACTGTATATTAATGAGAATGCTTAAAAAAATATAAGCAATATGTAGAAAAATCAACACAAATGGGGATTTACCCCTCTGAATGAGGAGGTGAATGCGCCCAAGTAGGCGACAATGCCCGAGGACACCAACACATCCCCGGTGAGTGCCACGTATCTCTCCCCCAGCTGCTTGGCACTGTCCTGCCACCTCGCCTTCTCCCCTCCTAGGCCTCCGAGGAGCTGCTCCGCCCTCACCAACTTCTTCTCGCACTGGTCCACTTGGTTCTCAAGGTCAATCTGTCAACAGACATCAGAGCAGGTTATAAGAATTATTATTACACAGAGGCGAAGCTGAGCTTCGCAGCACCTGCGACACAAATAAAATGCTAAAGTTCAAAAGATAGGTCTCAACCGAAAGGTAAAAAACTAAATGTATTGAAGAAACCGTAAGCTGGAATATGAAAAAAGTCTTATTTCAATGTTTATAGAAATCAATTACCTAAAACATAAGAAAGATTTGGGCTACACAAACTCCATCCATTTCTCTCTCGTAATAAATGGATGAAAACGATTAAAAAATTGGTCAAATGATCTAGAAATTCCTGATTGAATTCAAAAAAATTGCACACAAATCATAAAACCAAACAACCTGAATGTCCTACAGGCAGACTTGATGACAAGAAACGGCCTTATCCGTTGCTTGCTATAAGCTAAGATTGAAATGAACAACGAAATTGAAAAACCAAAATTTGAAAAAAGATGACTAAAAATTTTAAAAAGTGTCACTAAAAACAATTTTCAGAAAGCCTAAAAAAGTTTTAACATCTATAAACACATTCCAAAGACACGATATGAAAATTTGATAAAAAGATTACACAAAAATACGCCCGTTAAGGAAATGAAAAACACGAAAGCTCTTTTTTGTCAAAAATTTCAGCCTGAAAGAAACAAACTCTTAAAAATCGTACGACACTCGCAAATTCTTTCGTGGACGAAACATTCATATCAAAATTGCACAAAAAAACCGTTCTGGAAATTTATGATTTTTTTCCCGAAATTTATCATTTTGTTTTCGAAATTTATTAATTTTCACTTTATAAAAATGTATAACAAACCAAAACAACACGCTGTTAAATCCATTTCAAAAGAAATTTTGCACGGAGGCGAAGTTGCAATTCGCATACACAAGAAAAAAAAGTACCGATAAAGCTACTGAGAAAAACTAAATGAGTAAAATTTGGAGTGTACAAAATTTCTTAAGTGACGCACCCCAATTATGGGTCTACATGATTGCTAAGTGACGCAAGCCAATTATGACGCATTAGTAGTACCAGATCATTCAAAAAAAATTACCAACTAACATACAGCAATTTATAGAGCGACCGCTTTTTAACTAAATTAAGAAAAAGTTCATTTAAAACATCTGAACCTGCCCAGATTCGAACCCTCTTATTTTGTTGCGGGTCTCCTTTCCTACCTCTACGCTACAGATCCATGACACCTTAAAGCTAAAGTGATATTTATAATATAATAGTCTGTGGGAATATCCTTAGCATTAGCTAAACTTAATCGCTGGTTATTGATTAAAATGAACACTTTCAAAATGAACACTAATATTTGCGACTTAGGTTGGAAAAAAAGAGTTGATACTATCACACAAGTTTTGCTTATGTAATAAAACTTACACAACCCAAAGTAGGTAAAAAATCAGAAACCACAAATCCAAAAAACTGAAAATTAAATTCAAAGAGTTTCTAACAGAAAAATTCTTAAATTGTTTGTTCTACCAGAAAGTGCTGGCGTGTAAAAAAACTAGAAAATAGTGTTGGCGCGTTGTTCTATAGAAAAATTTAGAAAAATTATTAAGCCTTTTAACTTCTAAAAATGACATTAAAATAAGCGATGTAGCTGGCTTGTAAAAACAAAGTGGAAACCAAGCCGACAAAAAATAAACCGAAAGCGACGAAGTCGAAAAATAAAAAATATTAACGAAATATGATTTAAAAATTTGAACTGAGAATTTATTGGAAAATACTAATAAGGATGCACAGTGGGAGCAACAGACCAATGAGCGCAAACAGAACTCCCATAATGCATGCATGTCGTGTACTGCATGCATGCTGAAATCTTTATAGCACAAACAGATAAGATCCATGTGCATGGGTTATTTTCAGTTCATCATTAGGCTTAACAGTTTTTTAGATGAGTTTCGCCGAAAAAGTTCAACTTCCGTTGAACACTGTAATTTAATTCGAAAATTATCGTATATTAGAAGAAATCTATATAATTCTGACGTTTTCTGACCACGAGCCAAAAAACTAACCAATTCTGACAGGTCAGAAAATGTGACCAAGTGGTAATCCTGGATAAAACTCTTCTCACTAGTAGGTTAACTTGGCTCCAAATGAGAATATTCTAAGTTGTCCAACCAGATTCGAGTTACAAGGGGGATGGATCGTTTTCACTTGCTCTTTTGGAAGGAGCGGATATTAACATAAGTTGTTGACCTTTCAGGTTTTCGAATTAAATTACAATATTCAAATTAAAGGGTCTTTTGCCTTGTGGATAAATCGTCTTAGCACTATTTGTTAAACCCTCCTTCAAAAAGTGCTTTTGAAAAATGAAACGTTGAAGCAAACCTTCGAAGCAATTATTCGGTTATATCGGAAGAAACAATTAACTGAATTGATATTCGTGTTTTTCTCTTAAGAACAAAAAATGGTGATTTGGATATGAGTGTTATGATTTATTCGGCCCAATTTTCCTAAAATCCTACAATGACTTCTAAATTGAACATGTTTGTTAATTTATGTTTTGAAGACTTATTCAATATCAAACAATCAGATTCGAACATTTTCCTTTCTGTTTATCTGTTGAGATTTGCGAATTGGGGGCGCAATAAATAAAAAGACCGAAAACTGAGTTGGCCAAAAAATGAAACGGGACATTCAGTACGGATCTGCTGATTCACGCGCGCAATACTGCAGGTGCCGAAGATGATTGAAGCGGAGCAAGCGTTCCCTACTCTTTAACGCCGCCGTTTTTCAAAGTTGTCTGTTTTTTTTCGCTAGTAACGCTAAACATTCGGCTTTCCGGCATTATCTATCTTCATCGGCTATCCGAGAATTTGTTGAGAATTTCAAAAATTTGGCGAGAATTCCCAAAATTAGATAAGAATTCTGGGAATTTGGCGAGAGCTCCAAAAAGTTGGTGAGAATTCCGGGAATTTGGTGTTGTGGCCGGCGACTTGTGGAAATTGTGCATACCTTTTTCTGTTTGTTCTCTTCCAGCTTCATCTGCAGTCGGTGGAGTTTGTCCTGCACCTCCTGCAGTTCGGCCCTCTTCTTGTTCAGGGCCCCCATGGCCACTGACAGCTCCCCCTCCGCCTCCTTCAACTTCTCCTTCTTAGGCGCCACCACCTTCGCCACTCTAAACTTCAATTATTCAACACGACCAAGCAAAGAAAAAAGAAAGGAAGAATTTACTTCTCCATAATCGTATAAGGACAGATACAACAATAAATTGTAAACATTATTTTGGGCAACTCAAACTAATTGTTGTACAAAATAGCACTATGGAATGAATAGACAAAAGGCACAACACGCACCTACCGAACACATAATGATGACAAACTTCGAGATAAAAAATCTAGAAAAAAAATGAAAATAAAAAAAACTTACACACTTTTTTGAAAATACTTATACCAACTTAATTCACAAAAATAAAGAACTATGCTACTTTGCAAAAAAAATTAAAAAAAGACTAAAATTAAATTCAACTTCTAATCCGTGGGTACCACCACCTTTCGCCACCAAAAACATTCATATAATTTACGTTGAAATAGTTTACGCTAAACCGGTGTCTGATTTCGATGACGAATTGATCCAAACGAAACTCTATTTGGCACAGCAACGCATTCGAAACGTTCTCCCGCATGTTCTAATGTTTACAACGTTGTTAAAATTAAAAATTGAAATCGATCTTTTGGTGAGAAAAAAACTTTTTAACAACTTTTTAAATAAACTAGCAAAGACACTAAAAGAATGGGATCTACTTAACAATCTCCAACCCTTTCAAGAAAGGGGGGAGATTCTTAAGTAGGTCAAAATGGTCGATTTTTCAACCAATCAGAATGCAGCAAAATTATATTTCTCAATAGAAAGCTCAGTGCTAATTTACTGTATTTATTTATAGGGGTGGAGATTCTTAAGTAGGTACCATAGGGGGGGGGGGGGGGAGATTGTTAAGTAGATCCAAAGAATGGACTGACTTGTCGTAGGAGTCCATGGCCCTTGCCCATTTGCACAGTCCTTCACACGCAGTCGAGGCATTCTTGATCTTCTCGGGTACAAACTCTGGGTTGGGGATGTACTTTTCCCTGATGACCTTCATCACTGCAGGGGGAATGTTGTCTTTGTCGTAGGACTAAAACGAACATTAACTAAATACAACCAACATAATTATTTGCTTGGAAAAGTTACGGCTCAAAAAAAATCGTACACTTACAAACCGAATTTTAAATTTTCACCGTAGACGAAAAGTATTTTTATCGTGGAAAATAGCTGTTCACCATGAAACTAAGGAGTTTTTTGTTCCAACTTTTTTCGAAAGACAATGACTGAACATTTGTGGCCGGGGGTTTTGTGCCATTTTTGATGGTTTTGAGCAGTAATAGCATGAAAAAATTAAATGTAAAAAAATAAAATGAAAACTTTTTTCTAAAATTTGAAATTTTATATGAAAATCATCCCCCCACACGCCATATAAAGTACAAAAATATATATTTCGCTCCTTGCAACAAATCAATTATGGCAAATAGGCTTCTTTCAACCAATTTGGAACGAGTTCTAAGACGGATTAAATCTCCGCTTACGCGTTAATAGCGCGAAATATATCGCGCGTTATTTGTCCCAAATTGGCCTAAATGGCAATCTTTAAACCCCCATAACTATACGAAAAATGGTCACAGGTGAAATATGTTTTCAAATTTAAGCTCAGGACAACAATAGCTTTCGATTGATATAAAAAAATTCCATCAAAAATGGCTAGTTAAAAAGTCGAAATTTGTCTGAAGAAAAAAACCCACTCCCAGCACAAATATTCCGTTTCTTTCGTATCGAAAGTCGGAACAATAAAAGTCTGTGGAATGCTCACTTTATTCAATCTTTGGTTTAAAACTGTTTTTTTTTCGGCTTGCAATAGTTTAACTAACTATTTTTACAAAAAAAACTATTGCAATACCCTATTCTTGAACAGGCGGTGCAATATCCAACTGCAAGCTAAAAATAAATTGCAATCTATTTTTAACCAGCCCTGGTCGTAACACTAAGACGGAAAAAAACAAAAGAGCACTGTAGACGGAAAAAAATCAAAAGAGCAGAATCCAGGAAAACAAGCAATGCTTGACTAACTTTGAGGTTCTCCAGGAACTTCATGTCTCCCAGGACTTTCTTCGAGGGTCCCCAGTAGTCCAGCACCATTTTTCCACTGCCACTGGGGTCCGGGATCTTGTCTGGTTTGACACCCTTCAGCACACAAATTGCCTCCATCGTCAACTTCACGGGTCCTAAAAACACCGCAACTCATATCACAATTTTGTATTACGGCAATGCAAACGCTGAACCGATAGTTACTCCAGGAAAAGTTTTCTCACAACACTGAGCTCGTTTGCTTATAAACAATAGAGTTCAGTAAAATATAGGCGAGAAAGTTTTAGAAATTTAACAATAAAAAATGTTCATTTATTTAAATTTGCTATGAAACTCCAAGATTGATGTTAAAACTGGCCGGTGAATATTCAGGAAAAAAGTTGAAGATATTCAGTTAAGCAGGTTTTGAACATAAGTTTTCAAAAGAATTAAGAAACGAGCATAAATTTATATGTTTTTTGAAGAACAAGAAGAAGACGAAAAAGAAGCCGAAGAAGATGAAGAAGAAGAAAAAGAAGAAGAAGAAGGAAGAAAAGAAGAAGAAGACAAAGGCTTCCCAGATGTGTACCTACGCGCGGTGGAAAGCGATACCACAAAAGCAACATCACCTCAAGAAGGAGAAGAGGAAACTACTACGCAAGGAAATAGTTTCAAGGACCCTTTTTGGGAAGAGAGCGGCCCGGCAATAGCCGAACCGAGCACCTCCTAAAACAACCTGTAGGCTACAAAAGTCGCCTCAACGGCTGGGTACTCAAGGTTGACGAACGACACCAGGCTAGGATTGTAAAATGGTGCCTGATGGACATACATCCGAACCCCGGGCCGAGGACAGTGGACATCAACAGGTGGGCTGAACAGAAGCTTCGGGAGATGCGAGCGCTGAAGAGGAAAGAAAGACGCAGTGAAAAAAGAGGTTCCAAATGGACGCGTATGCTAGCAAACCGGAGCAAAGAAGGGAAGGAGCACCTAACGGGGAAAGCGAGGAAGAAAGAGAAAGAACGGTGGAGAAGAAAAGTGAACCAGAAATTCTCAAAGAGAACCAACCTTGACTCTGAGGTAATCACGTGGAACCTGCAGAGATGCAAAATCCAGTTGGATGGACGAGGCCGAATTCAGCATATCCTAGCAGCAGTACAGGAGAACAAATGGGATATTATCCTGCTGTCGGGAATATCCTCAAAAGAGGAGGGGGTATGGTGGTACGAAGAGGACTCAGTCCTAATCCATGGGAAAAGAGCCGGTATTATCTTAAGAAACCATTGGGCCCAAGAGTGGAAGAAGCAAGGGAGCCAAAAATGGTTGACCGAACGAGTAGCCATGGTAACAGTGAACAACGTTAAGCTGATCGCAGTCTACCAGCCAGTATCGCCGAATGATATAGAAATCGACGAATACCGAAAACAGCTAGAGACAGCGATATCGTGTAGGAAAAAGGACGAAATGTTGCTCATAGGAGGAGACCACAATGCTCAAATAGGCAGGCAAGATAATACGGGAAAAGAGAGGACTCTGGGAAAGTTCGGGTTACGAGCAAACTCGGAAGCAGGGGACGAAGTCGTCGAGTGGGCGGAAAACAATGACCTATACATCGTGGACACCTATTTTAGAAAGAATAATAGAGGTACGTGGTGTCATCCAAGAACAGTTAATTGGTACGAGCTGGATTACTTCTTAGCTAAGAGACACAGAATTTTAATCTTCACAGATATGAAGGTGGTACGGGAAGACAGATGGTCCGATCATAGGCCCAAGATGATTAAAGTGAGCTTCAGAGAAAAGAAGGAAAGATTCAACCGTACAAAACAAGAGAAAATAGACTGGCGGAAGCTACGCATCAAGAAACATCATGATGCGTATCAGGAACACATAAGCAAGGCCTCCCTTTCAAACGAACCCTCTTGGGCAGAATTAGCAGAAAACATGAAAAGGGCAGCCAAGGCTGCTTGTGGGTTAGAAGATACAAGAAGCAAAACCAGTCAATGGATGGTAGGCCATGAAGACCGAGCAAGGGAGTTCAAAAGCGGAATTCAAAGGGCAGTCAAAAAACGGAACGAGGCAACAAACGAGGCGCAAAGGCACAATGCAAGGGAAGAGCTTAAAACAGTACGAAAAGAGTATAAACGGAGACTCAGAGAGTGGGAAACAGAATGGTGGGAAGCTCTCTTAGTCAAATGCGAGGAAGCTATGCGTAGGCAAGACATCGGGGAGATGTACAGCATCCTCAAGCAGCTAGGACTTAGAGATTACGCAGTACCTAATTCTAAAGCAACAGTAATCCCAGCGGAAACTTTTAAGCAACACTTCCAGAAAGTGCAAGAAAAACGCGAAGAAAATGGACTGACAGAGAAGATCCAGTCGAGGAGGATCATACGAGAGTTCGCTCAAACGACACTAGAGGGACGTCAAATGGCCAAGGAGTGCAGCACAATGCCTTCAGAAGAAGAAATTATGGAAGAGTGGGCGAAGCTTAAGGAAAAAGCACCGGGCGAGGACGACATCCGAATGATCTACCTTAAATCAGCTCCAATAGAATTCCAAAAGAGAATCGTAAAAGTGATACAAACCATGTTCACTACATCAGCGGAATATTGGGATGATATAGTCAAAGTGGGTCTCATTATTCCACTGCACAAGAAAGGAGCGAAGGACAACACCGATAATTTGCGCGGTGTTTGCCTGTTATCCATGGTGAGCCGAATTCTCGCTAGAGTCTTAACAACACGACTCCGGGATTGGGGCGAGGAATTTGGCGCCCTAGATGATAATCAAGATGGTTTTAGACAACACAGATCTACGGCCGACGCCACCCAAATAATGGTCAGACTACAGGAAGATAACCGAAGGATATGCGAATCACAAAGTCTGAATAGAGACCGAGCGTGCCTATTAGATCTGAGAAAAGTTATCCAAGAATCAATCGACCACTATTGTGGAAAATACTGGAAAGTTATGGGTTCGAAGATAATTTCCTAGGACGATTAAAGGACCTACACGAAGTAACTTCTTACAAAGTGAAAGGTAATAAGGAAGTTAGCTCCGAATGGAAACCTCAAAGAGGATTGAGGGAGGGATGTCCTTCTTCCCCAATGCTTTTTAACATATTTCATCAGATCACAATAAGAGCAGCAGAAAAACAAAGGGAAGACAATGGAATAAGAATCACTTACGTACCTGGAAACACCTGCATGACACAGAGGAGAGACAAACAAAATGCTGAAGCGAAGCATATAGACCTCAAATACGCCTTGTTCGCTGATGACACTACTATCTTGAGTAATAAGGAAAGTATGGATGTCGCAAGAGACACCACCAAAAGAGTAATGGGCCTCTTCGAAGAGAAGACAAACGAAACTAAAGGGGAAAACATAACTCTTGGTGAAACCAGTGCGGCAGGAACCAGATTCTTGGGCCTTTGGCTGGGAGAAGCTGAAGACACAAGAGTACGATTACAACGCGGGATGGGAGCTTGGCCAAAGGTCAAAAGACGCCTCAAAAACTCAAGGTTAACTAAAAGAACGCAAGCGCGTGTAGTTGAGGCAGTAGTAGAAAGCACCATGTTGTACAATTGCCAAGTACGGACCTGGAATGTGTCAGAAATAAACAGAATCCAAAGGAAAGTAGACCAATGTTACCGTTATGTTTGGAGTTCAAAAACCCAACCACCGCTGAAGGAAATGGAACAAAAACACAAAAACACATAGAATGTAAGGAAAGAACTCAGAATAAAATCAGTCAGAAGTAAAATCGAAAAACGGAGTATGGAACGCCTAGGACATATGATACGTATGCCCGACGACAGAAGAGTGAAGCACGTAACTTTTGGTTGGTTAAGCAAGTTAGAAGAAACTGAAAAACCGAGAGCGAAGTAACGTTGTACTCCCAGACAATGGATCAAATTGATGTGCGAAACAGGAATTGACCAACTAGATATCGAAGAGATGGCAAAAGACAAAAAGCAATGGAAAACGATTAAAAAGAACAGAATGATACATCTGGAAAGATGGGAGGAATCCCAAGAGAATGGATGGGAAGGAGGCATGATAGAACGCTGCTCACAAAGAAAGGAAAACGTCAATCTCGGGTGTAGCCAATGCGAGAAAGTCTGCAAATCTAGAGCTGGTCGGGCAGTGCATATAAAAAGAATGCACAGAGAGAACAACGCAGAACATACGTGCATCAAATGCCACGCCAAATTCCCAACGAAAACAAACCTGAAGAATCACGAGAAGAAATAACGAGGAACAACAAGACCTACCAAGTACGTCCCGGCAACAAAGGAATGTCCACTGTGCAATAAATTGTTCTCAGCAAGCAACCTAGCGAGACATATGACCAGGAGCTGTAGAAAACGACATGGGGGACCCTAACAGGGTGAATACCCGAGAGAGAGAGAGAGAGAGAGAGAGAGAGAGAGAGAAGACAAAGAATAAGAAGTAGAAGAAGACGAAGAAGAAGAAGCCGAAAAAGAGAAAAAACAAGAAGAAGAAGAAGAAGAAGAAGACGAAGAAGAAGAAGCCGAAAAAGAGAAAAAAAGAAGAAGAAGAAGAAGAAGGAGAAGAAGAAGAAGAAGAAGAAGAAGAAGGCAACTGACCCGGCGGATTCTTCATGGTCTTCACAATAGTGATATCATTGGAGGTGAGGGTGTCCAGGGCAGAGAGGGCAGCCTCCAGCACTGGAATGGCCTCTGCCAGATCACTGTCACACTCGTCCTTGATGGCCTTGGCAGCTGTCGCTTGCTCATTTGCAGCCGCTTCGTCCACTTTCACCTTTTTCTCTTTTTCGGCCACCTGAACACAACACAAGAAAGTAACAACATGAGACGAGACGGGGACCAGTTTCAATGCAGTTAGCATACATGTTTCAGAGCATACATTCATGGCAGTTGCTTACCGCTGAAATAAGACGTATACAAAGGAACAGAGACCTTCTTCCAAAAAATTCATTTTCATATATTGATATAGCTAGCATATTGATATTTTCTGATTTCATATTTTTTCTGATTTCAATTGATATTTCACTGAATACAAATGAAAATTTGATTAAGAAATGAATATTTCAAAAAATCGCTGACGTTTTACGTGACAAACACAAAAAAAGAACAGATGAGCCAAAATTTCATTATTTTGATAACTGAGCGATGCATGTTTCTATCATTGAACACTTCATACTTTAAAACATATACTTGACAATCTGGTTATTGTTTTATACATAATGTGATGGTGTTCTTCCAAATACTTCAGAAGCATGAACAAATTAGATCACATTTTTAGCATATGAGCTATTTTGGGACCACACGTCTGAAAATCAACGTTTAAAAAAATTCTAGACGTACCATATACAAACAAGTAATCTTTAATAAGCGTTTCAACTACAGTGCCAAAACCATCGAATCTTTTCAAGTATTAATCAAGTCACAATCCTGAAAGATCCATGAACTGGAAGATACTATCTTGGTCTTTTTATGTGAGGTTGTTCACTTGATCCTACAATTTGCCATATGCGAGAACCCGAATAAAAAAAGGCGGAAATCAAATACATACATTTTAAGACACCTAGTTATTGTTCCGACTTTCGAAGAAAGTGGTAGAATATTTGAGCACAGGGTGGTTTTTTCTGGTAGGTTATTTAAGTACTCTCTTTCCTTATTTTCAAGAGGGTACACTTATTTTAGGTTTTCCTGGCATTTAAACAGGCCCAAAATTTCTGTAAGAAAAATTGTTTTTTTTCGATGCATAGTTTTTTATTACCCTTGCGATAAGCAAGGGTATTGCAACCGGGGTACTACACTTTTTTCCCGTAAAAAACGTTGTTCACATGACTCATCTCTTAAGTTACCCTGGTTCATAATTCATTCAAACTCCTAGCGGTCCGGGCGCACTAAGCCTGGAGGTAACGATTACGCCTGGTAGGGCAAAGGCTCGGGGTTGGAATCTGACCAGGGCCTGAGTTTTTTTAAAATTGGAAATATTCCGTTTCAAAAAAAAATTGGCGGTTAATTATTTGTTTGCTTACATTTTTTCGGCTTAGTTGCCACATCGCAGAATTATTTTTTTTTCAGTATGCGCAATTAACATTGTAGTTGCTTTTATTGCTTCGATTTACTTCTGCTGTTTGTAATTTCTTGACTTGTATTTTTTCTTTGTTCCTTAAACTTTTTTCCTCCCAAATGACTTCGGCTTATATTTTGTCGGCTTATTGAACTAATTTTTAGTGGTTTCAAGTGGAACGTAAGTTTTATGCTCATCTCTGGATCGCACAATTTGCTGAAATCTAAATAAAAATTATAGGTCGTTTTTCATGACGGCTTAGAGGGTTTGTGCTCAGTTGTTTTCAGCTTTGTTTTCTTCTGATGCTCAATTCCCATTCTATTACCTTGGCAAGTTTTTCTTTAAAAAAAAGAGCTTGATTCATTTTCACAGATCTAGTTTTTTTAAAATTTTTTTCATTTTTTTTCGACTTAGCTGCTTTCTTGTTTTGTATCGCAACTGGTGCGAAGCTAGCTTTGGCTCTGTGTTTTTTATTTGAATGTGCGTGGAATCAATTTTAGGTTGAATTTTTTGTTTTTGTGTTTTGGGGTTGAGCATTTTTTTCGAAATCGATTCAAGTTGATGGTATAGCGTAGTTTTGATGTCAAAATTTTTTACTGAAAAAATAAGACTTTTTCGAAAAAATGTTCAATAAATAATCTTGTTTTGACTGTTTTGTCTTCAAAGGAATGTGGCAAGTGTCGCGCGAGATTCAGAAGTGTGGTTTTTTCAAGCTGAAAGTTTTGAAAAAATGAATTATTATTATTTTTTCGTTATTCCCTTTACGGGCATCTTTTTTATGATTTTTTTGTGAACCAGCCCTCTTAACGTTGCATATTGACTTCATATTTTATAAGTTTGATGTAATTTGGTTATTTTTATAATCTTTCAGAGTTCTGTCAGATTTTCTTCAAGTTCTTTTTTTTGTGGCAGTTGTTCGAAATTTTTGCCTTCACTTTTTTTGTATTTTTTTCTTCCCTTTTGACCTTAGCTTATAGCAAAGGGAAGGGCTCTTTCTGAAACACAAAATGTTCCTGAAGGTTATGCAGGTTTTTTTGGTTGCGAGGCTGAGCAAAGTTTTTAAGTTTTTGAGTACATTTAGGAACTTTTGGATCTCGAGTTTTTACCTAATTTTTTCTTATCGTTTCGATCGATTGGTTACGAGAAAGAAAGGAATGGTGTTTGTGTGGCTCAAATCCTTCTTATGTGTTAGGTAGTTGATCTTCCTCTGAGAAAAATTTGAGTGTGGTAGTGTAATTATAAAAACAAATTGCCTGCTTCACTTCAATTGTAAATGCTTTACTTTGACGCTAACACTTTGATAGACCAAAAATAATCACAGATTAGTGAAATTGGCAATTTTTACGCCCCATCTCCGAAGCACAAATATTCCCGAGCATAAATAAGTCTCCATATCGTTTTCAGTAAGCAAAATAGTCATATGAAGCTATCGAATTTGCAATAGATGCGCCGCCTATTGCCCAGTTACTTTCGAAATTAAGCAGTTATAGAAAACCCGATTGTTACCGAAAGCCAAACAAGACTGCTCGTATCAGGGCGAAGCCCTGAATGTTCCGACTGCCTTTTAAGGTTTTATGGAGCAGTAATAAAATTAAAAACTTAAATGTAATAAAATTTGATATTTTTTTTTAATTTGAAATTTTTTATGAAAATCATCCCCCCACACGCCATTTAAAGTACAAAAAGATAGATTTAGCTCCTTGTAACCAATCAATTATGGCAAATAAGCTTCGTTCAACCATTTTGGAACGATTTATAAGACGGATTAAATCTCGCTTACGCGTTAATAGCGCGAATAATACTGCGCGTTAATTGTCCCAAATTGGTCAAAATGGCAATCTTTAAACCCTCATAACTTTACGAAAAATAATCACAGGTGAAATATCTTTTCAAATTTGAGCTCAGAACAACAATACTTTTTGAATGATATAAAAAAATTCCGTCAAAAATGGCTAGTTAAAAAGTCGAAATTTGTCTGAAGAAAAAAAAAACCCACCCCGAGCACAAATATTCCGTCACTTTCGTATCGAAAGTCGGAACAAAAACAGAAAACATTTAGGAAGAAATCGCGAAACAATACTATTTCAAAAAATGTATATTTTTCAGTTTTTGCTCAAACTTCTGTCGTCATTTTTCAGAAGAAGGCCATTTGAATAATGTATCAATCTGCCAAAAATAATCAAACTAAAGTAAAAATAGTAGCATAACTAACCAAAGAACTAAGCAGCATTCAATATCTAATTTTGTGATTCGTAAAGGTCGATTCAGTTGCTCTGAGAATCCGAAAACTCAAACCAGAAACGAAAAAGTAAGTTTTTTCGTGGATAATGTTTTTTTGATCAAATTTGATTTTTTGATCAAATTTTCCAAAAAGTGCCTAAAAACGCCTAATAAAAAATGTAGTAGAATTAGATTGATGATTCACTTTCGCATTAAATTTGTGTAATTTAGTCTGAAAAATGGTAAATTTCAGAGCAATTTTTGACGACACAGAAAGTTTCTTCTTTCATTTTTTGAATGCGAATAACGACTGAAAAGTCTTTCATGTGAAACCGAACTTGACTGGGTGCATGCATTCTTAGATGTGGTCAAAATCAGCGAGAAAAGTGAAAACTACCCTATTTTATGGTAGCTTCGAGCCATTTCGTGGCATCGGTGGTTGGACTAAGAGCCCTGATTCATTGATTTATTTTGTCTTAGATAGATCCCTTTCAAATCACAGACATGAAATTTCTTCAGAATTATGACTTCATGTAATCGGAACCATTCCTTTTTTGCACCTTTGCAAACTACTGAGTGGAGAGATAATTCTTTCCTACAGTCCTTTTCTTTTCCTACCTCTATAGAGTCCTTTTCGATGATGACCATCATCTCGTCCACATCCTTACTGGCTGTGATCAGCTGAGGCTGCAGGTCATTCAACTCCTTCTGCATCACCCCCACGTCTGAAGAGGCCGCCCCCAGTTTCTCCAGCCCCACCTCGTACCTCTTCTTCAGTTTCCACACCTCCCTGAAAACACACCACAACAACATCACTTTCATCATTTCTATTCACAATAAAAGGCAAATTTATTTCTTATATATTGCGTGAACCATTGCGTGAACTGTAAAGAAACCATTGCGTGAATTGTAAAGATCTATCTCACTCATTTTCTAATTTAAATGAAAAACGCCAAAAACAAAACGTTTCGGCTTAAATTTCTGTGATACAATTTTTTCGAGAAGCCAAAATTCCATTGTAAGCAAAGTATTTTTCCAAAATAATTTCATTCTACTCGCTCAAAATATACATACAATAAGTTCAATTTTAACTCAGTTAGAAGTGTCTGATTGAAAAAAGTTTTGGATAGTTTTGTTTTCCAAGCGCAAGTTTTTTGCCAAAGTAAGTTTTACTATTTTGTTTCAAAAAATGGTATTTTTGAGGTTATTTTGAAACCTTTCGACAAACAATTTCGTTGCTCACGAATGCGAAGTATTTTTAGTTTGGCTAGAAATTTTATGAAAAAATCATAGACATAAACGTACGATCGTTTTTTGTCCAGCAGATCCTTGTATGTCCTGATGAGTTCCAGATATGAAGTGGGTGTGACGTAGTTATGTCTCTGTGCATTGCTCAAGAACTTCTCACTCAAGTCTCGTGTGGACGTGTGGAACTCCTTGCACAGATCAATACATCCCAGGCGCTCCTCGTCCGTCATCTCGACGTCTCCGAGGAATCGGGTGGCCACGGCTGTCAAAGCATCTTCAGGCCACGACTAAAAACAAACAAAAGTTAGACTGAAGTTGATATATTGAATAAACTAACCAACGAAGCTAAGAGATGCATCTTTTCAACCGTTAATTCACCGATAAACTGTCCAAACACTTAGATATCCTCAAATTAGACAGTTGGCCGATACAATAATCCATTATATGAAAAACTTCTTTCAACAAAAAGATTAAATAATATTCGCGGTGGTCCAAAACTAACCTGGACAGCAACTAGAAAAGAAACCGACCCACGACAGCTAGTTAGTATTTTGACTTTTCCACCATCTCTTCTAACCCCCAGTTTGAGTGTGTATCGAGTACTTTTTCAAGGTTGCACAGAAAGCACAAATTTTGCAGCAATGTCAATTTTGCTACATTTGTCTTTTGCATCGCAATGGGATGCTCAGAGTATCTAGGACGCTATTGTGGTACTTAAATTTAGAGGTCCTTTGAGTGCGCCCTCAGCTTCAATAATGTTTTACATATTGGATAATATTTGTTATTGTATCAGTTAAGTACTAGAATTTCTTCTTTTAAGGTCAAGAGAAGGAGTACAAATTATGTGGAGTGCGGTCTGTATTTAGACAACCGCGTATTCAGACACTGTATTAACCAATCAGAATCGAGACAAGGAAGAAATGAATTTGGTATCTTTCTTTGTCTCGATTCTGATTGGTTAATACAGTGTCTGAATACGCGGTTGTCTAAATACTGCTACGTAACAAAATTTTGTGTATCATTCCCAGCAACGGCAGCTGGACTCAAATTGTTACCGAAACATTTTCTTATTGCCTTCACCATAGAATTTTTCAAGTGAAACTTAATGAAAATCTGAGCGTTTTGATTTGAACACAGAAAAATCCGTCCCTGTAATTGAACTTGAATTAAAAATTTCATTTTCAAGTCAAAAACTTATACTCATACATTCTATGAAATTGTACGTTTTTTGCAGTTTAGTCCGGCTTTGGAGAATAGCAAAAACGCATTAGCCTGTCGGGAGGCATCTCCAAAAAGAGCGTGTAATAAAGTGGGTTGGTACCTGGGGTAGTACCTGGGGGTAATAAAGGGGTAGTACCTGGAACCAGTCGATGGTGCAGCAGTTGACGAGGGAGGGGAACTTGCGGAGTCTGTTGCGGAAGGAGTCTCCGATGGGACTCATAGTCAACACTATGTGCAGCTGGTTCTTACACCTATCCACGAACATGTTGTACAGGGCCAATGGGGTTCCGTCCGTCTGCTTCGCCTTGTCTTTCTACAAATTAAAAAGTGCATACTCAATGTTTGACCAACTTTAAGCAAAAACTGTGGCATTGTGGCGCTCCAGTACTGATGGTGCCCAGAAAGCATAAGATTGCTGGTTCTAATCGCATGTGCGCTGCAAATTGTGAGGTGAGCTTCTGCAAATTAGTCATAGCCTAATGGGTCATGGTTATATGCAATTTTTGGGCCAATCTACATAATTCATTTTCGGATTAGGCCTCCAGGTTGGTTGACTAAAAAATGAAGAAAAAAAACTGCAGATAAAACATCTAAAATCAGGCCTCAAAAAATGTTCCTTTGATTATGCTTCTTTTTGTTTTTTTTTATAAAAACTAAGGAAAAAAATGGATACTAATTACAAAAAACACAAGCAAAGCCGGTAGCTGTGCATGTAGCACATATTGCTTCTGAATTACTGCTTGGCATAACATAAGAGTGAATAGGATGTGTTACCTGTCGGTCAATCTGTCGCATCTTTTCACAAATCTCCTGCTTCTCGTCAACTGGGAATATGTTGGGCACTTCACCCGCATTCAACAAATTGTTGATGTCCTCCAAAAACGCCTCCATTTTGATCTAAATGGAGATATATTTGTTAAAATCCTCAACCCCCCAGAACATGTTAAGGGGCAGGGGCGAATTTAGGGTTGACGCCCCTGTAAAGAAGAATGTTAACTTGGAAGTTTCAGCCAATCAGAATCGCGCATTTTACATGCAGCTCTTAGCAAGTTTAACTCGAATAAATTGCTGGGGTGGAATATCTGAACATGGTACGTCTGGGGGGAGGATGATAGCTTGATCCCAAAAAATACTGATCGGATGTAGTGTATCATTAGCACAGATATTGCAGTACTGGTACAAGTGAGATGGTCGGGTCCCTTAAATATAGACGGGGGTTTTTATATCTCCGGAAACAGCTTTTCTTTTTGCTTAATACTTTCTGAGCTTTTCATAAAAATGAAAATGACCTGACTTGCTTTTCAAACTTGATTTTCCTAAACCTATCTATCACACTTGTAACCAGTATAGATCAAGTTTTGTTGATTAAGTTAACATTTTTGAGAAACTTATCCATGGTAGAATTCAATTAAACAACTGTTCAAAAAAATATTGCGGAATGCTGCAAATTATTTGAATTATACTGTTTAATTGATAGTAAATCTGATAAATCACAGAAAAATCAGTCCTTTAAACAGCTGCAAAACTTAACTCATATGTCCTTCGCAAAGAAAATCAAAATAGAGCTTTTTATTGAAAGGGTTAGCAGGGAACGCATTTTTTCTTGCAAAATACTGTATTTTTAGTGTTTCGGGATTACCGGATAATGATCGACTGCAAAAATTGTTTGACAAAATTTTTGATTTTTTGAAAAATCTTCCTTGCAAAATACTGTAATTTTAGTGTTTCGGGATTACCGGATAATGATTGACTGCAAAAATTGTTTGACAATATTTTTGATTTTTTGAAAAAATCTTCCTTGCAAAATACTGTAATTTTAGTGTTTCGGGATTACCGGATAAAGATTGACTGCAAAAATTGTTTGACAATATTTTTGATTTTTTGAAAAAATCTTCCTTGCAAAATACTGTAATTTTAATGTTTTGGGATTACCGGATAATGATTGACTGCAAAAATTGTTTAACAATATTTTTGATTTTTTGAAAAAATCTTCCTTGCAAAATACTGTAATTTTAGTGTTTCGGGATTACCGGATAATGATTGACTGCAAAAATTGTTTGACAATGTTTTTGATTTTTTGAAAAAATCTTCCTCCTTGCAAAATACTGTAATTTTAGTGTTTCGGGATTACCGGATAATGATTGACTGCAAAAATTGTTTGACAATATTTTTGATTTTTTGAAAAAATCTTCCTTGCAAAATACTGTAATTTTAGTGTTTCGGGATTACCGGATAATGATTGACTGCAAAAATTGTTTGACAATATTTTTGATTTTTTGAAAAAATCTTCCTTGCAAAATACTGTATTTTTAATGTTTTGGGATTACCGGATAATGATTGACTGCAAAAATTGTTTGACAATATTTTTGATTTTTTGAAAAAATCTTCCTTGCAAAATACTGTAATTTTAGTGTTTCGGGATTACCGGATAATGATTGACTGCAAAAATTGTTTGACAATATTTTTGATTTTTTGAAAAAATCTTCCTTGCAAAATACTGTAATTTTAGTGTTTCGGGATTACCAGATAATGATTGACTGCAAAAATTGTTTGACATTTTTTTTTTTTTTGAAAATATACTCTCTTTACAAAAGCTCTTAAGATCTTGCTGATCTAAAAAGTCCCCCCTTCCTCTGTACCTGAGTGTCGGAAAATAGGAACACTCCGTCGTTGTCTCCTTCAGCCGTCTTCCTCGTGATGGCCTTCAAATCCTCCCGCCACTCGTTCAGCCCATACGCTTTACTCAGCTCCACCTGATAAAAAATATTATTACATCATAACTCATCAAAGCAAATATCAAAACATGTCAATAGTTGGAAAAAAGCTCAATTACTTCAAGCATGTGATTTATCTTTTACAGTTAGAAAAATTTACATCAGTGTAGAGTTCTTTGAACTTATATAATTTATTTTGACTGAAATTTGATATAGGTTTTGTAATTCCGGTGTGAATTAATGGAAAAAAAACTTATTTTCAAACCGAATTCCAGACAACAGAGAGTCCTCCATACTACGGTTACATGGGCCCACCTGGTGTAGGTCGAAGTCACTCATGTGGGCCGCCAGTCTGGTCAGAGACTGTCTGCCTGATCCCCCCACCCCCACTAGCAGGGCATGAGACCTGGGCTGCTTGATGATGCGAGAGATACGACACATGTGCTCAATCGCAAACCTAAGCACAAAAATCAGCAATGATCATTATGAGGACAAACTGTGAACGGATAGGCGCACAATTTGTTGTCTACAGGTCACTGAAATCCAGAGACAAGTCTTTAAATATGTTCCAAAATGTAAGTGGATTCCATACATTTTGTCGGCACATTAGTTTTGTTGCGGATTCCGCAAAGAACAAATATTGCCAGTTGTTCCGGATTCAGCATTTGTAAATGAATTCCGCAATTTTACACTGAGTTAGTTCGTGCTTGAACAAATTAATATCTAGCAAATGCGAAATAATACAAGCCAGGAGTTAGCCATTGTCAGTGGAATCCATTAACAAATCTTAAATTTTTGTGTGATTAAAGTCGTGAATGTACCCTTTATAAATTTCCCAAAAAGCTGTTTTTGCGATCAAAATTTGGGAAACTCACTGAATAGGTACAATCAATATTTAAAATTAGCTTTGAAAGTTATACAATGCGTCAACAGATTATTGTAGGTTAAAATCCCTCATGTAATTTCGGCATCAATGTGTAAATTAATCACTTTATCCGATATCTTGAAACTATGTATAGATATAAATCACTTAACTCGATATCCGGAAAATCAGTATAGATCATAATTAATTCATTCGATATCCTGAAACTCCAGCAGTTGAGATATCCAGCAGCTGAACCATAGCTTTTATTCAATAAAAATTTTGGATTGGAACCTCGCGTCTAATCTCAAATTTAACTTGAAAATTAATGAAGGTTAAATGGAAAGGCTTAATTAATTGAGTGGTTTTCGTGCAATTCAGCAGCATAAAAATTTAAAATGGATTTGATGTAAAGACGTAACTAAATACGTTACTGCAATCTGCAATCAAAACTCAGATTCCATATACAATTAACAGATTCCGCTTATAATTTGCAAATTCCGCATACAGTTGCGGATTCAGCGAGAGCGGAATTTACTATTCACATATATACTGATTTGTTTTGGATGCCATTTGTTCCAGATTCCACAAATTAAGTTGCTTTTGGAGCAAGTTTCAGCGATACAGTGTTCAACTATTTGATCAAGCAATCCAAAACAGCAACGAAGATCAAAAAAACTAGGTGGTTGCAGAAATGGTGGAAAATTTTCTTTTGGGAGGAGGAGCTTATTGCATCTTTTGTGGATGGTAGTTATGTGATGAATAGATGTGGTCATTTAATCTTTGAGCAGTTATTGCCAATAATTTCACAATATGCATTACCTTGACCATCTTAATTGGTCAGAAAACAGCAATTTTTTTTTGTAAAATGGAATGGATTTTTGGCTCGGTTTTAACTTTTGAAATAAGCAAAATGTTAGTTTGCGACATCAAAATGAGCAGTTTCAGCTTGATAACTTAACGCTAACGTCTATTTACCGAAAATAATTTAGTAATTTAGGAGCGAATCTAATTTAGCCTATCAATTTAAAAAAGCAATCTGTCATCTTTGGATTACTTTTGATTTTCTTCATCTGCTCTTCGTAAATAATAGTGTATATTCCAAAATTTTACAATACTCCATAACGGAAGAAGGGTGTATGGGGTTGGGGAAGTACCTGAACATGACGAGGTTCATGGGTTTCTTGGATAGATTGTTGTACTCGTCCAAATAGCTCTCCACTATAGTACGCAGATTATCCACATTTTCCACCTCCTGGTAGTACCTCGTCTCCGCTTTCGGGTTCTACGACAAAAAAAAATACAATACATTCTTCCATTGCGCTCGCACGCTATTTTGAGAGGCAGGGGGGAGGTTTTTTGATTTTGCAGGTCGGCAATCTGGACTTTTTGGCAATACTTTGGAAGAGAATATCGCATTGAGCAAATTTGTAAGATTTTGGTTTGAAAAAAATCATATTTTCCTGCAATTTAGAATAGCAAGCTTTCGTAGAATGAGAAAAAAACCTGAGAGAAAACAAGTTTTATAAATCTGCGTACCCCACGGGATTCGAACCCTAGATCATTGCACTTGAGTGGCGAAGACTATTAACACATGTACTCACGGTGAAGTCGCAGTACATGAATGACCTCATGTCATCTTCAGTGACAGTGCCTCCTTGTTCACTGGCGATAGATTCAAACAGTGAGTCATAGTTCTCTTTCATCTCTTTGTTCACAACATCTCTAGTGTACGTGTACAGCCACGCCCTGTCTCCGTCATCCACCAGACGGTCGTAGAACACTCGGTAAATCTGAACACGAATTATGATTACATAATCACATTATTTTTCAACTTACAATTTATTTCCTCTGAGAGCCCAATTCTTTACAACATTTTCTTTTTGAGAAGATTTCATGTCTTTGCTATAAATGAATTTAAAAAATTTAATCTGAATTTCGCCCCTGAATAAATTTCATCGCGACGAATTTTGGAATCGGGCGCGAACTTTTGAGCAAAATCAGATACCACAAATGGACTGATTTTTTGTTGTTCCGATTTAGGAGACAGTTGCAGAATAAATATGCTCGAGGCGTGTTTTTTTTTTTATTTAGACTGTTTAATTATCGACTGTTTACCCTTGCGGTAAGCAAGGGTATTGCAATCGAGTACGAAACATTTGTTCCCGTAAATAACTTTAGTCACAGGACTCAATTCCTGAACTCAATAGTCTCCTGTTCTTTGCTGGGAACTGCAAAAGACATACTTTGAGCATGTTAGCATTTTGAATATCCGTCCTATTCGAAATTTGCATTTTAGGTTGATAGTAATTTAGCCAACTTGTTTTTCTGATTTCATTTTTTCCTTTTCTTTTTATTCGGTTTAGAAAATTTCAGCCTTAATATATCGGACTTATTATATAGTACCCGTCGTTTAATGAGTGAAAAAACTTTTGTGGGCGTCTTGACGGTTATGGGGCTTAAACATCTTTTTATTAGTTTTCAAGTATTTTTAATTTTTTTTCTTCTTTTTTTTCTCGGTTTAATAAGTTTCAGCTTTTATTAAATCGGTTTATTGGCCTCATATTGCGTCGTTTGATGAGCAAAAAAAAACTTTTGTGTCCGAGCGTGCATTGAGGTGGATAGGGCTTTAACTATTAATTAGTTTTTATAAGTCTTTTGTGAAATAGTTTCGGCTTTAAGTGTTTCTGCTCAGGTACTTTCGGCTTTTTTAAAGCTTGGCTAGTTTTCTTCTGTTGCTAATTTTTTGTTCTATTGTCTTGTTGTTGTTGTTTTTTAGAAAATTATTTATTTTGATAGATTTTGTTATTTTTGAAATTTTTCCGATTTAGCGGCTGTTTTTTATTGGATCGCAAGTGGTGCAAAGCTCGACTTCGCCTCAGTGTTATTCAACCATTTTCAGAAGAGTATTTTTAAATAACATCTGCAAAATATTTGATCAAACATAAAACACAGAGGCGAAGCTGAGCTTCGCACCACTTGCAATACAAAGGATTGTTATGAAAATCAAACGGAAAAAATCGTGTTTGTCAATAAAAATTGCAACAAAAGCTTAAGATATCCGGAACAAAATTGCCTTCATCATTAGAAACTCTACAAAAAGCTTTGTAATGCTACAAAGAAGTCAAATTTTCAAAAAAAGTGCTTTCCTTGAAACTAAGCAGACAAAAATAAGCAGACAGACAATAATTTCAAATCAAATCCGGCACATCTGGCGTAGAGGTAAAACAACTGCTTGAGGTAGCAAAGATTTGCGGCTCGAGTCCGTCTGGGCCCTTTTTTGCAAACTAGAGTGTTTGCAGTTTTTCGGATTATCGTCTGTCTGTTTATTTTTGTCGGCTTAGTTGCCGTAGCTCGATGGTTCAGTTTTAATCCAAGTTGCTGTAGCCCCCATGCTTGAGCCGGCAAAGCCCGGGAGTTTGTTTCCAGTTAAGTCTTGTTTTTCTTGCAAATAAAAAATTTTGGCGAATTTAGATTATTATGATTTGAATTTTAAAAAGGCTGTCGCAAGGGAAAACAAGTTTCGCATAAATTACTTTTTATAAAAACTTCGCGTTTTGAAAAATCCCAACCTGGCCATTTTGTGTCAAGTAATCCGTGTATTTTTCCTATTTTGTTAAAGCGTTGCAAATGCGGCGAATCAACCTAGCTTTTGAAGAACAATGGATTCGGGTTGAAGGTTTAAAAAATCATATTTTAAAATCGCATCCAATTTTGCCAAAAATTTACTTGGGACGACTAGAAAATACAAGCGAAACAGTCTTAACCCTAAGTCTTTGCCCTGATACGGGCCGTTTTGATCCACATATGTGCGAAGTGTGTTTTTTCTATGCTTTCTTTCTTTATCTCTTTTCGCTACTAAAAATCGTACAAAATTCAAATTAAACTTCAAAAAAAATTTGTCAAAATTTTCAAAAAAGCAAATTGAACCCAGTCAATGAAATTTTGATGCTCGATTTTTGTACAATGATGACAGACAAAATTGAAAATAATTATTGTTCCGAATTTTGACCGAATTGAATGAAAATGTGTGCTCGGAGTGTAAGATTTAAGCAAATTAACGCGCTAAAAAAATCGTGCTATTATTGCAAAAGCCGAGATTCAATGCTGCTGAGAAACCAAACAAAAAAGAATTGCAACAAATTATTTGGTTTTATTTATACGTTATTGGACACTATAGAGCATCACTGGGTATTTTACATATCGTGTTGCGGGAAACTTTCAAAAAAAACGGAGAAAATTTAACAATTTAATTTGAAAATATCATCAATTTTTCCAGTCTACCCAAAAACTGCTATCATTTTTTCAATTTATCAAAAAGCAGTGGAAAAATTGAAGGCTTCGCCATGATTTTATCAGTTTTGTTCATAAAGGTGGTCCAAATCAGCAAAAATAACTATCATCCACGATTGTATTTTTTCGATAATTGAAAGCATGAGAAACAAAAGATTATAACAAGCATGATAAATTCAGTATGCTAAGCTTGATAAGGTGGTTTTTACATTCTGGTATGAATTTTGCGCGTATAAAAATAGATAAGAATCTTTATTTTGCATTTTATTACAATGACGTCGTTGACAAAAAAAATCAGATAATACATTTTAGACAATCATCAAAAAGTAGAGCACATGTAAAAACAAGCTCGAATTTTTGTAACATCAGCTGAATAGGACTAAAAAAAACTGAGCTATAAATGTTTTGAATTCGAAAACCAATTAAAAAAATGCGAAACGTCTTCGTTTCAAAATTGAAACAAAGACAAGTTCAACTAAAAAACTTAAAGTTCTTCAAAACCAATTGCAGAAAATTAAACCATATTTGTTTAGTTTTCTTGTAGAAACTTGAAAAAAAGCTTTGACAAAATTAATACACATGCTGGACTGTTCAAAATGAAAAGGAGCCAAGCAAACTATTTGTATCCGCTTTAGCAGTCAGTCGATCTAAAACAATTTTCTAGATGCTATTTATGGCTTTCAGACCAAGAGACAATTTTGAAAAAAATTCGATCAAAACTTGATTAAAAACAAGAAACAAGGATAAACGGGTGGTGTAAAAGTAGCACAGAAACGTTATTTTCCTTTTTTCAAAGTAGTGTCACTTTTAGTTTGTGGTGTAATAAGAAAAATATGCAAAGAGATAGAATATTAGCCAATTTAGTTATAACCGATAGCAGTTGTGAAAAAAAAAGAAAAATTTTTGTTTCCATATTTTCAGATTTTTTTGATAAGAAAAAACTTTCTTGACAAAGAAGCGCTAAGTGAAGTTTTAAAATATAGCTTTCTGGAATAAAACAAAATTTAGTATTCTAACTAACTTATTTTTTATAAAACCTACCGGATTAAAAGTCAAAGAACTAGTCAAAACATAAATAGTTGAAACCGGATTTTCTCGAACAGAGGCGAAGGGAAGCAATAAAAAATACTTGCAATAAAGAAAAAACCATTTTAAAAGCTTTTAAAAACACTTTCAGATATAGTAAAACAAAAAAAAATCTAGAACCTCAATTCCGATTATAACAAAAATGGATGACATCCTTACAAAGCGCCCAATTTTGTGACGTTTATTGTGTATAACAGCCAAAAAAAAATTTAAAAAACAAAACAAATAACAAATGTTTTTGAGAAAAATCAGTATCTGTAATATGGTTCTCATCATCCACCCATACACTTTGCTATACTGAATTTGATACTCTCACTACAGGCACAACTACAGCTATGAACTGCCAACTGAAAAACTGTAGAATGAATTTTAAAAAACTGCAGAAAAACCGAATGACAAGAACCAGAAACGGCATTTTTCAAAACTAGATCTATCAAAATAAATAAGGCTAGTTTTGAAACAAAAACATACCAAGACAACAAAATAAAAAATTAGCGTTGGAAGAAAAATCAAGCGGTAAAAAGACCAAAAATAACTTAGCAGAAACATTCTGAGCAGGAAAAAAATCAACAAGATTTGTGACTTATAGAAAGTTATCAAGTCCCACACACCCTCAAAACAAAAACCTACACAAAACTTTATTTGCGCGTCAAAAGAAAAAATATATGAGTTCCATACGATGATATAATATAGGCCGAAACCTATAGGGCAAAAAAAAGAAATTAAAAATAACTCAAAAAAATATGACTAATAAAAAATGTTGTCATGAAAACTATGAATTCTATTAAGCTTTTTAGCATTTTGTGAAATCAGATGGGACCATAAAATTTATGTTTATCTAGAAACTACTCAGCATTAGTTCACTAAACCGATAAAGTATAAGCCGAAATCATTTGGGCAGAAAAAAAAGAAAATAAACGAAGTCAATTTTAGTAAAAATATTTTAGTACAAATAGCAGAAAAAAATGAAAACACTAAAAACAACTACAAATTAACTTTGAAAAAACTGATCACTAAAGCCGACAGGATCCAGACGACGCCGCCTTCCAGTGGTGGATCCGACATCTTGGGCCCCACCAAGATGCAAATGGCGTCAAGCCCCCCCTCCCATTGGGTCGGGAGAAGCTCAGAAGTCTCCGGGTTTTCGGTTACGGAGCGTCTGAAGCCGGCCAGGCTGCTCCGTCTGCTCATCCTTATACTACTACTCCGCTCCGGCATTAATCCAAACCCTGGTCCAGGACCTTACTTTTGCTCCCCTTGCTCTTTCCGCATCAAACGCACCCAGCCCAGTGTCTGGTGCCACATCTGTGGTTACATTCACCTTAAATGTAGTGGTCTTACCCACCTTAACCAACACCACCCTGACTACTATTGCCCTACCTGTACCTCTACCTACATTTTACCTCCCCCAGGCACCAGGTCCTCTAACTTGACCACCCCCAACTCCCAAACTTGTTCAACTTCCCTAACCGCCCCCCCAACCCCACCTCCCTAACCCCCCTCCCCCTCCCACCCTTCCCACCTCCTCGAATAATAATTCCTCCTCCCAAAATCGCGCAAATCGTAATCGTGTAAATAGTGTAAATAACTCAAGTTCAAACAACCATTTTAATCATACTGCTGTTAATAATGTAAATAGTTCACCACACCCCGCCAAAGGCCTTTTAAAAATCCTTCAATTTAATTGCAACGGTATCTCCGGAAAAGCACCCGAAATTGCTGCTTTCTTATCTCAAAATCAAATTCATATTGCTGTCTTCCAAGAAACTAAATTAAGAAAGAAATCTCGAAACCCCTCACTTGGCTCACACTACACTTTACTTAGAAAAGATCGAGAAAAAGAAGGGGGCGGTCTTCTCATAGCCATACATGAGTCGATACAATACGAAGAAATAAATATTAACAACGATGGAACACTAGAGGCTATGGGCATATCAGTGGTAGCCAGTTCATCCAAGCTTCGTATTTATAATTTCTACATCCCCCCGCGCTCGAGCTGTCCCCCTGGTTACTCTGCGTCCCTTGCCGAACTACTTGAACCTGGGGACGCCTTAGTACTCGGGGATGCCAACGCACATTCACAACTATGGAACTCCAACATCGAGGAAGATCAACGCGGCTCTGTACTTAGCAATGAAATAACCGAATCCACCTTTGCACCATTAAATGATGACACACAAACCAGAGTCCCTTTTAACTCAGAAAACCAACTCTCGTCACCAGATATTTCCCTCGCATCCCAATCGCTCTTACTCTCCACATCATGGACCCCAATTAAATCTCTAGGATCAGATCACCTACCCATTCTTCTAGAACTACCCTTGGATGATTTTATAAATTTTTCACCTAAAAGGACTTTTATAAATTTTTTAAAAGCAGATTGGATCAAATTCACAGAGGAAATTGAGGAGGGTTTCTTTTCAGCGGTTCCACCTTCCGGAGTTGCCGCCGGAGAGAAATTCTTGAGGGACCTGGTGCTCAGGGCAGCACGCCACCACATCCCCGCTGGCCGTATTCGCCACTTCACTCCCTCTCTTTCCCCCGAGTCCACTGCCCTTGCCGCCGAAAGAGATTTAAGCCGACAACAAAATCTCCCCCCAGAAGTCATATCCCAACTGAACTGTAGACTCATGAAACAGACAGCAAAGGACAAAGAAAATAAATGGCGAGAATTCCTCCGGACTTGCGACTACCGCACTGGTGCCAGAAAGTTCTGGAAAGTGGTACGCTCCTTAAATGGATCTAAGCCCGTGGCAGGAAGACACCCCATTACTTTTGGTTCTAAACCCATACACTCACCTCGTGATATTACCAGCTCTTTTAACAAACAATTCACAAATGCCAGACCCCACGCCTCTGACAAACTCCTTCGTATAACGAGAAGAAAAATTGCCAAACTACCGCTGTCAGACAGCCCAATTTTTACCCCTGAAAATACTAAACAAGCCATTGCAGACAGCAAACCATCGCGAGCGCTAGGTCCCGACGGCCTTTGTAATATACATCTTAAACATCTCGGCCCACTTGCTACTCAATACTTAACATACCTTTTTAATATCTCTTTGTCCGAAAACATTATCCCCCAAATTTGGAAAAATTCAAAAATTGCACCGCTTCCAAAGCCCAATAAGGATCTTAAACAATCAACATCTTACAGACCTATATCCTTACTCTGCCCAGCTGTTAAAATTCTGGAGAGGCTCGTTCACCCCATCTTTACCAAACATCTCCCCAACGCCAAACACCAACACGGCTTCCGCCCTTTTCACTCCACCACCACAGCTCTCTCCACTCTCGAATTTTACATTTCAGACGGTTTTAACCAAAATCGCCCCCCTAAACGTACGGTACTAGCCACACTTGACTTATCTAAGGCTTTCGACATGGTGTGTCATCGCTCACTTGTGGAACTCGTTCATGACACTCCCCTCCCAAGAAGTCTAGTCCGCTGGCTAAATAATTACCTTAATGGTCGACAAGCTGCCACCTCATTCCGTGAACACACATCCCCCCATCGAATAATCCACTGTGGCGTACCCCAAGGTTCTGTTTTATCACCCACACTCTTCAATTTTTATGTCCATGATGCACCGCCACCTCCCGATAATGTAAACCTTGTTTCGTATGCAGACGATTTCCACCCCTTCGCAAGCAGTTCCAATATTGATATCGCCTCAAACTCCATCAATAGCTACCTAAAAAGGCTCTACGATTTTTTCACCTCACGCAAACTAAGTTTCGCGTCCTCTAAAGGATCAGTTACACTTTTCTCCTCTTATAACAAAGAATTTAATAAAACACCTTGTGTTCTTTTAAATAACGAGGCGCTACCCCTAAACAAAAATCCAACAATCTTAGGTGTGACATTTGATCCAACACTTTGTTTTGCCACTCACTGCAAAAAATCCGCTGAAAAGGCCAGACGCAGGATCGGAATCCTGAAGGCATTAGCAGGATCAACCTGGGGTCACTCCAAAGAAACCCTCCTCCTAACTTTTAAAGCTTTAATTCGCCCCATACTTGACTATGCAGCCCCCGCATGGTCCCACGCATCAAGTAAAACCTCCATAAATTGCCTGCAGGTTGCCCAAAACCAATCCCTTCGCGTTGTTACTGGATCAAAACTAATGAGTTCCACTGCCCACCTGCACAGTGAATCTGAAATCCTAACGGTCAAAGACCACCATACCCTTCTGTCATCTCAATTTTTTATCTCTACCTATCGTTCCCACCATCCCATTAATTTTATACATTCACATCCCCCTCCTCCCCGTCTACTTCGCCCCTCAATTATAAGCTGCTTCAAAGAAGACACCCAGAAAATTTTAACCGACTTTTCAGTCTACGCAAACCACCCTCTAGTTTTGGACGACCGAGACGAAGTCTCCACTTTTATTTTTAACTACTACAAACCAATTTTAAAAGACAACCATACCTCCCTTGTAATCAAGTTCCTAGCCGAAACCCCTCCGTCTAAAGTTATTTGTATCCCTCCCCCAAAGATTGACCCCTCTGAAAAATCTCTCCCACGTCCCACGCGCTGTAAGCTCTCCCAACTCCGGTCTGGCTACAGCCGGCTCCTTAACACCTACCTATCCCGCCTCGACAGCTCCATCTCCCACCTTTGCCCAACCTATTCCCTTGCCCCCCACACAACATGTCACCTTTTCAACTGCTCCCAAAACCCCTCCCCACTCACCCCAGCAGACCTGTGGCTTCGGCCGGTAGAGGTTGCTAAGTTCCTTGACCTGGAGACAGAAGAGCCCAACCCGACCCGCGTGGGCTAACAACAACAACAACAACTAAAGCCGACAAAATTAGCCGAAAGACTGTTCAATGAAAAAGATCGACAACGACAATTTACTTAGCGTTCAACCTTCCTTAAAGAGCATTAAACTACGCGAAGAAATGAAAAACAAAAAATAAGCCGACGAAAATTAAACTGAAAGCGACGAAGTCCAGAAGTTGAAAAAAAAATTGCAAAAAAAACTTCATCAAAAACATTTACAGCAGATACATTAGAAATAAATTATTAAGTTATTCACAGTGCAAATAATTAATAGACTGTTGAACTGAAACAATATGACGCCACGTGCTGATATCTGTGAACAAAGTTATTTAGGGGAAAAAGTTTAGTACCCGGTTGCAACAAATTTGCTATCGCAAGTGTAAAAACACAGCCGAAGACAAAAAATCTCCCCTTTATCAATGATGGTAAAAATTAATCAAGTTGCACTTTGTTTCTTCTCACCTCGTGCACCCACAGTTTCTTGAGACTCTGAGGGGATGCCATGGTGTCGGGCACAGACAGCAACACCCCCTGGACCACCCTGGCGAAGTCCCTCAAGTTGAAGAGGTAGTGACTTTTGGTGGGGGTCGGCAGCAGATTCACCATCGCACTCTTGTAGACAGACAGAGTGCAGGACACTATTTGCTGGCCTGCTTCTTTGAAAGATTCGGGGAACTCGCTGAAAAATATTCACAATAAATTATGGGCACGACATTTATGATACTTAGAGAAATAGAACTAAGAATCGATTATTTGACTTCGAAGACCAGAAAGAGGGAAAGTTTTTCATAAAGATAAGGAGAGAGAATAATCATCATACCGACTACAAATTGAGCATGAAATAATTTTTGAAGTTCATATCAAGCTCCTTACATCAACTTTTATCGACAAGAATATTGTTGTAAGAAAATTACCGCATTTTCAATGATATTTTTTAAATGTTTGACAAAAAAAAATGTTTTTGTTTTCACAAATTGGAATCAAGTTGACATCCTTCCAAGATTGACCAAGCTAAGATCTTCTAAGTTTTTATTTTGGATTAACTTTGCTAAAAGCGCTCGTATAAAATGCAAGATTCTGACAAGTTGAAATTTTCAACTAAAAACCAAGTTAACATCCTCCTCAATCATTAATTTGATTTGGGGGGATGTTAATTTGGTTCACAAACTGTATTAAGGGTTATTAAAGATAAAACATTTAGTTAGTAACCGAAAGTACAACAGAGATGGTTGAACTTTAAATAAGCCTGGTTAACCGAAATTCATCAATTTTGCACAAAGGCGAAGCAGAGCACGCACCACTTGCGATACATTATACCAGAAACTGGCAGGGGTAGCCGAGACCCACCACGGAAAAAAAACTGAAAAACGCAATGAACCATCCAAAAAAATCAAAATCTCAAAAACTCAATTCGACAGAAACATGTCGCAAAACACGATTGCTAGAAGTAATTAAGCGATAAAGCTATACTCATCGCTCGATATCTATACAAACAAAACTTGATTAGGTACCCGTCCGTTTTTAAGAAATTATTTTGAGCGTTGAAAATGAAAAATTAAGAAAGTCAACACCTTCCCCACCTAGTTCTTTTAGGGGTGCGGATTTTAACTTGATTCTCAGTTGGATTTTGAGCCAATCAAAATCGAGTATTATACATTTAGATTTAGAACCTGTGCATTGTTGGTCCCAAATTAAATAGCGAGGATGTTAAGTTAATTTGTTTAGAGGAGAGGGAGCAAAGTTGATGCTATTGAATAGAAGTAAGTGGTTAGTAATAAAGATAAGTTAGTATTAAACAGAAGTTAGTAATAAAGAGAAGTTAGTAATAAAGAGAAGTTAGCAATAAAGAGAAGTTAGTAATAATCAGAAGTGGTTAGTACCGAGCTGTTAGATGCCAGTTGACAATTGCGAGAAATATGGTCAGCATCGAGTCATCCGAGACATAGTCAATGACCACAGTCGTGAAATGTCGCAGGAATCGGGGGGTGACGGGGTTGCGACCACCTCCTAGATAGAAGCGCAAAACAGATGAGTTAGCAAACAAGTTTGGATTCATTTCAGATTGTTTGCAAACAATTTTGGCAAACAATCTGAAAAAAAAAACCGATTCAGCCATGAAACTCAAACGAAGTTTAAATGAAGATTGGGAAGTTAATGAAACTTAGGTATCAAAAAATAGTGAATGAAAAATAGACGGAAGTTTAAAAATTACTTGAAAAAACTCAAAAAATCTAAACAGAAAAACTTCTTTTTGGTATCGGATGAGCAGCCTTGATTAAAACTGATTTTATAGAAAAAAACTGAATTCGATTTTTCAAAAAAATCGTTTTTTAAATATGAGACAAAACCTATGTGGTCGTAACAATCTGTGCTACTGGCATGACGTATAGACCGCTTATTCTACTTTTTGTCGGCAAAAACTGATTTCATTTTTTTAAATATGAGACAAAAACTACGTGGCCGTAGACCGCTTGTTCCACTTTTTGTCAGTCGACAGGCAAGCAACGCTTTCACCACATCAACATGTTTCGAACTGTACACAGACTCGATTTGATTAAGCTCAGACTAATTAAACTTACACGACATCAGAAATTATTATGAAAATTATAGCTTGAACCGGTTTTGTTTATTGCTGCGATCGAGTTGTGTTTTAGAATGATGTTAAAAACTTTTACCAGTGATTATTAGTGGTTAGTATTTGCAGTTACAGTTAATGTTTTTGTTGTTTATTTGTGTTTACTTTCTGGAGAACAGGTGCCATTCCATGATGGCATTGAAGATACTTGTCAAAGTGCCCTCATTGAAGTCGTCGATTACGATTGTGTTGAAGTGTCGCAAGAAACGAGCAGTCACTACGTTCCGTCCACCGCCTAAGTCACGATTCGAAATTTTGATGAAAAAAAATGAAATAATTAAATAAATAAATAAATGAAGACTAGTTGATGAAGAATTATTTGCTCAATCATAAACGATCAATCGTTCGAGAAATAACACTTCTAACTTTCTATTAAAATATAGAAAAACCTATGCATCTATAATTTCAAGGCCGCCTGAGCGCATATAGGAGAAAACCCAACAAAGGAGGGTTAGTTTAATAGCTCTGTTAACTATTGCAAACAATGCAATATTCGACTATCATGGTGATTGGTGGTTTTTATCAGGGTTGCTTTAGGGCCTTAGGGGACCATTCGATTCCAAAGGAATTGGATCTCTAAATCACAAAAAGACCCCCTTTAGTTTTATATCATGACAACCATGCTTGACTATAAAGGCTCACTTTTTAGTGATAAAAATTTTCGCTGGCGACAAATCACTGGCCTCTCATGGTCCAGAATTGATCTTGAAGAGTCGTAGGGGGGAGGGGATTTATGGGTAAAGAGGGTAAAGGAGGAGTGTACCTGGGGGTCCCATGGATGCGATGAGTTGTGTGTCTGTGAGTTTAATGGGGGTGCAGTCTTTTCTATCGTACCACTGCCAATGGTCCACCCACTGTCTCAGCAATTCAATCGGAGGCTGTGCCCCATACTTCTCACGCAGAGGCATGTTCATATCGTCCACGTACACTATCTACACAACAACAAGGCCAATAGACAAACATATCCAACAGACAGTTCGAAAACAGTCAATGAACACAATCAAGCAGAAAAAATACTGAATTGTCTTTTGAAAAAATCTCAACTTTCAAAATTCAAACAAAAAAATAGATGGCCTTAATGACCTTGCATTTCCGAAAAAATTTATGACTGGCAATTCATTGATAAAATGAACATATAATTTGAGAAAACTGAATCAATAAGTAAAATTTTTATTTCGCTGGGAAATCTGAAAAACAAAATCCACTTTCGAAAATAGAAGTAAATCTCAATTTTTGTGACCTTTACACTTTCTCTGTTCGATAGTGGAGTTTGCCTTCCTTTCAACAAAGGAAATGAACTGAACTTAAAAAGAATTCCTAAGTCAAACCGCGAAAAAGTAATTTTGGGCCTGTACAAACATTAAGACTTTTCCTGAAAAAAAAGGCATCGCGGCCTATATAAGAGTCTGAACTACGTTCATCGACTCTTAAATAGGAAAAAAAACGAAAAATAGAAGCAGAAAAATTTTAAAATCAAGTCAGAAAGCTTCAACTGAATATTCAATTTGGCTGGATATACTGAGAAAATTTGAAGCATTATTTTTCTAACACAAAGCTGTTTTTTTTTTTACAAAACTCCATTAAAAACAGTTTGCAACATCCAAAAAAAATTTAAATAAAATCTGTGAACTATCTAAAAGTCTAAAAAACATGAAGTGTTTGACAAAAATGATTGATGAAAATTGATTTGAGTAATTCCGGAAAAGGTTTCTGTCGTTGTTGTTTACCGTTCGTTTTCCCAGAGGAGGTCCGAAGACACCCTTGCGCCTCTTGTCCAGTTTGCCCATGATAATGTCCTGGGTCTGGTTGGCACTGGTCTGGGCCGAGAAATTGATCACGACGGGCTTGTACACCTCTTTGTCCAGTTGATTAAGCAGGAAGTCCTATTGAAAGGTCAAAGTTCAAATCAGTACCAATCTCTATAACTATTTTCCTCTTATGGCGAAAAATATCCACCATTAGAAAAAATAATTCAAAGAATAACTCAACCAACGAAGAAGCTCATGCAATTTTTGTAATTTCAAAGAATCTTCTTTCCCTTTTGCAACTATCCCCCCCCCCCCCCGCTCCTATGGTATCTTGTAAAGAATCCCCCCCCCTATAAAAACACATTTCATTATGCTCAGCTGGATTGGTGTGTTTTCAGAAATGTGTTCTGTCGCAGAAATGTGTTCTGTCGCATTCGTATTGGTTGACGTTATTTCAGTTCGCATTCCTATTGGTTTTGAAGTTATTTCAATAAATTTCATTTAAACCTTGTTAACTATCCCATAATTTCTTCATTCAATTGAACTCATCATCTCAGAATTTAACGGTTAGTTTCTGAGAAAAAAAAACTTCCAAAAACGGGGTTTCTACTAATATTGGTAGGTTTTAGCAGGTTATGGATATTGGTAGGTTATGGATAATCCCCATAACCTGATTTTTCGATTCAATACTGAATTTTAAATTCGGCAGGTTTTTTCACCAAAAAAAATCAAAGAAACGGTCAAAAGGTGAAACAATAGACCTTTTCCGAACCATCCCAATTAGGGAAAGCTCCTGCAAACTTTCGGTTGGATGCTCAACCCCAGAATTGGCTGAGTCAAATGACAGAGAACGAAAAAAATCAGCAAAAAACTGTAAGAACTTTTTAAAAAATTGCGGTTCAATCATGCCCAAAGCAGTTTCTCTATAAAAATTAAGGATTAGCCGCTTCTGCAGACAATATCCATTAGAATTTGTTCTTTCGATTGAGTAGGCAAACCAAGAACTGGCAGAGTCATTTTAGATAAAACGGAAACTGTACCAAAAAACGGTCCAAAATCGGAGTTCTTCAAGGCCCATGGCGTTTTCTAAACAAAATTGTAGACCGCACCTACTCTTTTTTGAAATAGAGATTGAATCTCAGATTTGGCAGTATCTTATTTTTTGGAGAACAAAAAATGTAACAAAAAGGAAGAAAAAATTCCCTGGAATTTAAACATGTCATGGCCAAAAAATGTATAGAATTTTTGAGTAGTGGACTATGTTCACACACACATAAGAACAGCTGGTCTTTCCTTTAGTACTACTTTAGTAAAAATTAGTAAAGTACTTCATAAGAAAAATGAGAGGCCTAAAAATACAAAATCAAAAGCGTCTCGAAAAAAAAACAACTTCAAACTTTTCATTATACCTGTTTTTATCAAACAAAACTAAAAAACTTTTAGTAGTTTCTCTGCTCAAATAAAGAGTTAAGTGCTTATGCTTGGGAGGATACATACAAGATGTTTTTTTAAGTTGTACCCTAAATTTCAAACTTGGCAGAATGTTTTGTGGTACGTGAAAATTTTCCCATGACATGGTCAAAATTGGACATTTCCCAAATCCATAAGAAAAGAAGGGAATATCGCATAAAATAGAGAATATTATTTAAACGATTGTTTTTGATTAGATTTTTCATCCCCAAAACTGGTAGGGTCATTATGGAGAAAAATGATAAACATTTGACAAAAGAACAAAACTTCAAAAATCGGAATTTTTACCCGAGTCAAAAAAAATTTTCTACAAAAAGTAAGGTTTAACCGCGTATGCGCTAAGATCTCGACCCTATTTAAGACCCTTTATTGGGGAATTAGCAAAATCATTCACGAGAAGTGGACATTGTGTTAAAAAAGTGGTTAAATTTCAAAAATCGGAATTTTCCCAAGCCTATTATGGTTTTTCTACCAAAATGAAGGATTAGCCGTGTATCCAGGGAAAATCTCTTGTGTTTTTAGAACCTTTATTGGGAAATTAGCAGGGTTTTTTCACGCGAAGTGAAAACTTAAAAAAACAGTCAAAATTTAGAAAACTCGTTGTTTTCTCAGGATCATAGCGAATTCTCTACAAACTTCATGAGGAAGCCGCTTCTCCAGTGGAGATACCAGAACCTGTTTTTTTTTTTCAAAATTGAATCTGAATATCAAAATTGGCTGGGTCATTTTCGTGAAATTAAAAAAATCCAAGGACGGAAGTCATAGACCAACTCATTGTTAATCTAGCGGTGTGCTGGTTGATTTCTAATTTTGGATGACATTTTTATGTAGTATGAACACGTATTTTTTTTATTTAAAAGGAAATAACCGTTGCTTCAATTTTCCTTCCAAGCCTCGTAATGAATGAAACTTATAACAGTTTTTCAGGCACAAATGGTCAAACGAAAAATCAGAGGTGGCAGTTTATTTTATATATACCTCAGAAACGTAAACCCAAAGTGTAAGATGAGAAACAAAATCTTAAGAAGACTGCTCGCAAAGCCCTGAATGTTCCAACTGCCTTTTAAGGTCCATTCAGCAGTAATAACATGAAACAAATTGAATGTAATAGAAATGAATTTTTTTAAATTGAGATTTTTGTACAAAGTGATAGATTTCGCTCCCTTTAACATATCAATTTGGCAACTAAACTTCCTTTAACCAACAATTTCTAAGGACGATTTTCTTGGAACGATTTCTAAGACGGATCAAGTCTCCGCTTACGCGTTAATAGCGCGAAATATATCGCGCGTTAATTGTCCCAAATGGCAATCTTTAAACCTCTATAACTTTGCGAAAAAAGATCACAGGTGAAATAACTTTCCAAATTTAAGCTCAAGACAACAATACCTTTCGAATGATATTTAAAAATTCCGTCAGAAATGGCTAGTTACAAAGTCGCAATTTGTCTGAAGAAAAAAAAAACCCACCCCGAGAACAAATATTCCGTTACTTTTGCTACGAAAGTCGGAACAATACCATAACAATTGAAGTAAAACTGAAATCACTTAAAAATAGTTTTTTAATGGAAAAAATTTGAGTGCTGATACCTTCTGAAAGCAAAAACAAATAATTCCTGTACATCTAAGATTATACGACCAGGAATATTTTCCAAACTAAGAACACTACAATAGAAAAGCATTTAGAAAAAGAAGTTCATTTCAATTTAACCGTGAAAAGCAAAAACAAAGACAACTTTTTTCCGTAATCATCCTCACCACTGGTTCAATATAAGTATATCTCGTCTCTTTTTCAAAAAACGATAGGCCATGACTGGACTCGAACACTGGCCGTTGTGGGCGGAAGCAATAGTGTAAGAACTAACTGAGATGTAGACACTCTTTCCGGTGCCTGTGGGTCCGACGAAGAGGACTGCCTTCTGGTGGGTGACGAGAGTGGTGGCCAGACTCTGCACTCTGATCGTGTCTATCGTGGGCACTATGATCTCATTCACACTGGCGTCCTTGGCAATTGCAGGCGCGTCTTTGATCGCCTCTGTCCACTTCTCCCACCTGCCTTTCTCCTGGAAAGAGAAAAAGAGAAGAGGTGAATTTATTCAGTAGTTATTAAAAACGAATTGTCATAACTAATTTACAATAGTCAAGGACATAACCACTTGGGCACTGAACGAGCAATGCTGTTCTTTTACAATCGCCACAGAGAAAAAATGTCAAAGTAAGTTTAACGCTCAAATTTAATTAGGTAAACAGGCTCACTAAAAAGCTTCAATTTACAACTTAATAAAAATTTACCATCCTAGAATAATTTCGAAAAAAAAAATTGAAATTAAAACAAAAATCAGGTTGGGGCATTATGATCGAAAAGAAAAAAGTTTTCAAAAGAACAAAAAGATCATTTATGGCCTCTATTAAAAAATTATCGACTTTGCAACCATTAACAATGATTGTAACACATGAATTGAAAAGCTTAACATCTAATACCTGTCGCAAACTATTGTCTCATCTATAGGACAGTATAATGGCCAGAAACTTATTTCTTAATAAGTTTATCAAATGATTTTGTCTTATGAAAGTTGCGCTCAAAATTGGATGCAATCAACAGAAAGAGAAGTCAACGAGAAAATGTAGCTGGCAGTAATCATTAGAAAACATACGTAATTTCTCTTACAGAGCCCAAGTATGTTGTTTTTATTCTTTCCATGGTACTTCAATCTGATTGGCTGAAACTTCAATCAAATTTAATGATTGTGCTTCAACCAATAAAAATAACTTTCGCAGCCGACTTTTTCTCAAATTTGGGCCATCTTAGAAAAAAGTTAGAAATTGGAAAGAAGAAGGTGTGAGTTGATTAGAACCTCCTTGATGAATCTGTACTCGTAGACTGACCCCTCTTCAGGGAATGACATCTGGAATGGCTTCTCCGGCGCCTCCACCGTCTCCAGAAGATGGTATCTTGAACAAACACGGGGTTTATCAATGATGAGTGGAGCAAAATTTTGCACTTAGACATAAATGATTCAGGTGACTCTTATCTTGCTTGCTACGAATAGAGTACCAAAAAAATGAAAGTTGTATTTTAAAACGCACCACTTGCGATCTCACACAAACATAGCATTGCAAACTATCGTGCAGAAAATGAGACAGAAGGCTTATCAATTTCAAAAAATACCATGACCAGTGTTGGAAAAGCTTTAAAAAAATTTGAGCGGCAACTAAGCCCACAATACATTAGAGGACACCAGTTGAGCCGAAAACAAATTTGCTGAGATGAAAAGTTTTGAGCCATGAAGCTTTGAAATTTTACACCTCCTTTAGGAAATATTACATATATAAATCTATTTTTGTCCAAACAGCACAAAATAAGGTGACTAAGCCGATATAATAAAATTAGAAATCATTTAAGCCATTGATTTCCGGGAATGTTGTTTACCGCAAATTTAAGTATGGTTCCGGATTACAAGACACTTGCTCTCGCAAGCGTAACAAAAAAGTTTTGGAACTGATTTAATGATTCTGTTAGACAAGTTGTTGCACGGAGAAAAACATGTTCCGAGTTGATATTGCCTGCTAAACGCAAGCGCATAAAACAATTTTAAAAAATCGCGATAAATAGCAACAAGACTGCTCGTATCAGGACGAAGCCCTAAATGTTCCGACTGCCTTTTAAAGTTTATGGAGCAGTAACAACCTAAAAAAATTAAATGTATTTTATTACATTTATTTTTTTTAGGTTATTACTGCTCCATAAAACGAATTTTTTTTAATTAGAAATTTTTTATGAAATTCATCTCTCCACACGTCATACAAAAAACAAAAGGATAGATTTCGCTCCTTGTAAAAAATCAATTATGGCAAATAAGCTTCTTTCAACCAATTTGAAACGATTTCTAAGATGGATTAAATCTCCGCTTACACGTTAATAGCGCGAAATATATCGCACGGTAATTGTCCCAAATTGGCCATAATGGCAATCTTTAAACCCCCATAACTTTACAAAAATAATCAAATGTGAAATGTCTTTTCACAAATTTAAGCTCAGGACAACAATACTTTTTGAATGATATAAAAAATTCCGTCAGAAATGGCTAGTTAAAAAGTCGAAATTTGTCTGAAAAAAAACCCACCCCGAGCACAAATATTCCGTTACTTTCGCATCGAAAGTTGGAACAATAAATACACAATAAATAGAGATTTTCCTAGTGCTAATGATCATTACACAACAAATTTAGTAATTATAAATCTTGCGATCCACAAGAGATCTTGTCCCCGTAAATCATTGTTCTTAGAATGATAAATTTAGTAGGAATGGCCAACTTACTCAATTTCTTGAAAATATAAGTAAAACTAAGATCTTTTAGATTAAATAGTAATTAGCTGGAGTTCATTTCCAGTACGATAGTTCTTTTTTTTTCTATTAGATTTCTTGTAAAATTTTTTTGATTTTTTCGGAATCCTTTTTTCGTTTCAGTTTCCGTCGGTTCAATTTTTGTTTTTATTTAAACCGCTATTTATATTATCTGTTTCGGTTTTTTGATAGCTTACTTTCCCAACAAGAGTTTCAATTTTGTTTAAACAGTTTTTACTACAATTGAAAGCCCTGTTATTTGTAAACTTACCATGTCTGACTTTGAATAATTTTATTTATTTCAATATTTTTTTTTCAAGCATATGGTATATTTTTACGCTTTTAAGTGCGTAAGTAGGGATGTGTCGTAAGACTTAAATAGGCCAAATCTTTTTCATGAGAACAACTTTGTTTTCGGCTCAACAGGAGTCGGCCTAAATCTTGTTGCCTTAGGTGGCGCTTGGTGAAAGATTTCCACTGCTTTATAGGATGTTTATGAACATCATTCAAACAATACGAATGAGAAATTTTTGTAGGTGTTTTTTTCCGGGTTATTTTTTGAGCAAGTTTTTCAACCTAAATTTTCAAAAAATTATCGACTTCCGTCTCTTTTTCTATTCACTACCCTCTGACGCAAATTTTCTGATGTACCACAAGTGTTGCGAAGCTTCGCTTCACATCTAAATATATACTAAATTCTTAACACAACTTTTTCTCCTCATGAAGAAAGAACTGAATATTTCCTTTTTCATTCGTATTGTGGGCGTTAATCATGGCATAAAGTCTAAATGAGAGACAATTTTCAACCAATAAACAGCCTGTAAACTGCCCAAACTTGAGTGATTTTAGGATAATTTCTAATCTCGTTTTGGAATAATGATTCTGATTGGGAGAAAATAAGCCTGAGAATATTGATTTGTACATGTTATACGACAAACTACATGAAAAATCCTTGTTATACGCATTATACGAGAAACGATAGCTCAACTCTAACATGCGTTATACAAAAATTTCTTTGAACCTGGCTAGAAGCTCTTCATCTTCTGTTAAAACTGACTGGATTAAATTTGTTTATGCAAGCTAGTAGAAGTGTTGTACGACACAAAATTGTCTGAGAATTCAATTTTTTGGAAAAAACAAACTCAATTTTGGACATTCGATCCTTTTGTTATTTTTTTAATGAAAAAAAGTCTGCCCCTTTTACCATGGCAAGGAAAATATTACCGTGTTTCATAGCATCGAAGTCCGAATACAACATGCTTTCAAATTGGAGAGAATTGTCATTCGGTACCGCGTCAAATTTAAAATATTGAAAAATTTCACTGCAAAAAAGTCTTGAGTACAGGATGGACCAATCTGAGTACAGGCGGGACCGGCCGCGGCACAATGGATGACACCCCCTTCGCCCACGATTGGTACTGCATTGAGTAAGACCTGGGGTAGGGAGGGGGGACATTAAAAAACTTACAGTGACTTGCTGCCTTCGGTCAAGGGACCTTCCGTGATCTCTCTCAGCAGTTTGTTAAAGTTAGTCCTTCCAGGCTGTTCAGTTATGCTTCCCCCTACCGACCAGACGAGGGAGAAGAAGAAGATGCCCTCCATCCACAGATAGACGTCTCTGTCCTCAATCGCTTTGAATGAGGCTTCGTTTTGGAACTCGTCTATTTGCGACTCGAACAGATTGATGAGAGCTTTGATCAAATTCGCATCATTTGTCGGAGACAGCTCCTAAAACGTTAAACACATCACTTTTCGACGTAAGTTTCAAATACTTGATTCTTTAAACATTTTTCGAGACATATTGTCCAGCTAATGCACTGTTAGTTGACTTTTTTTTTAATGTACTTTGCTTTCTCGTGTTCTTTTGAAACTCTTTTTGTGGTGATTTTGAAGTTCATTGATCAAAATCAATTTTTCAGGCTCCCAGAATTTCAAATTTGAAAAATAGTAGATCGTGAAAGCTTTTTGGATTTCTTTAATATTTAAGTTTTATATGATTTGACGAAAGCATTCACGCAATAGGCTGCAGTTTTCGGCACTTATGCTACAACTATTCAAAGAAATAGAAAACAAACGCCCGTTTTGCTGAATAAACTGAGTATTAGGGTGTTGGCTTGTACAAGGAGAAAGAGTTTAGTAGGAAAAGGGCGGTAGTAGCTAGTAATAGTGACCTTGGCTCCACTTTTGCGGACGAACTGGAGGAGTGCGGGACAGAACCTGTCGAACATGTCCAGGATAGTCTGTTTGTGTACTTCAGTGAGAGTGGGGGGAAGGGTGTTGAGCCAGGACAACACCAGGGGTCTCCATCCGAGCAGAGAGGGCTCCATGTAGATCATACCACACCGGGACACCTGCAAAAGATAGGTTACCTCACACAGATTTCACACTACACCTTCTGAAGCCAATTCAGATCAAGTCACACCTGCTTTGCCGGCTACTGTTGCCATTGCCAAAAAAAACGAAAATCGTAAAAACGCCGGCAGAACTTTTCGGCAGTTTATAATTTTTAAATAGATCAATCAGCCTGGCAGCATTTTTTTAGGCGGGGCGGACTCATGCTTCTAAGGGCCCCCTTTCGCTATAGTTCCTTGCAACCCCTCGGGGATGTTCGGAACAATTTAACGTGAAATATACGCTTATTGGAACTAAGACGAAGTGGCCAGTCCCTGCGAATAGCAAACACGAAATTGGTGGTTCGATGGATGATCGATTGATGAAATTAATCCAATAAGTATAATTGATCCCTGGTCGACACTCTAAATGTTAAACTTGTGTGGAAGTGTTGAGTTTTTTTTTTTAATTATTCTTTTAACAAGCAGTACAAAATAACAGTTGTCTTACTGTTGTTAACAAGCAGTTGTCTTACTGTTGCTGGACTGGCGGCTTCCAGATCCATGGGTTCGAACATCATGCTCATCTGGGCACTCATCTGGATAATCTCGCCACTCATCAAACAGAGTTTCTTGTTGTCATCCAGCACTGTGTTCATGTTCTCAATCCAGATTGCATCCACTGGACCGTCGAAGATCAACCACTTACGCTCTGGAGTCTACAGCAAAATGGAAACTTAATTGTGAACAACTGCACTTCAAAGCATGGTATTAATAAAATATAACAAATGCAAAAGGGCCAACACGACCTTTTAAAAAAGCCAATGACATTATTAAAAAATGACAAGACTGCTCCTATCAGGGCAAAGCGCTGAATTTTCCAACCACCACTTAATAACTTGTGGAAAAGATTACTTTTAAACCAGCCAAAAAGACATCTAGTTTGAATGACGTCATTATTGGGCTGGAAGATGACATGTTTCAGATAAGTGAGGGGCAGCTGGCGAATTTTGAATAATGTGTTCTGTCTTCTACCTGGGAAGATGCGAAGTTTCTGTATGAGACTGCCAGCACACCATCACTCCACTCGTGGGACACTGGGTCGAACTGGCCATACAACTGGCCCATAGTTATACTCTTAGGATTGATCACTGTTATCAACACCTTCTCTTCGCCCTGGCCCTAAAATGAGGGCAAAAAAGAATGAGGGCAAACATGTAGAAAACAATTTAATTTTTCCGCTCAGAGAAGTCTGAAAACGGACCAGAAGGTCTCATGGCTATCTCTCAGGCTAATTTTAATGGCTGTAAGTGCGGTTTTATAACAAGCACTACTGGTATGATAGCCTGAAAATAATTTATTATTATTATAACGAAGAGTTAATTCGGGTTGCAAGAATGCAAAAAAAAACGTCTTTTACAAAATTTTGCCGCAAACATGATTGTTCGCTTTGTCTTGAACGACTAAAACACTGTTGTTGTTTTTTTTAGATCCAAAAAACCTTTTGAGACTTTTTTAAGGAAAAATTTTACTAGGCGGAAAAATTTTACTACGTTTCTTGGAATTTAGTTGAAAAAATGCGACTTAGTTCGTCGAGAAGGGATCGAGCTACTGATTTTCAAGGCTCTCACGTGATTCTAAAAGGAGGAGATATGAAATGAATGCTTTAATGAATATGAATCTAGTTATTTCTAAAATGAAGCTAGGTTACTTAGACTTTAAGATTACCATTTAAACAGGAACTGCGAATACATTTCAAATCTACGAAAAATAAAGAAACTGGTTAAAATACATTTAAAACAAACTTCAAAAAGTTTAAATAAAAGCCAATGTGATTGAGGACTCGTTTCAGCATCGCCATTTATGCAGTCAAATTTGTGAAACCAACAATTTTAAGGACAACTAAAATCTTCTCTTAAAAATGTTTTATGAAATCAAATGGACCAAGAACGCTAAGAGCAATAAAACGTAAAAAGATGCCAGCTTACTTTTTCATTCATGGTGCCAAGAGCCTCCGCCAGCACCTTGTAAGCCGAAGTTTTTCCACCAAACGGCTCCCCCACAATCATGAAGCCATGTCTAACTATCATCATCTCGTAAATCTGCAGAATCTTGTTCGCAAAACTTTCCGTCATTTGCAGGTTCATATTTTTGCAGTGGAATTCAACTGCTTCCATAATGTTGCCGTAATCTGGTTTCGGCAGTTCGATTCCTGGAAACAGATCGGAAGTTATTCCGCCGAACAGAGGTAAGTCGTGTGACAAAAACTTGGGCAAGTTCACGTCCTTAATCGACCTCAACATCAGAATCTGTTCGTCTTCCTCGGGGTATTTCAGTTTCAAATTTCCAGCGGCTGTCAGCACTGACTTCACAGCTCGCATTCCGTAGTCGTAATGATGTTGATTCGACAGTTGCTCGGAGCAGAGTCGGTAAGTCGCGACAATCTTCACAGCCAGAGCGCGAGCGGAGACGAAACCACACGAGTACAATACAATCTCGGAGATCAAAGCGTAGTCGGGAACCATCATTGCGACTGGTCGGAACAGGGCTTTCAGGTTGTCCGGGAGTTCCGATCGTCCGGCGTATCCGGGATTCATAGTAATGAATACAGCACAGGTTGGGTTCAGTTTGAGCTCGGTACCCTCAAAAACGAGAGTATCTCCGCCAGAAGCAATTCCTGAATAACAATTTTGTTTCAACTTTCAAGACTACAGACAAAAAAATTGACCGAAACAAACGTTGCTCCAATATGACTGCAGATATTAGTGCATTCCTTTTGAGTTCAAAAACTTTGTCGTTTACTTTTGGAAAGTTTAAAGAAAAAGTCGCATTTTTCGACCGCACTTTTACCTTAAGTAAATATTCGTCAATTAAAAAATGATCAAGCAAAAATATTATAGTCAAAAAGTATCAAAGTTTAATTCATGAGTGGGGTTTATTTAATACAACCCATCTGAAAGTTATACCCTAAATAATGACTATTCTGGACCAAGTGGCCAGCCGAAATCAAGCGACTTGAGAGGAAATCCTGCAATGTAGAAGTTCAATAATCAGTAAGCAGAATTTCGAACAATGTTACAATAGAATAAGGAAGTAGAAAAATGTTTTCAAAAATATGTTGTTGTTCCGACTTTCGATACGAAAGTAACGGAATATTTGTGCTCGGGGTGGGTTTTTTTTTCTTCAGACAAATTTCGACTTTTTAACTAGCCTTTTTTGACGAATTTTTTTTGTATCATTCGAAAAGTATTGTTGTCCTGAGCTTAAATTTGAAAAGATATTTTACCTTTTATCATTTTTCGTAAAGTTATGAGGGTTTAAAGATTGCCATTTTGACCAATTTGGGACAATTAACGCGCAATATAATTCGCGCTATTAACGCGTAAGCGGAGATTTAATCAGTCTTATAAATCGTTCCAAATTGGTTGAACGAAGCTTATTTGCCATAATTGATTTGTTACAAGGAACGAAATCTATCTTTTTGTACTTTATATGGCGTGTGGGGGGATGATTTTCAAAAAAAATTTCAAATTTTAGAAAAAAAATTTCATTTTATTTTATTTCATTTAATTTGTTTATGTATTACTGCTGCTCAATAAACCTTAAAAGGCAGTCGGAACATTCAGGGCTTTGCCCTGATACGAGCAGTCTTGTTTCACTTTTAAATTAATTAAAATTTTTCACAAATGTTCTGTTGCGTCTGACTTTGGACATTCAAACATTAATTACAGAGTGTTATCGATCTCAAAAACACTACCGGACACTTTAAGAAAAAAAATCTGCAAACAGGCCGACAGAATTAAAGCCGATAATCAGAATTAAAGCCGATAAACAGGCCGACAGAAACTCAGCCGAAATTTTTGTCAGAAAAAATCATATTGTTCAAAATTGCATGCGTAACCCCCCACATAGGATCCACGATAGCTATTTAAGTAGTGTTTGCAACCATGAAGCCAAAAATCATCAGCAAAAAATAAATAGCGAAGCTTTATATTTAAAATACAATGGTTTGCGAACAATTTACTGAGAACAGCCGCTTGCGTACACCTAGATTGCAGTTTCGATCCCCACTTTATAGTTTTTTTTCCATAAATTGGTCTGAATAAAGCGCGAACAAAGCAAATATATCTTTCACCTTCTTCGAAAGTCGGAAAGAAATTATCCAAAACTCACCTCTCTGAATGGTGAGAATCTGCTGTGCGACTACAGATAATACTTCCAGATCTATCCTGTTAAACTCGTCAAAACAGGACCAGGCGCCGCAAGAAGCAAGCCCTTTGAAAAACTTGCCCAGCGCAATGTAGTCCAGACCATCCGAACAGTTGAACACCACGCACTGGAAACAAATTTCCGAAATTTGAAAAGAGTTAACGTTTCAAATACTTTTTTCGAAAGTTTTGACAAAAATTCGTTTTTTTTAGCACGCTCTTCCTTCCCTCAAATTAGGCATATATGGCGCCAAAGGCACCCACCAACAAAAAATTTTAGGGTTGGTAAACCGAAAATTGATTTCGTAAATTAGCACTAAACGGTGGGGTAAGGGTTCGAATGATTGAAGGAGAGCGAAATAATTTTGTTCCTCCAAACTTTTGAAAAACAGTATGCACATGCTTAGTTGAATTTTTACTCTTTTCACAAAAAATACTTTCAAAATTGCCTTTTCTAGGGACCGAACATTCATTTTTGTACGTTGTATTCCTCTACAAACCTGTTTTGCAACTGCCTTTGCCAAATCCTTCGTGGTTTCCGTTTTTCCAGTTCCTGCCGGACCCTCTGGCGCACCACCCAAGTTCAAGGTCAAGGCTCCGAAGAGAGTCCTGTAACATCAAATATGTTAAGCTAGTTAACTATCCAATGGCTCATTAGTTTTAATCTTAATCTATTTCTATTAAATTACTAGAGTTTCCGTTTAAAAATTAACTCTTGAGTTTCTGACTACGTTACACACTAAGCAGCTGCACATGTCCAAAAAGTATGCGAGGGCAAAAAAAAATCTAGTATTATTCTTCTAATCCCTAAAATTGTGAAACGGTAGAAGTGTAATATTTACCTGTAGCATCGATCTGTCAAAGGAGTGATGACTAATCGAGGCGAGTTGCCAAGATATTCGTATCCATAAGGCAACATGGAGTTGATCATCCTCGTCATCATGTTTTCCTCTTCCCAGTAGTAGCGAAGCTGCGAGAGCCACTTGAAGTCATTCGGATCCGAGACGTCGTCTTGAACTAGAGTCGCCAGCACGTCACGAGCGTGCACATCCAACACGACTAAGGCGCCGAGTGTGACTCGGTTTTGAGTGGACAGTTGACCTCGAACTCTGATTACGATTTCTTCAATCTGCTTATTGTTCTGTTCGAGGTATGCTTGTCTGGCATCCGGGCCTATTTTATAAATTCAGTTGAAATTTCACCTTTAAAATAGAACTTTAGGACTGTTTTTTTTTAAATCAAAATAATCAATATAAGTTGTTATATAATTAATTAAATTGCAAATACAGTGCTGATTTAAATTATCCGGACAAAACGAACAAAACTTGAATTTTCAAACGCGTTTTTCTCAAATTGGGTTAAGATTAGACAAAAAGTGAAGAGAACAAAAATTGCTTAGAATTTCACCAAAATTATTATGGTGTCATTTTTTCTCCGAAATTCCTAACAAAAATTTTACCCCCAAAATCGGTCAATTTGGCTTTTTTCAATTAATCAAAAATTACGCTGAAACTACTTTGTTAATTGATGAGAAAATTATATCACAGGAAGCCCCTTACGCAGCTCAAGAAAGTTTAAGAAGGGTTAAATCTCCAAAAATTTGCGCAAATTGTTTAAAATTTATTTTTTAACAGAGATTCTGGGTTTTATATAGTAAAAATCACATTTATTGACTATCAAGTGAATTTTTTTTCTCTTATACTGGTTTTTGGAGATTTAACCCTTCTTAAACTTTCTTGAGCTGCGTAAGGGGCTTCCTGTGATATAATTTTCTCATCAATTAACAAAGTAGTTTCAGCGTAATTTTTGATTAATTGAAAAAAGCCAAATTGACCGATTTTTGGGGTAAAATTTTTGTTAGGAATTTCGGAGAAAAAATGACACCATAATAATTTTGGTGAAATTCTAAGCAATTTTTGTCCTCTTCACTTTTTCTCTAATCTTAACCCAATTTGAGAAAAACGCGTTTGAAAATTCAAGTTATGTTCGTTTTGTCCGGATAATTTAAATCAGCACTGTAGAACAGCTTGCCTCACAGTTGCGAACTTTCAAATTTTGATATATTAACCAATCAGAATCAAGCATTACGCTCAATTTTTTATATGAACATGAGCAAGGCTGCTCATACAGTGCTGATTTAAATTATCCGAACAAAACGAACAAAACTTGAATTTTCAAAAGCGTTTTTCTCAAATTGGGTTAAGATTAGACAAAAAGTGAAGAGGACAAAAGTTGCTTAGAATTTCACCAGAATTAATATGGTGCCTTTTTTTCTCCGAAATTCCCAACAAAAATTTTAATCCAAAAATGGGTCATTTTGGCTTTTTTCAATTAATCAAGAATTACGCGGAAACTACTTTGTTAATTGATATGAAATTTATATCACAGGAAGCCTCTTACGCAGCTCAACAAAGTTTAAGAAGGGTTGAATTTCCAAAAATTTGCGCAAATTGTTTAAAATTTATTTTTAAACAGAGATTCTGGGTTTTATAAAGTAAAAATCACATTTATTGACTATTAAGTGAAAATTTTTTCATTTATACTGGTTTTTTAAGATTTAACCCTTGTTAAACATTGTTGAGCCGCGTAAGAGGCTTCCTGTGATATAAATTTCATATCAATTAACAAAGTAGTTTCAGCGTAATTCTTGATTAATTGAAAAAAGCCAAAATGACCCATTTTTGGGGTAAAAATTTGGTTGAGAATTTCGGAGAAAAAATGGCATCCTATTAATTCTGGTGAAATTCTAAGCAACTTTTGTTCTCTTCATTTTTTGTCTAATCTTAACCCAATTTGAGAAAAACGCGTTTGAAAATTCAAGTTTTGTTCGTTTCGTCCGGATAATTTAAATCAGCACTGTATAAGTGTAAAATAGAGAGAGCAATTCATATGACCTTTAAGGTCGATGACAGGTTTTGGCTTAAAAAATGTTCATAAAAATTGAAAAAAATTGAAATAAAATTTTTCTTTCTTCATTTTATCCCCCATTCGCTATGAAATAACCATAATGTGCAGAGGATAGCAAATTACATGATTCAATTTGCCGCTGACACTTAACTGGGACGTAATGGAGCGAGCATAATTTCCCAATTTGAATTACAACAGTCAAAGTAGTCGCAAAATCAAATCCCTATAACTTAACAAAAACCTATAAGAGTTTAGATATTTTCAATTTTGAGCTCCATGAGTAAATATCATTCAGATGATTTTAAAAACGCGCTCAAACATGGCTATTTAAAAGTCGAAACTTGTCTGGAGAAAAAAATACCCTTGCAAAAATATTCAACCACCCTAGCACAAAAAATCTACACTTACTTCAAAATTCGGATCTATAATTTCAGGAGCATGAATCACATTATAGAAACCTTTTACATTTCGAGCTCGAGGCACCAATATTTTTAGTCAAGGGAGATGGAACTGCAACTTATAGTTTTGAAGCAATGAAGTCCACAAAAACTTTTTCACTTTTCTTCCAAATTTTTAAAAAAAAAAACTTTTATAAATCATGGTTCAAATTTTGACAAAAGATGGACAAAACTGCCGCTTAAAAAATGGCCGGATAAAAATTTTTTAAAAAGTTTTCATGGCTTCGTTTGAGGGCGTCCGAGATGTGTTCTTGGTGTGAAAAATTGTTGACATCAGAAGGAGTTTGAAGCTTTGGATTTAAAAGTATTCGTTGGAAAAAGAATCTAAGCTAGACGCTCATATAGTTTAACCTTTACATAAAGAACAGAAAATTTTTAAAGCTCCTAAAGGAAAATTGATGAAAAATTCAGCATTTTTTTTAGTAAAATACCAAATTCATTTTTAATTTCTTTCAATGTGACGTGAAACTATATGAGGGCCTAGCTTAAAACCATACCAATGAATAAAACTTTCCAATGAATAAATTTAAAACCAAAATTTCGAACTGCTTCTGCAGTTTACGGGTCTTTTTTGGCACCAGTTTACGGATCTTTGACACGCTCGAAAAATGGCCAAACAGCGCTTTGAAAACAAATTTTTACAGATTTTGATTAAACAAACAAACAAGTTTATGCATCCGACGCCAACATTTCAACAGTGAATCACTGTTAGTTGCAGAGAAAACCGACAGAAACGTGTAAAAGTTTTCGTCCTTTTCTTTTCAACTTCTATATCTCGTGAGTCAATCAAAATTAAAATGACCCATATTAAAATCCGTCAAAAACTTGACACAGAGGCGAAACTGCAAATTTGCAAACACGCAACAAAACTGCAAAAATGCTCTAAAATGTTCAAAACGAGAAAAAAAGGTGCGAAAACATAAAACTGATAAACAATCTGTTTAATTCGGAATCAAACCCCCGGCCTAAAAACTAAGAGTATCACGTCCTAGCATCTGCCCCAAGAGTTCTTAACAGTCAAAAACCAGCCACCCATAAAACAAATACAAAACTATAATGCTATGCAGCAAAAGTAAACCAGATATGTTGTTACTGCAGCAAAATTGCAACCGAATTCATCAGTTTCTAGTTGCGACTTGGTTTGGAAAACACAGTACATATCGTGTAAATAAGAAGTTAAAGTTTGGCTGAAGAAAAAAACACCCAAAAAATTAAGTGAACTATTACCTTTGGGTAGAGCATTGGACACTTCTGTGGTCCAGTAGAGTTGGGAGACACAGAGAACTGCCTGCCCGCACCATTTGACCACCCAGTCTATCCTGGGAGTCTCGACGTAGTCGGCCATGGATTCGATGACTGCTTTGCGAATAGAAGTCAACATGTCTGTCTCCAGTTCAAGCAGCCATTTCTCCACTTGGCCTAAAACACAACACAGAATACAGATGGACGAATAGCTTTTTTTCTTAGCTTAATCTGAATTCAAAAATTTTTTAAATCATAAATTCGCTCGAGTCCAAAATCAATGATTTTTGTAGGTATTTATTTTTGTAAAAAAGTAAACTGAATTAAAAATTAGCTTTTTTATTTGTTTGAATAGAAATAGCAATTAGCTTTTAGACATAATTTTTAAAGTGAAAAAGAGTAATTTGTGAGCTTTGTTGACCTCTTGCTTTCGAGGTGCTGATGACCTCTTTCAATTCGACAATCTCATTCTCCGAACTCTTCATATGTGTGATGTCCAAGTTCTCAGTGAAGCTCAACTTGGCGATTCCCTCGAAGCACTTTTTCAGATGTGGCTGCACCCTCGTTGGATCCTTCGTCTCAGAGAGGATCTCCAGAAGCTCGTCATTGGAAAGGAAAAAGAACCGAGGGAAGTAGAGACGCTTCTTCTCCAAGTACTCGTTCAGCCCTTTAACAATCATTTTGAACTTTATTTCAGGTAGTCAGAAGTTAAAAGAAAAAATTGATGAAAACAATGGAGATTAAAACTTATTTCGGTAACTTATTTCTGTATTTCGGAACCCCGACGACCCAAAATATCTTTTATCATTAATTCATGAGACTATTATCGGAAGACCTGTCAAAAACTTTGCAAAAGCGTCATTATACGCCAAAAGAAAAGTCTCAAAATTAACAAAAAATAATACTTACAACAATAGCAATACAAGTGCTTGACCGGACAAAATTCCGACAAAATTGGAAACTTTAAACGCGTTTCCTAATTTTGGTTGGCATAAGAAAAAAAGATGGGACAAAAAATTGCTCAGAATTTAACCCAAATAAAATATTGCATTTTATTTTGCAAAACTCCATCCCAAAGTTTTACCCTAAAATGGGTCTTTTTTTGGCTTTTTAACCGATGAAAAATACGCTAAAGATTCCCAGTGAAATGTCGAGCAAATTATATCAAAGTGAGACTCTTACCTAGCTCAAAAAAATTTAAGAGGGATATAACCCTAAATTTTGTATTAGAAAAAATATTTATATTTGATAGCCATATTTTTCAATTTTGCAAAACAAAACACCAATTATTTATCAAAACAGTTTTTAAATAGTTTTGCGCAAAATTTTGTGATTTTACCCTTCTTAAACTATGTTGAGCTACTTAAGAGTCTCACTTTGACATAATTTGGTGGGCAATTAATTGACTGAGTATTTTTAGCGTACATTTTATCGACTAAAAGAAGCCAAAAACGACCCATTTTTATGGTAAAACTTTGGGATGAAATTTAGCTAAACAAATTGCATCATATTTACTCTAATTAAATTCTACACCATTTTTGCTCTGATAATTTTTTGTCTAGGGTCAAAGTCAAACAATTTGAGAAAAATGCAATCAAACCTTCCAGTTTTGTTGGTAAATTTTAAATCAGCACTGTAACTAACTGAGAACCCCGACTGACCTTTGAGAATGAGTTCGAGGAACTCGTTGTTTTTCTTCATCTTCTCCAACATTTTGTCGATCGTGGTCACTGCCAGCACGTGGCGGTCATTCATCACCTGTTTCATAAGGTCCCTCCAGGTCTTGTCCACAGTCGTGAACCTCCTTCCCTCCTCTGGCATTTGGGCCATGATGTCCGGCGAACTGAAGATGGGTTCCAGGTACAGCCACGTGGCCTAAAAGTATGAGTATGAAATATTAATATTCAACAGAAGCAGTTATTTGTATGTACCACAAGCAAAAAGGCGAGGAAAACGAAATATTAACATTCAACAGAAGCAGTTATTTGTATGTACCACAAGCAAAAAGGCGAGGAAAACGAAATATTAACATTCAACAGAAGCAGTATTTGTATGTACCACAAGAAAAAAGACAAGGAAAAAGGGTTTCGATGTCATAATACGTCCTTTTGCAAAAATTAATTCGTTATTTTTGCCCTAATTCTGACTTATCCCGTTCAATTGAAAAAAAATAGAGAGGTGAAATTAAGGTAGAAAAAATGCTCCAAAAATATGATAATTGCTTAAAGAACTTCTTAATCATGTCTTTCGTTCAAATTGGTTGTATTCACAACATGATTGCAGTAAAATGATTGGCATCAAGTTCACTTTTTTGCTTTTTGTCTAACTAACCTGCACTTTAAGCCACTCGTCCAAAATCTCCTGCAGCAGAATCAACTTGCCCTCCCACTCTGTAATTTCGGCCTCAAAGGGCTTGATGAAGGGGGAGCCTCGCATGGTCTGCGTTTTCACGATCTGGTCATCCAGTAACATCTGGATGTCATCGATAGACGATAAAATGAAGGTTCCAGTTTCTCTGTAAGGAATCAGCATGAATTCAATCTCGTCCCACTCGCCCTGCATTTTAGCCAGGGCTTTTTCCAGGGCGAATTCTCGACTAGCAGCTTCTGACACGCCTTCAAACTGCTCCAGGAACGGTTCCAGTTTCATGTTGAGGAAACTCTGCAGTGTGTTTTCAGGTTCCGGGTTGACAGTGTAGCCCACAATCTCCGACACTTGATTCCAGTGGCGTTCGCGCATTCCTAAAAGTAACAGATGAAGCAATCGAATCCGGAAGTCTTCAATTTTTTTTTTCAAAAAATTAAAACTTAATCTGAAAATAGAAGCATGAAGTAAGACGAAGCCTTCATTTGTAGTTTTAAAAAAACAGGCAGAAACAGGCTTTGAGTTTACCTGGGTTGCAGAGACAGGAGATGAGCGGCATGTTTTCTTTGAAGTCGTCAATCTGAGATTTGACCTGAGAGGCCATCTGTTTGGCCGTCTGAGACTCCAGATTCTTTTCCAGTTTGTACATGCCTCGCCATAGATTACCCACCTGGAAACAAGATGGATGAAAACAAAAAAAAACATATAAGGTTCCAGGGATGATATTATAAACAAGTAATATTGTGAGAAACCAAAAGTTTTTCTAGTTTTTTCGCAGTTTTGTATACTCTTAGAAAAAGTACCAAGCTTCTTCCTTCGGCTTCAAATGAAACTACCTTTCGATACTAAAGCCGCGGTCCCTGCACAACAGAATCGACTCACTTTTTAGTGTATCAACATAACTATCACAGAAAAATAATTGGTAGAAAATCAAAATTCATATTATGGTATCAATCAAAACGCGCCACAGAAAAAACGGAGACGGGGAAGACTCGGCCTCTGTACAATTTTGATCAGAAATCAGTTGGGTGTGCATTAATAATCAGTTCGAAAAACAAATTCTTCTTTCCAACAATCACACTCAAAAAAGGAACATATCAAATTTCAAAAAAAATTGTTAATCCAAAAATTCAAAAAAAAATGCAAAAAAAGTTTTAAATCCAATATTTGTTTCATGTTTAACTACAAACAATGCGAGAAAGTATGTTTGTATTTAAAACATGTATTATACCTCCTGTTCGACTGTATCGGGGTCCACTTTATTGTATGGTCCATTGATCCATTGCTGGTGGAGGTCATTGAACTTGACGGCATCTTTGTAGAGATTGTAGTAGGGGGTCAATTTGGACCACAACTCCCCTCTTTGGGGGTAATTTGTAGTCTGCCACCCAAAAGACTCTTCCTCAATATTGAAAGCCTCGATCTGAAGTCCACACAAAAATTATTCAGCCAAATATCGCATTTTTTAACTTAATCGGTGCAATTTTCAAAACACGCAATTTGAAAGAACTCAAGGAACTCTTCACTTCTGATTGGTTAAATTTAAATATCAGCAGAAAAAAATATATTTTGAAGTGCTTTGAGTTGATTTTCTTTCTCCCTCGCTCAAAAAGCATAAGCTTTGGTTTGCATTAGAGTTTTTGTACCAGCTTTGTTATTATGATATTTGGAAAAGATTGTGAAAAAATATTTGATTTGGGATGAAAGTTTAACTCTTCTGACTAACCCTCTCTTGCGCTTCCTCCAGTTTCCTGCTGAAGAAGAGTGGCCCTTTTGAGGTACTTGCTGACCTCTCCCAAATCCCCGAGTGCCTGGAACTCCTCAAGAGTCCTCGCATGCACTGCTAGTTCCTCAGCGAATCTTTCCCTCTTCATCTTGAGTGCGTCTTCGTACTCGGACTGTTTCTTGTTCGCTATCTCTTTGTGCGATTCGAACACTTCGGGCATTCGCTCGAACCACTGGAAAGTGGCGTTGTTCAGTCTAAACAGAAAACGACATTTTTGAACAACAGTAATAACACAGTTTGAATCAAAACAGGCAGTTTTTTGCCTTAATATAACCAAGAACAAGACAATTTGGTTCTTATTTTACCGCCACAGCCTTGTGATTATCATCTTCTTGGCCCAGGCACTCTGTAAAGGAATTGACATTTTGCGGACAGAAAAAAACTTTTTTTTATTGTGGGGGGAGTTCCGCAATTTGATCATTTCTGATAAAATCATGCCGAAACACAACAAGCAAAAAAAAACATCTACATCGGCAACAAGTTTTGGTAATTAATTGCTGATTAATGCTGAACCTACAACTAAGGTGTTTTTTTTGCAGGGGGTGGGGTTGTGGAAAGGGTGTGTGGTTGTGAGTATAGCAGAGTGTAAATTGTGTTAACCTCATTTCCTGTGGCGATGATATGGAGTATTCGATGAGGAAAGCCAGTCTCTCGCCCGCCTGCTGTAATTTCCCCTCCAGTTCCAGCACCGTCTCTGTCTCCACCTTGTGCATGTACTCCTTCAACTCCACAAGCTCCGCAGTGTCCATGGGAGTAGACAAGGCCTTCTCCGCTATCTGCTCAAACTCCGCACACAATCTAGACAAAAAAAAAGAAATCATCTGGATTGAGGTTCGAATCTCGGACTCTTCAATTTTCAAAAACTCTTCGACAAGATCAACCTAAAAGAGTTTTTGTTCTTTTATTTGAGCGCTTTGGCTGCCATCTGCTGTGCCGTCTAAGTGAAAATTTTAATTTATCAAAAAGTGCAGCATTCATCGCAAATTCGGTATGACATAAGGCACGTCGAGAAGGTATGATATAAAAGAATTATTACTTTCTAGTTTTTCATTTATTACCAATAACTTGCAACTTACATCCCATTTAGAAAATGACACACTTTTTTTCCTGCAGAAAGTTGTCGGCTCTGAAAAATTGTCGAATCACTAAGATTTTGTACAAATCCAGGCTCAGAGGAGAAGCTGCGCTTTGCAAACACAAGCGAAGAAACGCCAAAACATGGCTTTAAAAGATCAAAAAAGAAAAAATCAAAACCTAATGAACTTTGAAAAAAAGACCTAAACTGGAATTGAACCTCAGTGCTCGGACATTCAAAACTGCGAGTCGACTGGCCTACACAATTGGGCCAATAACGTTTATAGAGACCAAAGAAAAGCGAGAAAAAGGCAAAATGAAGCTTCAAAAAGGATAATATAAAGCTGAATTATGCATTTTAAACAAACTCGCGAAGTATACTAAGTTTGAAAATTTCTGAGGTGGAATGTTTGTTATTTTACTGTTGTATATTATTAAACAGCCAGCTTTCTTTACTTCATTTGATGATTTAAATTTGCATCAACTGTGTAAAACTGTAAGTAATTGTATAATATTAGGTCGACTTTCGATACGAAAGTAACGGAATATTTGTGCTCGGGTAGTTTTTTTTTTCTTCAGACAAATTTCGACTTTTTAACTAGCCATTTATGACAAAATATTTTTATATCATTCAAAAGTATTGTTGTCTTGTGCTTAAATTTGAAAAAATATTTCATCTGTGATCATTTTTTAAAGTTTGTGGGGATTTAAAGATTGCCAGTTTGGCCAATTTGCGACAATTAACGCGCAATATATTTCGCACTATTAACGCGTAAGCGGAGATTTTTTTTGTCTTAGAAATCGTTCCAAATTGGTTCAAAGAAGTTCAATTGCCATAATTGATTTTTTACAACGAGCAAAATCTATTACTTAGTACTTTATATGACGAGCGGAGGGATGTTTTTCATAAAAATTTTCAAATTTTACAACTTTTTTTCATTTCATTTTATTACATTTAATTTTATTGTTATCACTGCTCCATAAACCTTAAAAGGCAGTTGGAATATTCAGGGCTTCGTCCTTACACGAACAGTCTTGTTTATTATTATTAAACACCCAGCTTTTTTTTTTACTTCATTTGATGATTTAAATTGGCGTCAACTGTGTAAATTTATTCGTAATCAAGTGTCCAAGCACACTCTTTTAAATAGCCAATTCAGCCTCATGTAGCACTTGCTTGCGTTTTAAGTTGAGAAAGTGACCTTGTAGTATCACCTTACACACGCTTGCTTACAAAAAAAAAGAGAAAGAATTTTCTACGTATGTCTATCAGCCTGTATGTATGTACGTATGCATGTGTATATGTGTATGTATGTATGTATGTATGTACGTATGTATGTATGTATGTATGTATTTATGTATGTATGTATGTATGTATGTATGTATGTATGTATGTATGTATGTATGTATGTATGTATGTATGTATGTATGTATGTATGTATGAATGTATGTTTGCATGCAAATATGTATGTATGTATGAATGTATGCATGTATGTATGCATGTATGTTTGTTTGTCTGAGACCGAACTCCTCCTGTGATAACAATTGCACAAACCCTGAAAAATTTACAACTACGTGCATATGAACACGAGAAGTGCTAGGAGCTACTTCTTTTTTTGAACTTCGCCCACCTTGCTTTAAAACAGGGCAGAAGAGGGTAGAAAAGTAGAGCTACGTGAATTAAATGTTCATTTTACAGTTGCCTTCTGTTGCTTAGAATTGAGCACGTGTATTATTTTGAACAATTCCATTTGTTTTTCAGTTTCAGTTAAGCCCACAGCAATCGGCTCTTTTCCAGTCCCCCCTTTGAGTTTTTTCGGAAATTTAATATATGAAAATTTATTTAAAATGACTTTTCATGTTATAAAATGCATTAAATCGTGTCAGCGTGAACAGGTGAACAAATTTTTGAACAGCTTTATTTTGAAATTTTACGAGGGGTGTGGGAAACTGGAAAAGAGCCCAACAATCAATAATACTTAAGAATGTGATAGTTTTGACTGTGCAGCAGTTTACTTCAGCTAATTTTTTCTATATTCGGTGTATGTTTTTCTCATTTTTTTTGCTTAACGCAATGAAATTGAGATAAATGTTGAAATATAGCAGCATTTCTTTTCTAAACACGTAATAGTTTTTGACTGTGCAAAATTTTACTCCAACAAAAATTTGATTCACGAGTTTAGGTACCAGGCCAAAAATGGCCATACAGCTAGTTTTATAATATTGTCGCAACTCACTTCCTGTTGGTCTCCATGTGGTCCCTGGATACTCTCTGGAGCAGTCTAGTAGACAGAGTGTCCACTCTACTGGCCATGGCTCTGATGAGATCACTGCACTGGATCTCAAACATTCCCAGTCGTTGCACCTACACAATTAGATAATCACATCACTCATTACGTAATTAACATCACCCTCAAGTGCCATAAACATGGTCTTCATATACTCATTTGTTTTTATCATGGAGCTCATCAGATCAGAAAATGTGCATTTGAGAGAAGAACATTCGGACTCAAATGAATAGTAAGACATCACACTTGTGTTACGTGTCAAAGAAGATGGAATTCAATTGATCCAGGCTAGGATCCATCATCATCAAAAATCGCACCCCCGTTGTGATGGCAATACACTTTTTTGTCAAACCTTACATTGAGAATCCAGATACGTAGAGAGGCTGTTTTGAACTTATCATTCAACGAACAATCTACGGTACCTTTTTAAGAGAAAGAAAATCATAATAGGGTCAATTATATTGAAAGCCTCACTGAATACAAGTTCATTTATTGTAAGTTTCAAAAAAATCGTTAACTACCAGAAAAATTGATGGAAAAATTGATGGATTTTAAAAAATCATTAACTGTCAGAAAGTATGATGGAATGTTTAAAAAAAAACAGCAAAACAATATAAATGCTCAGGGTGATTTTCCGTGAGACTAATTTTGCCGATCAACATTACAGCTTTCGACTAAATTTGTCTTAAAACCCAATAGAGATATTAAGGCCCTGAGCTCTTTTAGACAAATTTCAGCTGAAAACATCTTTCGTCAAATTGGTGAAGACGTTTAAATAAAGTATAGAATCAAATAAAGTATATAATTATATTATTGTTCCGACTTTCGATACGAAAGTAACGGAATATTTGTGCTCGGGGTTGGTTTTTTTTCTTCAGACAAATTTCGACTTTTTAACTAGCCATTTTTGACGGAATTTTTTTATATCATTCGAAAGGTATTGTTGTCCTGAGCTTAAATTTGAAAAGATATTTCACCTGTGATCAATCACGTAAAGTAACGGGGGTTTAAAGATTGCCATTTTGGCCAATTTGGGACAATTAACGCGCGATATAATTCGCGCTATTAACGCGTAAGCGGAGAATTAATCCGTCTTAGAAATCGTTCCAAATTGGTTAAAAGAAGCTTATTTGCCATAATTGATTTGTTACAAGGAGCGAAATCTATCCTTTTGTACTTTATATGGCCTGTGGGGGGATGATTTTCATTTAAAAAAAATCAAATTTTAGAAAAAATTTTTTCATTTTGTTTCATTTCATTAAATTTTTTAAATGTTATTACTGCTCCATAAACATTAAAAGGCGGTCGGAACATTCAGGGCTTCGCCCTGATACGAGCAGTCTTGTTTAACTTGCCATCTTCTTTTGTTTTCCTTCAAACATTTTTTTTGAAATACGAAGATATAAGTGTCAATGTTTGTGACAATTGCACATAGTTGGTAATTATTAGATGCGAAATGGATCTTTTCCTTTCTTTTTTAATCATACAAAAGGAAAAATTTAATTTTATTTTGAGCTCAGATTATCGATTTAATCTGCCAAAAGATTCCTGAAAAACTGCTATTTGGCTAATTCAAAACAAAAATTTATACATTAATTTCGATTCAGCTGATCGTATTCGTACAAAATGAGTTCTTTCCCGATAGATATATCAGTCTTTAATCATAAAAAAATAAGATACATTAGAGACTTTCTTTCGCGACTGAACTTAAAGGTTTCAACGCTGATAGCAGAACTCTTGTATATTCGTGTACAACTATGAATGACATATTCAATTTGTAGCCAAAAATAAACAAGACTGCTCGTATCAGGGCGAAGCCCTGAATGTTCCGACTGCGTTTTAAGGTTTACGGAGCAGCAGTAATAGCATAAAAAAATTAAATGAAATCATATAAAATGAAATTTTTTTTTTCTAAAATTTGAAATTTTTTTTCTTGAAAATCATCCCCCCACACGCCATATAAAGTATAAAAAGATAAATTTCGTTCCTTGTAACAAATCAATTATGGCAAATAAGCTTCGTTCAACCAATTTGGAACGATTTAAAAGACGGAATAAATCTCCGCTTACGCGTTAATTGCGCGAATTATATCGCGATCTAATTGTCCCAAATTGGTCAAAATGGCCAAAATGGCAATCTTTAAACCCTCATAACTTTACGAAAAATGATCACAGGTGAAATATCTTTTCAAATTAAAGCTCAGGACAACAATAGCTTTCGAATGATATAAAAAAAATTCCGTCAAAAATGGCTAGTTAAAAAGTCGAAATTTGTCTGAAGGAAAAAAAAATCCCACCCCGAGCACAAATATTCCGTTACTTTCGTATCGAAAGTCGGAACAATAAATTAAAATCTAAGTTCGCAGAACAGCCGTGAAGATTTTCGTAGCAACACGATTGCTCGTAGCAATGCTGTTCTAAACGAAGTTTCGAACACACACAAAGTTTTCAAAAAATTGAATAGCCCTGAATGTTCCGACTGACTTTTAAGGTTTATTGAGCAGCAGTAACACATAAAAAAAATTAAATGAAATAAAACAAAATGAAATTTTTTTAATGAAAATCATCCCCCCACACGCCATATAAAGTACAAAAACATGGATTTCGTTCCTTGTAACAAATCAACTATGGTAAATAAGCTTCGTTCAACTAATTTGTAACGATTTATAAGACGGACTAAATCTCCGCTTACGCGTTAACAGCGCGAATTATATGGCGCGTTAATTGTCCCAAATTGGTCAAAATGGCTAAAATGGAAATCTTTAAACCCTCATAACTTTACGAAAAATGATCACAGGTGAAATATCTTTTCAAATTTAAGCTCAGGACAACAATAGCTTTCGAATGATAAAAAAAAAATTCCGTCAAAAATGGCTAGTTAAAAGTCGAAATTTGTCTGAAGGAAAAAAAATCCCACCCCGAGCACAAATATTCCGTTACTTTCGTATCGAAAGTCGGAACAATAAATTAAAATCTAAGTTCGCAGAACAGCCGTGAAGATTCTCGTAGCAACACGATTGCTCGTAGCAATGCTGTTCTAAACGAAGTTTCGACCACACACAAAGTTTTCAAAAAATTGAAAGTCAAGCCTATTAACCATACTTCCATGCACTTATAATGCTAGTCAAACAATTCCATTAAAATTGTCTATGAAAAATTGCTTGTCATACAATTCTCATTTATGGGAATTGTGTGAGAGCATTCTTTCATACAGAAAATGTATCATCACAGATCGAAATTGTACGACTAGCATTCTTTCATAGAGAGATTGAATAGCCATATTTGGGAAAAGTAACTTTAAGATATGCCAGAGACTAGACCCAATTCTACGTAAAAGAACCAAAAATTACTGTTTTGAGTTTAAGTCAGAATTTTGTGCAAGTCATACTGAATAATATCTGTAATTCAAATGATTTTTTTTTCATATGATAAAAAAAAATGACCATATATGATAAAATCTAAACTGATTTTTTCAACGTAACATCTCTCTGGCCATATACAAAAAGTTATAGTTATTATATACAAACTGGATAATTTCCTTTCTTTTTTTAATCAAATCAAAGGAAAAACTTAATTTTATTTTGAGATCAGAATATCGATTTGATCTGCAAAAAGATTCCTGAAAACCTGTTATTTGGTTAACACAAGACAAATATTTGATTCGCGCCATCGTATTTTTGCAAATTGATTACCTTCTCAAAAGATTTACAGGTCGTTAATCATTAAAAAAAACTTAAGAACAAAATTGACACTTTGTTTCGCGACTGAATTTAAGGGTTTCTTGCTCACACCAGAAGTTTTTTATATCTATAACTGAGAATGATGATTTGTTCAATTTGTAGCCAAAAATAAATAGCAAATTAAATTCTAAGTCCGCAGAACTCAATGATTCTCGTAACAACAATATTGCTCGTAGCAAGCTGTTCGAAGCGAAGTTTCGACCACAAAGTTTTCAAAAATTGAAATTAAAATATATGCAGCCGTCTAGCTTGTTTACCCGCATTGTACGTCTAGCATTCTTCCATAATGAAATTAAATGGCCACATATGGGAATTGTAACTTTTAATATATATATAATAGTCCAGACTCAGTTCTACGCAAAAGAACCAAAAATTACGTGTTTTGAGTTTAAGTCAGAATTTTGTGCAAGTCATATACGATAAAATCTGTTATTCAAAAGAATTTGAATTATATGAGAAAAAAAAAGATTTATATGATAAAATCTGCAATGGATTATTTAAAGTAAAAGCTCTCTGGCCATCTGCAAACTTTTTTTTGTTATATTTTCAGGAGATCATCCATTAGTCAATTTAGATGGCGAGTCTTCTAAGGCAGATGATCTGTGAGATTATAGCTATCTAGCCTATGGGTTGTTCTCATTTGAGAAAAAATTAGAATATTGTGTTCCAGGACAAACGCAAAAGTTTAAAGCGAAAATCAAATGTTGTTCATCTATTTTGTCTTTTAATTCGAATTTATGACATACAGTTTTCTTATGGAAGACTGCTAGTCATACCATATTAGTGTCACATATGAAAGAACACTAGCCATGGAACTTTAATTTGTTTTTTAAATGTATAAAATATACGGGCCATAGTATGAAAATTGCATGACTAGCATTTTTGTCATCGCGGGTAGACAGTAGCATATTCAGGTTGAAATAAAAGAGTTCTTTCATTGCAAAAAAGAACGGAAAAACTATTCTTTTTTGCACAAATTTTGATTTTTCACTTTCAAGGTGGAATGATTGTTGTGAATAAAGTATATTACAATCTAGATTGTCGTGAATAAACTATATTCTACTTATATCTTCCCAAGTAAGGGCAATGATAATTCTACTCATCAATTAATTGTTCAGTAGCTCGAATTCAATAAAAATTGTTGTTTTAAACATAAATGGAACAATAACCAATTGTTAGTTTTGAAAATTGAAGATGTTTGACATCAAGTTGTATGAGCCTATACAACTCTTTTTAAGAGATCAGATTGATAAAAAACTTGCGTGACATTTGGAATAGAACAGATGTTCAGATGAAATCTACACATTCTTCAAGAAGAACAGAATCAAATACAATGTTCAGAGTAGACTAACTGTATCTTGCTGAAATGATAACACAAGTGAAGCAGCGATCACTTCAAAAGCAACACAGAGTGTTCTCACCCTACAGGGGCAGATGTGGGGGGCGGGGCAGACGACCCCCCCCCCCACACACACACACACACACACACAGGGATTCGACCCCCTGCCGACCCAAAGGGTCCCCCTTTGTATTTTTTTGAGATATCCATTTTTGGCTGACCGATCTTAAATTTTTTTCTAAAGGCGCCTTTGGAGCCTATTTATTCTAATTTTAACGGGGGGGGGCAAAAAAACTCAATTTTTTTGGTCAAAAATTTTCAAATGTGCCTAAAAACGCCTTTTTGGCCTGTTTTTTTTTTTTCAACAATTTGCATGAGGCGCAGAAAATTTAGTCAAAATAGGGTCTTTATAGTGATTTAAGCAAGCTCAAAAATCAATTTGGTCAATGGTCAACCTAAAAAAAAGGTCCACTGTCCACCCCCTTCAAGAAAATCCTAATCCTAGATCCGCCCCAACCACAACACCTAGCATGTTTTAACAAACTGAAGCACAGTTTTTATTCCCAAGTTTCCAGGGTTGCTACTTAAGGGTAATAATTTTTAATTAAGCTATTAACTAGCAGCTGAGATCATTCTCATAAAACAAAGTTCAACCCACTTTTTTCGACACTGAGAAAAATTTTATAGATTTTAAAGTAATTTTAATGGTGAAATAAGGACTTTTCAATCTTAGATTTCCTGTCCTCAATTCCTGCAAGACGTTTTCAAGTGATTATGACGATTTTGAAAGGGATAAAAACACAAATCCAAAAAATAAAATCTTTCAATTTCAGAAAAGCTTCAAACTTATTTCAGAAAGAGCACCCGCCGCAAAAGGTAACCAAAAACCAGATCAATTCAAAGAAACTCCTAAAATAAATATAAACTTTATGTTTGTGAAAAATCCAAACTTGAACACAGCAACCCACTCTCAAAATTACTTACCAACATTTCCTGTATAATGAATGGGAAAATAAAACAGTTAAAGAGCACACAATTAAAATACCGAGCGATTTAAATTGCAAAACCCAAAGTATTATGATACAAATGACCTCTATCATTTAAAATTACACTTGACAAAAAGGGTGACAGAATGAATCGTTCAAATAACACGGCGAATCAAGTTGACAAAACGTTTTTGACAAATTTAAGGCAAAAAATGTTGTTTAAAAGCACAAAAAAAAGAATAGATTTAAATCTGGTTCCATTCTTCATAAATTTACTTAAATTTTCATAGATGTCCCGAATCGATTTTATTTCTTTTTGTAATTTTTGCTTCAGTAAGTTTTTGCTTTTTTTCCGACGAATTTCGGTAGTGGCGGTAACTAAAAATCATTCGAATCCCCTTCGAATTTAGTTACCTTTCGAAGTCCGAACTCGATTTCGTCTTTGAGCTGGAGGTACTTGACCACTTCTTTCGTGTAATCTTTGAAGTCGTGCTCCTCGTTCAGAAATCTGGTCACATCATCCTCCGCCTGAACAAACACATGCATCGCAAACAGATTCAAAAAATAAATACTTCTGATGACAAGGAAGGGAGATCGAACCTGGGAGTTAGCAAAATTTACCTCTGAGTCATATCACAATGACTATTGGAACAAATAAATTATCTGGAGCGCGAATTCGGAACTTATTTTGATTTTGTTTTAATTCCCGACCGAATTTTGATTTCATATTCAAGGAAAACATTTTCGAAGAAACTTTATACAGAGGCGAAGCGGAACACTTGCGATACAACGCAAGCATAGCATTGCAAGCTAGCGAACAGAGACGGAAACAACTAAGTCCAAAACTAAAAATAGAAAAAACAAGACTGCTCGTATCAGGGCGAAGCACTGAATGTTCTGACTGCCTTTTAAGGTTTATGGAGCAGTAATAACAGAAAAAAATTAAATGAAATAAAATGAAAAGAAGATTTTTTTCTAAAATTTGAAATTTTTTATGAAAATCATCCCCCCACACGCCATATAAAGTACAAAAGGATAGATTTCGTTCCTTGTAACAAATCAATTATGGCAAATAAGCTTCGTTCAACCAATTTGGAACAATTTCTAAGACGGATTAAATCTCCGCTTACGCGTTAATAGCGCGAAGTATATCGCGCGTTAATTGTCCCAAATTGGTCAAAATGGCCAAAATGGCAATCTTTAAACCCTCATAACTTAACAAAAAATGATCACGGGTGAAATATTTTTTCAAATTTAAGCTCAAGACAACAATACCTTTTCAATGATATAAAAAATTCCGTCAAAAATGGCTAGTTAAAAAGTCGATATTTGTCTGAAGAAAAATTTTAAAGCTTTGAACTTTTGCACCACAACCGACCAAATTAATTAAAAACACATAACTTTTGCCTTCAAACAATACAAAATAAGTTCACTTAGCCCATAAAACATGAGCCAAAACCATGTAGGCCGAATGAAACTTTCAAGTGAAAAAAATAACAATAAAAACGAAAATATGCAAAGCCAGAGCTAGTAAAAATTAAAATACAGAAAAAATCAATAAAACTTGCAATTACAGGGAAAAGTGCTTAGAGCAGGGAAAACTGCTTAAGGAGAAAAGTGATAAAAAATGATGATGTGTCAATAAAGACGACCAAACATAAGCAGACAAGCAATAAGCCGACAATGCAAATTTTCGTGGAAAAACATTCAGATTCAGACATACTGAAAAAATGAGGTCCGGCCACGACTCGAATTCCACAGCTTAGGATCCCAAGGCAACTGCTATACCTCCAGACTAAGTGGGAGAGGGATACTTAAAGATCAAAAGGTTCACTAATAAAGCAAGTTCAATTTTCAAAAATTTTAAAACATCAAAAAATAAAAAACCCATTGTATGTACTCAAATACAAACGATGAATTGATGAAAAAGTTGCAAAAAATGAGCCAAAGTTTCAGCTGAAACATTGAAACCGAAAAATTTACTTTTCATTTATCGATGTTCGGCCCCGAAAACGTCCTTGCAATGATAAAGAACAAAATCTCATCAAGCAGAGATGCCATAAATGAAACCTTAGAAAAATTGTTGAATTCAAATATCCAGCAATAAAAGATTGACCAGATAACAAAACAATCAACAAAACGGCTCGTATTAGGGTAAAGCCTGAATTTTATGACTGTTTTTAAGGTCAATGGAGTAGTGTTCACTTAAAAAAAATGGATACATTTTTCAAAAACAATGAAAAAAATCAAAACTCCTTTTTGAGAATTTGTTTCAAAATCACCCCCCCCCCCCCCCACACAGACACACGCTATATAAAAAATATAGCAATGTATTAAAACACCAAATTACATGCCTCAACTCAATTTGGAGCAATTTCTATGAAGAATAAATCTCCGCAATGTTTAAATCCCCATAACTTCACGAAAAAGGATCACATGTGAAATATCTTTTTAAATTTGAGCTCAATACAACAATATTTTTTCGATATTTTCCAAATGATATTAACGTCAAAAATAGCTAGTTAAAAAGTCGCAATTTGTCTGGAGAAAAAACTACCCCGAACACAAATACTTTGTCAATTTCTACGAAAATAATCGGAACAAAAGCAGGGGCGCAAAAGCCGGGGACTCGCCAAAAGAATTGAAAAGGTTCAAACTGCAGGCATATTTTGACAGGAAAGTTATTCTAGATCATCGAATAAATTCACTAGCTGAAATAATGATATATTTCGCAAAAAATAACGCTAAAAAAAGCTGAAAATCCGGCAAACATGTCAGAAAAAAGTCACATTAGAAAAATACTGAGTGCATACACATCAATTCACCACCTACATAGCAACCATCAGTGCATATTTTCCTTTTCTAATTTTGCAGATTTTGTGAACAAAGCTGTTTATGGGAAAAAGTGTAGCCTGTTACAATAGCCTTGCTAATGACAAAGGGTTAACAATGGGGAGTAAAAATGGGGCTTAATTTGGTGTTTTAAGGAGAAGAAGAATGCGAACTTAGTGCGATAGTTCAAGTGTTACAATGGGGGGGGGGGGGGTGTTGAATTGATGTGACAGAAGATAAGTGAAGAGAAGATATACCTGTCCACTGATGAGGAATTTGTACTTGTCGAAGGAGGAGAGGAACTCGACGGGTCTCTTACTCTCATTCTCAATCGTCTGCTCAACCTTGGCCTTGTTCTCGTCTATGATGTCCTGCAGGATGATAGGCTTAAGAGGCTCCTTCTTTCCCGCCTGCAAAAGAACACAAGACGTCATTGCATAAACCGATTCTTTGTTTTATCATCTATAAGAAGCAAAATTGGTTGAGCCAATTTGATTGAAAACATTTTAATTGAATAATGGTTAAAAAATCGGTTTTTAACTGAACATCACTGGTGTAAACTTGTTGGCAGAGTCTTTTTGCACACTTTTTCAGTTTTTTTTTTCGGCTGAGCTCTTCTTTTCTCGGGTATGTAACTTCAGACGCGAAAAAATTTTAAAAAATACGGAACTTGCAACAAGTCTGTGTTAGTTAATTTAACATAAAGTATACGTAATGCGAATAAAGTAGAAAAAAAAGATGTGAACTATATGAAAGATTCCCCATTGACCATTACGAGGAGCTGGCTGACAATGCTCAACATTTGCGCCCGGATATCATTGAAAAGCGAAGAATCGAAAGCAATACGAGCACTGCGTGCACCAGCGGATTGGGGGGATTTGTCTTCCTGCTGACCCAAAGGGTCCCCTTTTGTACTATTTTGAGATATCCATAGTGATTTGGGAGAACTCAAAATATCAATTTGGCCAAATAAAAAGGTCGACAAAATTTCTATCTTTTTTTGGAAACCCCCCCTCTCTCGAGAAAATCCTGGATCCGCCCCTGACTGCGTGTAAACTCATAGAAAACAGCGGCGACTATTAGTTTTATTTCGGCTCTTCTTTTTCTTATCCCCCACCTGCGAACTTTTAATTGTATAGCTTTGGCTCAAAATGTCTGATTATAAACTAAAAAATTGTTCCCAACGTGTTGGGTCTTCATAGCTCACCGTGTAAAGCTACTAATCCCACTGGGAACTTGATGCTCACGTAAGGTGTGGGAGGGAGGAAAGAGTTTTTTTGCTCTTTCTCATACCCCCCCCCCCCCACCTGCGAATTTTATAAATGCTTCCTTTTCCGTTGAAACTGTCCGATTGTTACGAAAATTGGCATGCAAACTAATTATTCCAAGACAAACATATTTGGTCTTCATACTTGATCTTGTAAAACCCTTCATTACACCGTGAAACCGATGGCTTATGTGAGTTGGGTGGGTGGGGGAGGGGGAAGGCAAAAGAGCCGAGCTTTTAATTTTTACCCAGTCCGAGTAGAGTCTGGTCTCCACTCTGGGTACGATTGAGATGGCCTTCATCATGACGTCATAGATGGATAAGAAGACAGTGGAGAAGTCCTTGAACTCTGGCTCGAACTTGATGCTGCTCTGGTCCAGCACCAGGCGCACGGTGAAACCAGGGTGCTCGTAGCGCCTCACCGAGTTCTGAAGGAAAAACAGGAAAGGCTTGAAATGTAGATTGATAAAAACATGCATACTGAAACAAATGACTCTACATAATTTATTTTTTGGCGGACTGAGTTTTGATTGTGCAAAACTATTACAAACGCAGATTTTTTCAGTAATTAACCTAAAGTTTTTCAGTCTGATAGGCAAAAAGATATTTTAGTTGCGGGACTTCAGTGTTTTTTTTTGTATTTGTTTGATAATTCGATGTAACTTTTTCCACACACTGAATGAATCAAGAGAAAATGAATTTTGGTTAAGTATTTTTCCAAGTTATTTTTATCTACTAGCAAAATAGCAAAATTTTTATCTACTATTTATTTTTATCTACAAGCAATTTCCATTTTGTGGTAAGCACAAGTAATTAAAATGCGATCACTCGTTAAGATTAACTGGTGCATATGCACTTGATGGACTAATTAGGTCTTTTTTGAATTCTCCTAATTGGGCACTCAACATGGTGACTCGTCCGAGACAAAAAGACGACTAACCGGGTCTCCGCCGATGATGTTGGTGTACTCTGCGATGGACTGCAGTCCCAGCTGTTGCAAGTTACTAGTCATCAGAGTTGAGGCACAGTCGAAGTAGCTCTGCAGTCGCTTGGGGTTCTGGCTGTTTGGAACCAACTTCTGCTTGTTGCCTTTGTAGAAGATGTTCTGGATCTCTGGAAACCATCTGAAGCAATTTTAAACGTACAGTCTGTAAACCCGTAAGAACTGAGATTGTAGAGGACACATTCAAAGCATGAAAAAACAACAACGGAGAAGTGGAGCTTCGCGCCACATGCGCCAAAAAAACATCATCATCATCTTTATGATCGCTGATTTTATTTTGTCAATCATTTTGAAAATCATTTAAAAAGTCCATGAAGTAGACTTATAGCTGGTCTTCAGCAATGATCTAAGCCTGCTGTAGAAAAACTCTGACAAATAACTTCAGCATTGATCTAAGACTGCTATGAAAAACTTCTGACGAGGATCTTCAGCCTTTATGTATGTCTGTTGTAGAAAAATGGAGGCCAGGATCTCTGGCCTGAATCTATGCCTGCTGTAGAAATATGGTGGTCAGTATCTTCAAATTTAGTCTAGGCCTACTGAAGAAAAATGCTTGCCAGTATTTCAACCTTGGTTTAGACCTGCTGCAGAAAAACGCTGATTAATATTTTCAGCATTGATCTAAGCCTGCTATGACAAACTTCTGACGAGTATGTTCAAATTTGATCTAGGCCTTCTGAAAAAAAGGCTTGCCAGGATCTCCGGCCTTAATCTATGCCTGCTGTAGAAATATGGTGGTCAGTATCTTCAAATTTAGTCTAGGCATACTGAAGAAAAATGCTTGCCAGTATTGCAACCTTGGTTTAGACCTGCTGCAGAAAAAAGCTGAAAAATATCTTCAGCATTGATCTATGCCTGCTATGACAATAATCTGAGGATTATTTTCAGCCTTGATGTATGTCTGCTGTAGAAAATGAAGGCCAGGACCTAGACCTCCGGCTTTAATCTTTACCTGCTGTAGAAATATGGTGGCCAGTATCTTCAAATTTGATCTAGGCCTACTGAAGAAAAATGCTTGCCAGTATTTCAACCTTCATTTAGACCTGCTGCTGAAAAACGGTGATTAATACCTTCAGCATTGGTCTAAGCCTGCTATGACAAAATTTTGACGAATATCTTCAAATTTGATCTAGGCCTACTGAATAAAAATGCTGGCCAGTATTTCAGCCTTGATTTAGACCTGCTGCAGAAAAACGCTGATTAATATCTTCAGCATTGAGCTAAGCCTGCTATGACAAAATTTTGACGAGTATCTTCAGCCTTGATGTCTGTCTGCTGTAGAAAAATGGAGGCCAGAACCTCCAGCTTTAATCTTTACCTGCTGTAGAAATAGGGTGGCCAGTATCTTCAAATTTGATCTAGGCCTACTGAAGAAAAATGCTTGCCAGTATTTCAACCTTTATTTAGACCTGCTGCAGAAAACGCTGATTAATATCTTCAGCATTGATCTAAGCCTGCTATGACAAACTATGACGCGTATCTTCAAATGTGATCTAGGGACTACTGAAGAAAAAATGCTGGGCAGGATCTCCGGCCTTAATCTGTTCCTGCTGTAGAAATATGGTGGTCAGTATCTTCAAATTTGGTCTAGTCCTAGTGAACAAAAATGCTTGCCAGTATTTCAACCATCATTTAGACCTGCTGCTGAAAAACGGTGATTAATACCTTCAGCATTGGTCTAAGCCTGCTATGACAAAATTTTGACGAATATCTTCAAATGATCTAGGCCTACTGAATAAAAATGCTGGCCAGTATTTCAGCCTTGATTTAGACCTGCTGCAGAAAAACGCTGATTAATATCTTCAGCATTGAGCTAAGCCTGCTATGACAAAATTTTGACGAGTATCTTCAGCCTTGATGTATGTCTGCTGTAGAAAAATGGAGGCCAGAACCTCCAGCTTTAATCTTTACCTGCTGTAGAAATAGGGTGGCCAGTATCTTCAAATTTGATCTAGGCCTACTGAAGAAAAATGCTTGCCAGTATTTCAACCTTTATTTAGACCTGCTTCAGAAAACGCTGATTAATATCTTCAGCATTGATCTAAGCCTGCTATGACAAACTTATGACGGGTATCTTCAAATGTGATCTAGGACTACTGAAGAAAAATGCTGGGCAGGATCTCCGGCCTTAATCTGGTTCCTGCTGTAGAAATATGGTGGTCAGTATCTTCAAATTTGGTCTAGGCCTAGTGAACAAAAATGCTGGCCAGTAATTCAACTTTGATTTAGACCTGCTGCAGAAAAACGCTGATTAATATCTTCAGCATTGATCTAAGCCTGCTATGAAAAATTTCCGACGATTATCTTCAAATTTGATCTAGGCCTACTGAAGAAAAATGCTGGTCAGGATCTCCGGCCTTAATCTATACCTGCTGTAGAAATATGGTGGTCAGTATCTTCAAATTTAGTCTAGGCCTACTGACGAAAAATGCTTGCCAGTATTTCAACCTTGGTTTGGACCTGCCGCAGAAAAATGCTGAAAACTATCTTCAGCATTGATCTAAGCCTGCTATGACAAAATTTTGACGAGTATCTTCAGGCTTGATGTATGTCAGCTGTAGAAAAATGGAGGCCAGAACCTCCGGCTTTAATCTTTACCTGCTGTAGAAATAGGGTGGCCAGTATCTTCAAATTTGATCTAGGCCTACTGAATAAAAATGCTGGCCAGTATTTCAGCCTTGATTTAGACCCGCTGCAGAAAAACGCTGATTAATATCTTCAGCATTGAGCTAAGCCTGCTATGACAAAATTTTGACGAGTATCTTCAGCCTTGATGTATGTCTGCTGTAGAAAAATGGAGGCCAGAACCTCCAGCTTTAATCTTTACCTGCTGTAGAAATAGGGTGGCCAGTAACTTCAAATTTGATCTAGGCCTACTGAAGAAAAATGCTTGCCAGTATTTCAACCTTTATTTAGACCTGCTGCAGAAAAACGCTGATTAATATCTTCAGCATTGATCTAAGCCTGCTACGACAAACTTATGACGCGTATCTTCAAATTTGATCTAGGACTACTGAAGAAAAATGCTGGGCAGGATCTCCGGGCTTAATCTATTTCTGCTGAAGAAATATGGTGGTCAGTATCTTCAAATTTGGTCTAGGCCTAGTGAACAAAACTGCTGGCCAGTATTTCAACCTTGATTTAGACCTGCTGCAGAAAAAAGCTGATTAAAATCTTCAGCATTGATCTAAGCCCGCTATGAAAAATTTCTGACGAGTATCTTCAAATTTGATCTAGGCCTACTGAAGAAAAATGCTGGTCAGGATCTCCGGCCTCAATCTATGCCTGCTGTAGAAATATGGTGGTCAGTATCTTCAAATTTGGTCCAGGCCTACTGAAAAAAATGCTTGCCAGTTTTTCAACCTTGGTTTAGACCTGCTGCAGAAAAATATCTTCAGCATTGATCTAAGCCTGCTAGGAAAAAGTTCTGACGAGTATCTTCAGCCTTGATCTATGTCTGCTGTAGAAAAATGGACTTATCTTCAGCGCATCAGAGCTTATGTGGTATTCGGTATCGGAGTTTTTGATGTTCATAAGATCGAATTTTCAGTCCCTTTGCAAGATCTCTGAAAAAACCATTTAATATTCTACCAGATATATGCATGCAAAAAAAATTGTAACACCACGAAAGACTATGAAAAAACTGTAACACATTGCAATTTTTCCAAAAAAAATCAAAAGTTGGGGGAATTCCAAAAAAGCACGACAAATTCATTAACACACTTTTGGCCATTTTTTCCAAAAAATAAAGGTTGGGGAATTCAACAAAAGCACGACAAATTCATTAACACACTTTTAGCTTAAAACACTCATTTTAAAAGGTCAACCACCCAAAAAAAGTCATTTTAAAAAATGGAACAATCGTTTTGTTACAAGTTTTTTATCAGAAGTTTAAAAAAACGCGATAAGGAAAGAGAAAGTCTGGACTCATTGCTTCGGACTTGAAGCTCCATTTGCTGTCTTCTCAAGCATGAACTTAAATTAATTAGAATTTAAATCGTTAAATGATTCACGGATTCTGTTGAACAGTTTGATAACCAGAAAAATTCAATATTTCGATTTGATAAATAGTTGACATGTTTGTCTGTAGTTGTTTAGTTTTTGAGCAAAAACTTGCATTTATAATAATCAAACCTCCCTCAAATTTCGAAGGACACTTCAAATGAGTTAGTTTATTTCCTAATTTTAACAGTCTTTGTGTTGTTTTAACATTGATTACTTTTTAAGCAGTTGGTCCTTGGCACTGTCTATGTGTTTGTAGGCGATACCCTGGAAAGCCTTCAGCTCCAGCGCTTCTTCCATCTTCACAAACTCACTCCCGTCAATCAGCCTCATACCACTGAAAAAAAGAAAGAGTCAATTCTTCTTAATCCTAAATAAAATTGTTTGCAGAAATTTTTTTAAAAATATGCTTGTCAACGTTCACTTGGCGGGCGTAAAGCGGTACAACAAAACAATTTAAGATTATTTATATAAAACCAGATACAGACAAGGTAGAAAAAAGCTATCTGCGTGAAAAGCATTGCAGGATGCAATCTCGATTTCCGGAGATCTGGGCTAAACCAAGAATAGAGTACGAGCAGGCGCTTGCTGCACGAGTGACAAATAATATTTCGACAAAAAGTAACCGCTGTCAAACAAATTTGAAAATACACACTTTTTATCTCTAACTTTTGGAAATTAAGGAAGCTATCATGATCTTTTAGTTTAAAACTTGATTAGCTTACACCTTAAATCAGAAAAGACTCATTTCAATTTCGTGAAAAGTGACTCTCAATTCTGAAATATAATGACAAGCAAAAATATTAACAATTTCTCCACTAACGATACAACTTTACCAAAAACTTTCATTGCAGCTCAATCAACACACTGATAAAAACACACCCCTTTACAAAACTCCTTCTCACTGCTTGTTTAGAACTACTACAAGGTATTAAATCTGGAATTGAATAGTTAATTAATCAGTCAAATTTTTTTTCAAAGGAAAAATGTTTTACAGATGTGCTTTCAGAAATCAAGCAAAAATAAATTATGGCCAGCATACAATTGGAAAACATATAAAGTACTCATTCAAGCTAAACATTTTTCCAAGTTATCTTTTCGGAACTTTAGAATTACATAAACTAATTCAAAAGAAACCTCTGAAAATAAAAAACACTTGCAATGAAAATACTAGTGACATTTTTTTTGCGATAAATCTTACACAGATAAATCTTACATGAGAAAACTAGATAATTAAGCAATGTTTTTACTCCGCTAGAATTTTGAGAAAAAATACGTTTGAAGCTGAATTCAACAACATTTTTCAATCATTTAACTTCTAACACACAGATGCAAAGCTGCAACTTCAGAAACAAAAAAATGCCAAAAAGTAGCATTGAAACGGTGAAACAAACAAAAAAGAAAAGGAAAGAAAAACATTTAAAAAAATCGGCTTTATGCAGGAATCGAACATCTACCCTGGAGATTAAGGGTTCACGTGCTAGCATCTGCGCCCGGCACAGGCGCTTAAAAATTTTCTAACGCTAGCCACCAATAGCCAGATACAAACAAACATATAATCTTTGCAGCAAAACTATACCAGACATGAGGTATACATATATATTTATAAATATTCATACAGGGGCGTTATATATACACTATGAAAATTCCGTTTTTGATAGTTTTTTTTTCAATAAACTGCCTCAAAAAACTTGGCTGAGTTGTTTCAAATTCAATTTGGCTGAACTTTCTTTGTCCAATCAGACGCGGCACCAACAAAATCTCATTAAATTTGAGCTTAGGACCATGATATATTTCACAGGGTACAAATATTCAATCAAATTTGTTAAAACTAAAATGATAAAAAGAGGATCCCCGAGCAATTTTATTTTGTTACTTTCTTCAAAGTTCGTCAACCAAACCATGTACATCAATAATATACAGACCCTATACACTATACCCGTTCTATTCCTCTCTTTACCCCCCCCCCCCCCCCAAGTAACTGTTAAATTTAAAAATATATAGCCATATTACGCTAACGTCAAACTTAGTGGAAGTTATAATAACCGAAAATACTCGGATATGCTAGTGGATAAGTAACACTGCTTACTTATAGCGCTGGTACCAGAGGTTGAGCACTTGTTTCATGCAGGGGTTTACCACGTTCAGTTCCTGCATCATCGTGTTTCTCGCCTGGTGAAAAGACCTCTCCCACGGCTTTGGCACCACCAGCAATCTAAAAACATGGACCGCGTTGATTAAGTGGCAAGTCTTCCCCACACGAAAGGTCAAACGAAAGGTCGGAGGTTCGAGGCCCACACAATCCGTATTTGCTGCATCTAATTATTAAACAGGGGCACAACAGCAGTTTTCTACAAGGATCTCAGCAGCTCGGATACATTGTCTTAATTTACATAAGTATGAGTAATTTCCCCACGCAAGAGACACGCTATCATTGAGGAATTTTTCAACTTATCCCGAAAAATCACTCGCATACAATTGAATCAGACCTACCAACAGTTTGAAAGTATCATCTGTGCTGGTAAAACTTACCAGGCATCTCAAATTTTTCGCGTTAAATATTCAATCTTATAAAATTACTTTTCAATTATGAAATGAGGTTGTCTAAATTAAAAGCTGACTTTTTTACTCACTCCATTCGGTGTTCAGGCAGAACGACAACAGTTTCATCGTCGTCTCGCTCACGCAGATCCCGCAACACGAAGTCAACAATAGCCTTTTTTACGCTGAGCAGGTAGTCTTCTCTCATTTCATCGGATAACTTCTCAATCGACTCAGTGAACTCTTTTAGCTCGTCTTTCACCAAACTCAACACGTGTTCCAACCAGGAGTCCTCCATTGGCGCCACATGTTCAGTGTCTATCCCATTTTGGATGTAGTAGTGGTAGCGCTAAGCCGAAAACAAAAAAATGTCAGGCGCTCTCACAAAATATACAGCCACGAGACAGAAATTACAATTTTTAGGTTTCAACGAGCAACCCAACAATTTTTTTCTTCACGTTTTTGACGTTTTCTCAGCAACTATTGAAATTATGGAGTTCGAACCAGTATATCAAATGAGCCAGTATATCATAATTAGTTTTAGAGTTGTTCGTGCTGTGGAAACATCCTCAGCAAACAATGAAATGAATAGAAATTATGGGCTGAAATTGGTCCTTTCGGAAACTGATGAGTTTGGCTTACTTTTTTTGAAAAAATGAGGGACAGAGAAGAAAATAAATTGTTTTTATTTTCTAAAATCGATTATCCCTTTCTACTTGAATTTGTATTGGAATTGAAGCAATAATTTTTTGAGCAAAAATTATTGAAAAAAGCGTGTTTGAATAATGTATTGATTTGAATTGTCAGTACAAAGCAAATAAAAATTTAAAATGAAAACGGTTTTTGTTAATTGAGTTGATTTTAGTTTTAGAAAATGATGACAAAAATTGCGTAGAAGTTAAGGAGAATTAATATGGGGCCATTGTTTGTACAAATTCGAGCCCTAAAATTTACCCTTAAAACGGTAATTTTTGGCTTTTTAGTCAATCAAAAAGTGTGTCAAAACTATCACTTCAATTGCTGAAGCAACTATATCATAGTGAGCCTCTTATGCAGCCTTACAAAGTTTAAGAAGGTATTGTCTCCAAAAATTCCCTCAAAACGTTTAAAAATTGTTTTTAATTTCAATATTGATATTTCATATAGAAAGAAAGTTTTTTTTGGCTATCAGGCAAAAATAAAATTATTTCTACAAAGTTAAGAAGATTATTCTCTTCTCAAACTTTGTTTGGCTACACAAGAAGCTCACTATGATATAGTTTTGCCAGCATTTGAAAAAATAATTTTGGCGTAATTTTTGATCGACAAAAAATGACTGTTTTAGGGTAAAATTTAGGGCCCGAAATTTGTCCAAAATCAACCCATTTTGCGGAAAACGCCTTTTCATTTCAAGTTTTATTCGTTTTGTCCGGATAATTTAAATCAGCGCTGTAAAGTATAAAAAAAGGTTTAATTTCCATCAAAACTATGGCAAGAGATCACTATGGAAAATGACGCTGAGATAATCTTTGAAAGCAATCGATTCCACATTGTTTGCATTCCATAGAAATGAAAATGTTAAGTCTAGCAATATAACAACAAATTTTAAAACGGCCTTTTGATTCCTTTTAGAGAAAAAAAAAACATTTTCTTTTCTTCTCTGTCCCTCATTTTTTCAACTCAATAACTATTTTGGGCTTACCATAAGATTTCTTTCGGCTTGCGTAGGAGAGGCACGAGCGACGGCATCTTCGACTTTGCTCGCTTCATGCGGCTCAAAATTCCTGAAGAATAAAAAAAATAACTATAAACTACCATCTGCGAGGAATAAAATTTGAAATAAAAAATGATACATTTGTAACATTTTTTCTTTAATAGGCTCAATAGTATACATACGTAATGATATCAACAAGTGCGTTTCTGAATTGCTGCCGATCTTTTTTCGGGTTTGAAACTTTTTTTGCGTTTTGGGTGGTTTTCGAAGTCGTTGCAATCGGTTCCAGCTTATGCGTTTTGCGCCTTTTTGAGGTTCCTATAAACAACTTTGCATAACTTAAGAATCTTCGAATATTTCTAAAATTCTGATAATTCTTAAAAATTACCTGCAGTAAGTTCTGCCACTAGATCTATTTCCTTACTAGGGTCTTTCGTAATTCCAGGTTTCAAAAGCAAGCTTGGGGGATTTTGCCGCCATTGTGGAACTGTTCGCTTCTGCAATAGATTTCATATAACAAAACAATTTTTAAACGAGCAAAAGCCCTGAATCTGATTCACAAACCTGAGGAAGCTGGGGAAGAAAATGATTCTCCAAAGATTTCTTCGGAGGATCGTTTTTGTACGGTCGCTTAAACACAGATAGAAGAAAATTTAGGATTCCAACGTTTTTGCAAATCAAATGCATCATGAACAATAAAACAATGACAAAATTTACAAATTGATCAGCAAGTACAAAAAATATGAAGGAACGAATGAAAAATGACTAATTACTGATCCGAAAAAAGCAATTATTCGAAAACTCGGGTGAAACTTCCCACTATAGACCCACCGGGTGCCGAATATCAAGCCGACGGGACTTCAAGCCGAATCTTAAAATTTGGGACTTCAAGTCAAACATTTTCTCAAAAACTCATGGAGCATTATTACTTTGAATACTTTTTTGAAGATTTTATTGTTTTCATGGTCTTGCTTACTAGTTTTCGGCTTTTTCATGAAATTCCAGCCGCTGATTGATTTTAAAGAAAGATTAAAAAACTAAAGGGGGGGTTAGCAATTTTTGTTACTATAGGCTAGGGGCTATACAAAAATTTTGTTTTTTTTTCAACGGAAAGTGATGTATGAGCCCAATTTTTGGTGATGTTGCTCCCCTATAATCTCAAAGAAAAATTAGCAAGGGAGACTTTTTTCTTTTCTTTTTTTTTTTTAAAAAAACGCGCTCATTCAACCTTTTTGACAAAAAATTATCTGAAAGAAAAAAATCACCAGAAAAAAAAGACTTCATATTTTCTGAAATTTCAGTGTAACTTCTGGACTTACCAATCAACTACCGTTACAAACTACTCTTTATATCGAGTTTATTGATTCCATTTTTCAGATATTGTAATGAGTTAGAGCACTGTTTAGATAATTGAATTCATTCAAATTATTTTTCACACATTTAACTCATTCGGCTTTTTTCAAAATTGATTTCAATCTACACAAAAAACGCCTGCTTAATCGCCTCCTTTTACTAAAAATTGAGCTCATTCAGCAGGTCCGATTGTATGAGAGAGACCCAATTGCGACCACTTTCGAACCGTGATCGCCTTGAAAATAGTTTGAGTATGAAATTGAAAACAGTTTTTACCTCTATATTCGCCATGCAATTCAGCCTGGAAACATCAGACAAAAATTGTTAACATTCGGAAATTTTTCGAACCTAATTTCTGCTTTTCACTAAACAACTTGATAAATTTTAGGCTTTATTAATGTATCATGCTCTGATTTGTGAACAACTGTTAAACGAAATTTTCTGTCAATTATTGGACAATTTCAATATTTAAGAAGATTCAGTCTTTGAAACTTTAGTCAATGATTTGATCCATGGAATTCGCATAACTTACTAATCTAGAAATTTTTCAGCGATAGCTAAAATTTATAAAATTTTTCGAGTGTAAGTCTTTTTTTTGTGTGAAAAAGGCAGTTACGTGTCTTGCCAAATATTGAAATTCGATTTTAAACACTCATTCCCTTAATTCCTAGAATTATAATAATGGAGTCGTTTTATTTATTAAGAATGTCAAATTTATGAATTAAAATTTATTCTATCGTTAACCAAATGAAGGATTGATTGCAATTGTTAATGAAAGATCCAATAATGACGACTGCTACAACGGACACTGCGAAACTGTCGACTACGGACCGGATCGTTAAAGGTTAGTAATCATTTTAGAAAAAGTAAATAATGACAGCAAGCCTGCGCAGAAACAGAGCGATTTTTTTTATTGATTAGAATCATTTCATTTTGCGGAACAAATTATTGTTTTGGAGGATAAAATTTTGTTTTGGAGCTAACGAATATGCCTGGGGCGATTAAAGGTCTTGAGTTCGAATCTGACAGGACCTGTTTTTTTTCCAAACAGGAAAAAGTGCGGTTTCTGAAAAATGTCTGCTTCTTTGTTGTCTACTTATGTTTTGCCGGCTTAGTTGCCACATCGTTAGATTGTTTTTTTTACTATACGTTTGCATTAGAGTTGCTTTTAGACTTTTGATTTACTCCTGCTGTTTAAGAGTTGATGAACGTTTTTTAAACATTTTTTATGGCTAAATATGTTTCGCTTCATATTATAAACGGATTTATTTAATATGAGACGAGCTTAATGAAAAGGAATACACAAAAGATCAAAAGAAGCGGTACCATCGCCTAATGATCCGATTTATATTAAATAAACTAAACTATATCGGCTGAGTGACCTCATTTTGTTTTATTTGACGAGCAAATACGTTTTTGAGGGCCAGTGTGACAAAACTTTTTATAAGTCTGAATTTTTTTGGCTCAAAATTTTTTCAGAAGGCTTAGAAGTTATTTTACAGCTTGAAATATTTATTCCGATGCTAATTTCTAATTCTGTTGTCTTTGCATATTTTTGTTTCAAAACTAGCCTTATTCATTTTGATAAATCTAGCTTCGCCTATGTTTTTGTTTTAAATTCACAGAAAAGGGGGAGAGGAAAAAGCCCAAAAAATTTTCATTCGCCCAGAGTAAATGAGCTGAGCTAGCCTCTGCAAAATCAGCAATATTCTGTTTTATGGGTATAAAAGAAAACTGTAAATTAACAATAAGCAAACAAAATGCAGACAGCATGAGGTACTCGTTTGCTTGTTTGGTCCCTCAAAAATGCTGTAGTCCCTAATAAAAACCGAGGTACAGTATGTGGCTAATTCTAACAGTAAGCATTTTCATTTCTCTATATTGTCATCGAAACGTGCCTAGTTAGTCTAGCGGGTACGAATCCAGTAACCAACCTGAAGGCTTAGATTGAATTCCCGTGCTGGCTTTTCTTTTTAGAAAATAGGCGGGACCAATCATCTAAACTAGTTTTGTCACGGGACCAAACAAGTAAACTAGTAAGCAGAATCATACTTAAAGTAAAGAGTGAAACAAAACAGACTATAATATAATACAAAAAATAAACATTTGTTTACTTTAAGAAATAAGCTCAGAATTAAAAAAAATGCACGCGTAAATCTCTTGATGGACTTACTAGAGTTTTACGGGCCTCAAAACTCTAGTTTTCGTTCCGACAAGTTATAAAATGGGTAGGAACTTTGTGTTCGTGTGTATTTTAGTGTTTTCGTTTTTCCACAAAAAATCAGCTTCCAAAAGTAATCATCGGTTTGAGTTGAGTGATATATCATATTAAGTCCTTTCAATCGTGATTCCAACAGATTTCCCAGTGTCAATAAACCCGTTTGAATTTTTTTCTTTTTAGCCTAACTTTGAGTAAAGCAAATGAGCAGGCTTACAGTAACTTAAAATCTTACTATAGCTTAATTTAAGCCGTAAAAACTTGGTTTTAATCGAGTAGAGTTAGTTTAAGCGCCTTTTTGAAATTAAAAATTTGAATTCAGAAAAATGCCAAAAAGTTTTTTGTTTTTCAAGTAATTTTTTCTACAGAAATTGTTTATCAAATCGATCAATTTACCATGACTGTCGAATATTCCTCAGCTTTAGTTTTTCGTTCAGATCTTTTAAACACACCACGCAGAAAAAGGCACTTATTTGAAAAAAAATCGGTTTGGTTTTTATATGGTCGGAACATTCTGTGCTACTTGCACAAAACCCGGGTATCCTTTTACTATTTGCACTAAGTTATTCGCTACCTTCAGAAGTAAAGTCAGGGTTCCTCCTTATTTGATGAGTCACATTCAAAAGCACAGCCTATGAAAATCTACTTACTTCAAGTGGTTGAAAATAAAAGGAAAACTAAACAAGCATAGCCGATTGCTGTGCTATTAGCACAGAATGTTTCGACCATAAAAAAACAACTTCCTTTTTCTTCGAATAAGTGTCGGCTTCAGTGCTCGCTGTGCTTTGAGAACTAACCAACCTCGTGGAAACTTAGTAAAAAAGTTTAGAAGAAAAACTTTTTTTTGCACAAAATGGCTTCAAATTTAGTATATCACTCGACACATTCCTGTTATTACCCATTCGATAATCAAGGGCATTGCAATCGGGTTCTATACTTTTTTCCTGTAAATAGTTTTGTTCCTAGGACTCATCTAGACTCTCGTTGGTACCTTGGTTCACAATGAATTCAAGTTTCTTAGGGTCTTCTGAACACTTGGCTTAAAGAAACAATTAAGCCTTAAACAGCAAAGGTCCTGGGATAGATTCTGACCAGGACCTGTTTTTTTTGCTAATGAAAATTTATGTTTCAAAAAAATTTCTTGGCCTAATATTTGTTTGCTTATCTTTTATTGGCTTTGTTGCAGTTACTCTTAGTGTTTTAGCATTTTAAAAATCCAGTCATATGATACATCACTCAACTCTCTCCGATGGTCATTTTCGTGCTATCAAAACTTGGTGCCTACTCTGCTTGTATTAGAGTTGTCGGTATCTATCGCGCTACAACAGTGCAATGTTTTAATTTTTTTTTAAATTGTCTAATGTGAACTTAGAGACTTCAGAGTAGTTGTAACAGGATCTAAAGAGTTTTGAAAGCTACATGCACTTCTCATATTTTAAATTGTTTGGATTGTAAAATCAAGGTAATTAAGTAAATGTCTGATAATAGATTCCGACCGGATGAAAAATCCATAAAGTTGGTCGTCCGTTTTTTGGGAAAGAGGGCGTGCTATCATGGTTGAAGTGTTCTAGGCGTTCCGTATCCACCGTTGAAACGACTGGACATGAAAGACGTGTTCGACGAGAAAGACAAACCGAAGCCGGATGTACTCAAGCCCCACTTCATCGCTGAGGGCAGAGTGACAGAGGAAGTAGCCTTACGAATCATCAACGAAGGTGCTGCGCTGCTCAGAGCCGAGAAGACCATGATTGAAATAGAAGCTCCCGTCACAGGTACTAACCACTTAGGCAGTACTCGGTGTCTGTTAATTGTGCCAAACCACTTAGACAGTACTCGGTGACTGTTAAACGTGCCAAACCACTTAGACAGTACTTGGTGTCTATTAATCGTGCCTACGCTATCCTTACAAAATTTTTGGCCTTGAATAAGACATTTGGCCAAGCTTATATCGACGAACAGGGTTACATTCAATGATCTTTAATTTTTCACGCTTGCGTGAGCCTGCAAGAAATTGAGTTCGTTTTGTTATTGAACCTTTGCAATTTCCAGGCTCCTGCTCACTTGTCCAGGCTCCATTTTTTGTCGGTTTAATTTCAAAATCATGGTTTTTTTTATTTAAACCATTTTACTACAATTGACCCTCGTCCTGTTTTCTGTCAATGTACCAGCTCGGATTATTTACCAGCTTATATTAAACACTTAGTAAAAAAAAAAAAAAGAAGAAAAGGAAAGGAGAAGGGGAAAAGAAGAGAAAAAAGAAAAAAATTATTTTTCTTAAAAATTATTTTAAAACTCACCTGCGACCGTGAACCTGGTTGTCTTAAGTTAAAGTTGATGGGCTCTTTCAGTAACGCCAACAAAAAATCTTAACTTACGGAAGAAAACCTACTTCAAAACTTTTTTTTTTTTTTTTTTTTTTTTTTTTTTTTCAAATTTAGTTTTTTTTTTTTTTTTTTTCATTAAATATTAGTGTTAAATCGTTATGTTTGAACAACTTAAGGGTAGACCCTGGAGGACCTTTAGGTCCCGTTGTCTATCCTCTCTAAGTCGCATCATTTAACTTAAATTATAAATATATTCAATGTTGTATTTAATGCTGACTAGAGAAATAAATTCTTTCTTTCTTTCTTTAGCTTAACTATTTTGTCGTTTGAAGTGCAAAATACGCTCAAATTTTTGTATGGCTATATGGGCATCTACGTAAAAGTTGCCTTTAAATAATACTACGTTAAATGATACTACGAGCTTATTCATTGCCGCTGGTTGTTTTTTTTTGACTTTTTTGATAATGAGTTTTTCAAAAAAATAGTTGTAATTTTTCAAATGAATGTTTTTTTCGATGAATCTTCCAACTCATTTTCTATTCGCAAGCTTGCAGTGTATCACGAGTGATGAGAAGCTACGATTGGCCTCTGTGTTGTAAGTTTCTTTTGATTTGGAAGAGAACATAAAGTTAATACGAGGTATAGAAAGGCCATAGAATAGTTGTTCAGTGTCTTCTCTGTCCTCAGTTTTTAGTAGCAGCTCTGAAGATGAGTCTTTTTAGTGAATGACTATGTTGTAAGTTGTTTTGTTTTGTTTTAGTATGTGGTGATATCCACGGACAATTCTACGACCTAATGAAGCTTTTTGATGTGGGTGGACCCCCAGAGAAGACAAAGTACCTTTTTCTAGGCGATTATGTTGATCGCGGTTATTTTAGTATAGAAGTAAGTTGATATGCATCATGACTCTAATTTGGAAGCTATGGAAACAAGAATCAAATTAATTCCTATCGTACTATGCCATGTATCTGTAAACGGCATGCTAGAAGAATTAATTAGTGGATACAAATAGCTCAGAAATAAATTGAAGTTTAGCTTTCGAAATGCTGGTTGCTAAGGATTCATGTGTTTCAGTGTGTTTTGTACCTGTGGTCTCTCAAAATTTTGTACCCCACAACTCTATTTTTACTCAGAGGCAATCACGAATGTCGCCATTTAACAGAGTACTTCACCTTCAAGCAAGAATGTAAGTAGAATTAATTCGTAATTAATCCTGAGCTTGCAGTGAGTTCCTGCGTTTAAGTCATGATCTTCTAAAAAACCTGGAACTCCTCGACTCGTCTTTACTCTTACGATAAGCAAGGGTGTTGCAACCGGAAACTTAATTTTGATCGCAGAGTTCGCACTTGAAAACGTTACGTGTTTCCACTTGATTTATCATGAACGTAGTGAGTACTCATATAATAGGTCTTGCTGATTTTTTTTTTCAGGAAAAAGTCTTAAATTTTTTCACGCTCAATTTCGGTTTTTCGAGGTTTGACTTGCGATTTCTTTTTAGGTTTTTAAGTTCAGTGCATTGTTATGGTTAAAAGGAAGGCAAACTCCACTATCGAACAGCATAATTGTAAAGGTCAAGAAAAACGTGATCGTCTTCTAATTTCGAAAATGGAAATTAATTATCAGATTTCGCAGCGAAATAAAAATTTAACCAAGTGATCCAGTTTTCTCAAATTGGGTTAATTTAACAAAGAACGGTCCATCATAAATTGTTCTACAAATCCAATGAGCTTTAAGACCATCAATTTTTTTCGAAATTCAAAAGTTGAAAGTTTTTGAAAAAACAAAGCTGTTTTTTTTTCAGTTTCCGTGCGTTCATTGCTCTTTCCAACTGTTAGTTGGCTATGTTTACATTTGCTAGAACAAGTGTCTTGCAATTTTTAACAAGATTTTTTCGCTTAAACAAATTTTCTTACAAATCTTTGCTTTTCTTACTTGCTTTTATTAAACCTTAACAGCTTCCAGGTTCGCTGCCATTAAAGTTCTAGAGGAAAAGTGTCCACCTTTATACCATAAGTGCTGGGGTTTGAGTCCCCGCCGGATCTTGCTTTTTTCCATTAAGTAGGAAATTGGAATTGTATTTTGATAAAGTTATTTTCTGCTCGTTTTATCGGATGGGTTTCCACGTCATGGATTTTTTGTGCGGTAAGAAATTTTTTCAAACAAAATCGATGTTTCGGCTACACTGGTATCTGTTCAAAATTTTTTTTGCTCTTCGTAAGTTTTGTTCGTTTGCTAATTTAATATTCAAATGTTTTTCTTGGCTTGTTTGCCTTGAATAAATTTTTATCGAGACATGCAAAATTTTTGTGTTTCGGGGAAATCTGTTTTTCTTGCCTACTGAAAATTTTCAGCTCTTTTATACAAACGTCTGTCTGATTATTTTTGACGGTTTAGTTCACGCAGAACAGATTTTTTGAATGTTCATTTTTTAACGTTTCTGTCTTGCGGTAAATATCATTTTAAGCGACAAAAAACGAAGTGAAGACATATTTATGGGTTGATAATTCTTCACGATAAGTTTTGTGGTCTTTAACAGGTACTTGAATATGTGCACTTTTTTGCCGGTTTTTTATACTGAAGTTTATCAAGAATAGATCGAAAACTTTTACAAATGATTTTTTCTTCATGAGGGGCTTGAAAGTTGTTGCTGAAAATATCATCCCGGCGACTTGTCTTTCAATTGCTCATTTTGAACGAAAGGCAGTTTACGCGCTTCAATTACAAATGCTAATGGTGCAAAAAAGCGAGAATCAATTGAGATTTCGATAGTGGTCACAGCGGAGTTTAAATACCTATTGTACCAGTTTTCTATAATCGGCTTATAAAGAAAAAAATGTCATTCATAAACGATTGAAATTGCGTTTTTCTAAGTGTAAAATAACGGAGACGATTGTGAATAATGTAGGTCGTGATTTCTTGCTTCCGTTTTAGGAAGAAATCTGAATTTGTTCACCCAAAGTTTGACATAAGTTGTATGAATATGATCTTAAGGAATTGTTTTTCTTGTACATTTTTTCTTCAGTCTATGGATATAAACAAGGGAAAATAATTGAATCCTTACCCTTGCGATTAGTACCCGATTGCAAAACCCTTGCTTATCGCAAGGGTAAGGATTCAATTATTTTCACTTGTTTATATCCATAGACTGAAGAAAAAAAGCTGACTTAGATAGTCTTTTTCCGAAGTAAAAACAACCGAAAATGATGATTCTCAACACTTGCGATACAAAAATGAAGGAGGTGATTATAATCAAATAGAAGAATTGAAAAAAAATTCAAAATTGTTGGTCAATAAAAATTCAGAATTATAAAAAACTGAAGCTAAAAAGCTCAGAAAAACTAAATTCACTATTAGACTAAATAAGAAGCTTCCAAAATGCTAGAAAGAAGGTCATTTCTGCGGAACAAAGCCGACAAAAATAAGCAGACATAACGTTATCTAAACTTTTCAGTTTCCAAAAAAAAACAGATCTCGACTGGTATCGCAATCCTGGCTTTGTTGTCCTAAGCATGGGCATTAAAGCAACTTAGAAGTAAAGTCAACCTTCAAAACAAGTCGGGCTACGGGACCTAAGCCGACAAAAATAAACAGACGAACGATAGTCCTGAAAAGCACAAAAACTCTAGTTTGCAAAAAAAGCGCGGCGCGTTCAGATTCAAACTACAAGTCTTTGCCGTCTCAAGCAGTTATGTTAACTCTAAACAAAATGAGCTGGATGATTGATTGACTTGGCATTTATAATTTCCGAGCGGTAAAAAAGCCGAAAAAACATGCAGAAAACCTTCAAGTCGAAAAAAAATTCTTCAAATTAAAAAAGAAAATTTAGTCTCCTTATCGTAAGAACGCACACAAAAACTGTTTTCGGTTATCGAACGGGGCAAACGAAGCCTTAGTGTCGCTATAACTCAAGGCGAAACCTTTTGAGCCAAAAAAAAATCAGATTTAACATCTCGCGTAGGTTACATTACAACCAGCATAAAAAGCAAATTTCGATTAGGCCGAATATAAAAAGCTGTCATGCTCAAAATCTGTCTTTTGCAACAGAAAAGCGCAGTAGATGAATGATTTCAGGAGATGAGTCCTGTGAGCAAACTTATTAACGGGAAAAAAGTATAGTACCCGATTGCAAAACCCTTGCTTTACTTTTTTCCCGTAAATAAGTTTGTTCACAGGACTCATGTCGTCTGGGATCATCTCTAGTGGCACCTTGTTTCATAATTATTTCAAATTGGGCTGGAGGTAACGAGTACGCCTGGGACCTTTTTCCTTTTTTGCTTCGCTTAAAAACTTAATTCGGCCCAATTTGTTTCGGCCTATATTTTATCGGCTTAGTTACCTAATTTTGGGTCTTTTCAAGGTAAACACAGTATTACGTTCTTCTCCGCACTTTTTAGGTGGGTTGAATTTTTAACACTCGGTTTTTTCAAATTTCTTTTCTGCTAAATTGGTTGACGTTGTTTGATATGGCTTAGTAGCTTCTTTCTCCGTGGTTTGATAAGCGAAAAAGTTTGTGTACCTCTGAGTGTTATGAGGGGATGAGGTACTTAAGAATTTTTGAATAGTTTTAAATTTTAAAAAGAAATAACGGCTTGAAGAGTTTCTGCTCCGATATTTTCTACTTTGACACCACTTGGTTAATTTTGTTCTGATGCTGATTTTGGATTTGATTGTTTGGGCATGTTTTTTTTTACAACTTTCTTCATTCATTTGATTAGATCTAATTGTTTTGCAATTGGTGCAAAGCTCATTTTCGCCTCTAGGTTAAATTTATAGTACCAACTGCGGAAACAAAATATGAGCAGTTTGGTCAAAACTACAGTTCTGACAGAAAAAGTTGTATTTACGAAAAAGTAGTGCCAATCATAAATCTCATTTGAACTTCAAAGAGCTTCAAAGTGATATATTTTTTTGAAAGCTGAAAAGTTTTCAATATTTTTTTCGGTTTCTTTGTTAATTCATTTTTTCAATCACCTGTTGGCTATAATCTTCAAATTTTGAAAGATAAAAATTGTTCAGAAGAAAGCTCAGCGTCCTTGAGTTCATTGACACTTTTTCAACTCACTATTATTAGGCTGTCGATAAGCAAGGGTGTTGCAACCGTGTACAAGACTTTTTCCCGTGAAAAACTTGGTTCACAGGTGTGTTAAATGGTAATTTTTATAGCAGCTGAATTATTAGCATGATTGAAGTGGATGAACTACACTATCTTACCTTGGGTGAACGTTAAGAGTTGTAAATTAATTTTTATCTGTACCAAAATGTTTCATTGTTTAACCACTGTAGATATATTTTGGGCATGTCCTTCTTTCGATTTGATAGTTTCCGACATAAATTATATAGGCTTAGAAGCCACATTTTGCTTCGTTTTTTTTCCGGCCGGATAGGTTTCGGCATCTTATATTTCTGCTAGGGTGTTTTCGGCTTTCTTACCTGTTGGTAAATGTTCATTCGATTGGTGCTTTTTTCATATTTTTGTCCTTGCAAGTTTTTTTTTGATTGATTTCGAGTTTCGTCAATTTCGACTTTTTTTCAATTTCTTTTTTCGACTTTTTTTTTTCAATTTTCGGCGTGCGGCTTTCTTGTTTTGTATCGGAAGTGCTGCGAAGCTCAGCTTCGCCTCTGTGTTTTGAATTCAATCAACTATCCAGCGCATCTGGCGTAGAGCTAATAAATATGCTGCAGATTCAGACGTTAATGCTTGTGGTTCGAATCCGGCTGGGACTTATTTTTTGCAAAAAAGGATTATTCTCTTTGTCGGTTAATGAGCGTGGTTTTATTACGCACGCAATTTTTATGCTCGCAATTAGCATCGTTGGATTGCTACGTAAGGTTGATTTTGATGCAAATTTAACGTTCAGTTGTCTTGATCGGCGTGTTATTTTGTAAAAAAAAAAAAAATTTTATTGCAGTAAATTCAAAAAGATATGAAGCTGTTGATAGATCCAGCTTTTCTCGACACTCACATTTTCATTAAATTTTTTTTGACTTGGCGGATTTGTTTTCAGTTTCTGTCTGCTGTTTTCGTGTGTAATGTTTGTGTTGTATCGCAACGTTCTGTTCTATGGTTGCTGACTTAAATACTGTTGGTTTAGTTTTCGAATTGTGCATACCACCTTTCCTTCACAATGAATAAAGAACCCGGGGAAACTATATGGGCAGTACGTTTTGGTTGAGTTTCAGATTATG